GAAGAGGCTGTCTTTTCTCCACTGTATATTCTTGCCCCCTTTATCAAAGATAAGGTGACCATATGTGCATGGGTTTATCTCTGGGCTTTCTGTCCAGTTCCATTGATCTATATTTCTGTTCTTTTGCCAGTACCATACTGTCTTGATGACTGTAGCTTTGTACTATTGTCTGAAGTCAGGGAGCCTGATTCGTCAAGCTCCGTTTTTCTTTCTCAAGATTGCTTTGGCTATTCGGGGTCTTTTGTGTCTCATGAAATTTTTTGTTCTAGTTCTGTGAAAAATGCCAGTGGTAGTTTCATAGGGATTGCATTGAATCTGTAGATTGCTTTGGGTAGTATAGTCATTTTCACAATGTTGATTCTTCCAATCCAAGAACATGGTATATCTCTCCATCTGTTTGTATCATCTTTAATTTCTTTCATCAGTGTCTTATAATTTTCTGCATACAGGTCTTTTGTCTCCTTAGGTAGGTTTATTCCTAGATATTTTATTTTATTTTTTGCAATGGTAAATGGGAGTGTTTTCTTAATTTCACTTTCAGGTTTTTCATCATTAGTGTATAGGAATGCAAGAGATTTCTGGGCATTAATTTGGTATCCTGCTACTTTACCAAATTCATTGATTAGCTCTAGTAGTTTTCTGGTAGCATATTTACGATTCTCTACGTATAGTATCATGTCATCTGCAAACAGTGACAGCTTTACTTCTTTTCCGATTTGGCTTACTTTTATTTCTTTTTCTTCTCTGATTGCTGTGGCTAACACTGCCAGAACTATGTTGAATACTAGTGGTGAGAGTGGGCAACCTTGTCTTGTTCCTGATCTTAGTGGAAATGGTTTCAGTTTTTCACCATTGAGAATGATGTTGGCTGTGGGTTTGTCATATTTGGTCTTTATTATGTTGAGGTAAGTTCCTTCTGTGCCTACTTTCTGGAGTGTTTTTATCGTAAATGGGAGTTGAATTTGGTCAAAAGTTTTCTCTGCATCTATTGAGATGATCATATGGTTTTTCTCCTGCAATTTGTTAATATGGTGTATCACATTGATTGATTTGCATATATTGAAGAATCCTGCGTTCCTGGGATAAACCCCACTTGATCATGGCGTATGATCCTTTTAATTTGCTGTTGGATTCTGTTTGCTAGTATTTTGTTGAGGATTTTTGCATCTATGTTCATCAGTGATATTGGCCTGTATTTTTCTTTTTTTGTGGCATCTTTGTCTGGTTTTGGTATCGGAGTGATGGTGGCCTCATAGAATGAGTTTGGGAATATTCCTCCCTCTGTTATATTTTGGAAGAGTTTGAGAAGGATGGGTGTTAGCTCTTCTCTAAATGTTTGATAGAATTCGGCTGTGAAGCCATCTGGTCCTGGGCTTTTGTTTGTTAGAAGATTTTTAATCACAGTTTCAATTTCAGTGCTTGTGATTGGTCTGTTTCTATTTTCTATTTACTCCTGGTTCGGTCTCAGAAGGTTGTGCTTTTCTAAGAATTTGTCCATTTCTTCCAGGTTGTCCATTTTATTGGCATGTAGTTGCTTGTAGTAATCTCTCATGATCCTTCGTATTTCTGCAGTGTCAGTTGTTACTTCTCCTTTTTCATTTCTAAAAGTCATCTCCCTTTTTTTTCTTGATGAGTCTGGCTAATGGTTTATCAATTTTGTTTATCTTCTCAGCTTTTAGTTTTATTGACCTTTGCTATCGTTTCCTTCATTTCTTTTTCATTTATTTTTGATCTGACCTTTATGATTTTTTTCCTTCTGCTAACTTTGGGGTTTTTTGGTTCTTCTTTCTCTAATTGCTTTAGGTATAAAGTTAGGTTGGTTATTTGAGGTGTTTCTTGTTTCTTAAGGTAGGATTGTATTGCTATAAACTTCCCTCTCAGAACTGCTTTTGCTGCCTCCCATAGGTTTTGGGTCGTCATGTTTTCATAGTCATTTGTTTCTAGGTATTTTTTGATTTCTCTTTGATTTCTTCAGTGATCTCTTGGTTATTAATTAGTGTATTCTTTAGCCTCCATGTGTTTGTATTTTTTACAGATTTTTTTCCTGTAATTGATATCTATTCTCATAGTGTTGTGGTCGGAAAAGATACTTGATATGATTTCAATTTTCTTAAATTTACCAAGGGCTTGATTTGTGACCCAAGATATGATCTATCCTGGAGAATGATCCGTGAGCACTTGAAAAGAAAGTGTATTCTGTTGTTTTTGGATGGAACGTCCTATAAATATCAATTAAGTCCACCTTGTTTAATGTGTCATTTAAAGCTTGTGTTTCCTTATTTATTTTCATTTTGGATGATCTGTCCACTGGTGAAAGTGGGGTGTTACAGTCCCCTACTATTATTGTGTTACTGTCGATTTCCCCTTTTATGGCTGTTAGCATTTGCCTTATGTATTGAGGTGCTCCTATGTTGCGTGCATAAATATTTACAATTGTCATATCTTCTTCTTGGATTGATCCCTTGATCATTATGTAGTGTCCTTCTTTGTCTCTTGTAATAGTCTTTGTTTTAAAGTCTGTTTTGTCTGATGTGAGAATTGCTACACCAGGTTTCTTTTGATTTCCATTTGCATGGAATATCTCTCTATCACCTCACTTTCAGTCTGTATGTGTCCCTAGGTCTGAGGTGGGTCTCTTATAGACAGCATATATACAGGTCTTGTTTTTGTATCCATTCAGCCAGCTATGTCTTTTGGTTGGAGCATTTAATCCATTTATATTTAAGGTTATTATCGATATGTATGTTCCTATTACCATTTTCTTAATTATTTTGAGTTTGTTATTCTAGATCTTTTCCTTCCCTTGTGTTTCCTGCCTAGAGAAGTTCTTTTAGCATTTGTAAAGCTGGTTTGGTGGTGCTGAATTCTCTTAGCTTTTGCTTGTCTGTAAAGGTTTTAATTTCTCCGTCAAATCTGAATGAGATACTTGCTGGGTAGAGTAATCTTGGTTGTAGGTTTTTCCCTTTCATCACTTTAAATATGTCTTCTCACTCCCTTCTGGCTTGCAGAGTTTCTGCTGAAAGATCAGCTGTTAACCTTATGGGGATTCCCTTGTGTGTTATTTGTTGTTTTTTCCCTTGCTGCTTTTAATGTTTTTTCTTTGTATTTAATTTTTGATACTTTGATTAATATGTGTCTTGGTGTGTTTCTCCTTGGATGTATCCTGTATGGGACTCTCTGTGCTTCCTGGACTTGATTCACTATTTCCTTTCCCATATTAGGGAAGTTTTCAACTATAATCTCTTCAAATATTTTCTCAGTCCCTTTCTTTTTCTCTTCTTCTTCTGGGACCCCAATAATTCGAATGTTGGTGTGTTTAATGTTGTCCCAGAGGTCTCTGAGACTGTCCTTAATTCTTTTCATTCTTTTTTCTTTATTCTGCTCTGCAGTAATTATTTCCAGTATTTTATCTTCCAGGTCACTTATCCGTTCTTCTGCCTCAGTTATTCTGCTATTCATTCCTTCTAGAGAATTTTTAATTTCATTTATTGTGTTATTCATCAGTGTTTGTTTGCAGAATTCTTTCCAGTGACCTGTCTTTTAGTTCACTGTTCCATTCTTCTGCTTGATCTAGTCTGCTGTTTAGCACCTCTAGTGAAATTTTCAGTTATTGTGTTCTTCACCTCTATGATTTCTGTTTGGCACTTTTGAATATTTTCTATCTCTGTGTTGAAGTTCTCACTTTGTTCTTGCATTGTTCTCTTGATTTTGACGAGCATCTTTATGAGAGTTATCTCTTTTATTAGAGTTATGAGATTCTCTGTGTTGGAGTCTGTGCATTACACAAAGCAAGCACCTCTCTTAGTCTTCATAGACTGGCCTTATACAGGAGAATACCCCTACCAATTAGCCTAGCCAATATTCTTGGGACCTCTACCAACTCTTTCCTTCCCCAGGCTCTAGGACTGGTGAGACAGATGCTGGTCCTTTGGGAGGCCCTGAAGGAGTTGGGGTGCTGGATGCATGAATCAATTCTTTTGCTATCCAGGGGGAAGCTGAGAATTGGCATTTTATATCTACTCACTCTGTGCTGAGCAAGGATCATTGGCATTGACTGGCTTATGTCACCACCTCTGTTCTATCCCAGACTACTAGTCTATACTAGACCTATCAGAGCTCCAAGATTGGCAAGACAGAAGCCAGTCTTCTGGGGAGGCCTTTTAGAAAAGTTGGACTGCTGGACGTGTGAACCAATTTCTATCTTCCCCTGAGTGAAGCTGGGAGCTAAGGGGTCTCTATCAGATCATATGGTGCTGCAGTGGGGACAGGGTCTCCAGCAAAAGGGTGTCCCACATCTCCCTACTAGCTTCAATGAATCTGGTTTTGTATTCTCCTGGGATGTTAGAGCCTTTCAGTTAGTTTCTCATTTCTCACAAAAGGAATTTATCCATGAATTTTTGCTGAATCAGTGTGTGTGAGGGGAGAAGGGGAGTCCAGAAGCTTCCTACTCAACTGTCTTGCTGATGTCACTCCTCTGTTGTTAACTTTTAAATGAGAATTACTTTCACCTGAAACTTTCACAAAATAGGAACATGGTGTCTTATTCCATGTATTTACACATAAGAATCATCTTTTTAAGAATCCTTTTAAGGATCATCTAGTTCAGAAATCATTTTGATCATTCTTTCTTTGTTTTGCAATCTATAATGACTTCCAGTGATTGCTTGAAGATTAACTACTGATAATGACTTTAATGCTCTCCACTGCCCAGCTCTTCACTTTACCTATCCTAATCTACTAGAGAAAACTTATTTGAGTTTAATTTGTTCCAGAGTTCACATACACACATCTGTCAACTTCCTTAATCCATATAATTTATAAGTAATTTCTTTTAAGAAAGTTTTCAGTGCAGTAAAAATTTATCAGTTTAAATTTAATGGAGGGAATACTGCCCAAATTTGTGAAGCATACGTTCTAAAGTATTGTAAAAAGACATGTAGCCTAGCTGTTTTCAAGTAATAATTTATATTTACAGAAGTTAAACTAAGATAAATTTACTGATGACTGAGCCATGTATTGTTACAAAAGCTTATTCCAATTTATCATTTGAGAGTGAAGGTTTTCTACTTCTGTTTCTGCTACTAAGAAACAGACTGCTAGGGAATTTTAAATTGTTAGAGAATTAAATGGGGGAAATTATATAATATTTTTGATCCTATGTATTTTTAGTTGTGGTATTGTTAGTGCAATTAAATTGGCACTTCCTTAGATACAAATGCTATAGGAGAGTGGAATAATATATTTCATACTCTGATTTTATAACTTATTTTCTTTTTTTAATTTTTAAAATATTTTTATTTTATTTATTTATTTTTGACTGTGTTGGGTCTTTGTTGCTGCATGTGGGCTTTCTCCATTTGTGGTGAGCAGGGGCTACTCTTCGTTGTGGTGCACGGGCTTCTCACTACGGTGGCTTCTCTTATTGTGGAGCACGGGCTCTAGGTACATGGGGTTCAGTAGTTGTGGCTTGCAGGCACTACAGTGCAGGCTCAGTAGTTGTGGCTCATGGACTTAGTTGCTCCATGGCATGTGGGATCTTCCTGGACCAGGGATCGAACCTGTGTCCCCTGCATTTGCAGGCAGATTCTTATCCACTGCGCCACCAGGGAAGCCCTTAATTTTCATATTATTAAAGATTCTGGTAATGCTTCTCACATATAACATTTCTGAAGTTTTTAATATTTTGTTAGTGTGTTAGAACTAAAATTCGTCTTACTATTGGTGTTTTGCTTTTGACTTATATTTAATGCTTATTAGCATACTGCTTTATTTTCAGCATTGACTGATGTCATCAAAGCTATTGATAAAGATGAAAATATTGATTATGGGGATCTGAATACTTGTCTTCAAAATTTTGGAGTTTACCTTTCTAAGCCAGAATTTCAGAAGATCACAGAGTTGACTGAAGCTGGCGGTAAGTGATATATTTTCAGGAAAATTGGGTTGATGCATGTGAAAAGATGATCAGTTTGCTATTCTTTTCCTCAGAATGATGACTTTATAATCTTTGTTAGAAAAAGAGTCCATTAAAATTAAGCCAATACTGAAAAGTACAAAAATACTCAAAAGTACAGCAAGACACTCAAAATCTCATTGTCCAGAAATAAGCAGTCTTAATAGTCTTTTCACACCTTTTTTTCCTAGGCAAAAATGCAAACAAAAAGAAAGTAGGGTTTGTGATTTTGCTTTCTGATTGACAGAAGTTAGGACAAAAGGTATTAAGTGGGACAAAGAAGGACTGTTTATTATGTCAAAGCTGACAATTCACAATAAAGGTACCAATTTTTTTAGGTGCCCGTAGAACATAGCAGCAACTTTCCTAAAGAGAAAGGGTGAGCGTAAGGTAGAGGGGTGGGTGAAGTTATAGATGAAATAATAATGGCCATAAGTTGATAATATTTGCAACTAGGGAGAGTACATGAGTGTGCATTGCCATATACTTTCTTTTTAAAAAATTAATTTATTTTATTTATTTATTTTTTTGGCTGTGTTGGGTCTTCATTGCTGCACGCAGGCTTTCTCTAGTTGTGGCGAGCAGGGGCTACTCTTTGTTGCAGTGCATGGGCTTCTCATTGTGGTGGTTTCTCTTGTTGTGGAGCACAGGCTCTAGGCGCATGGGCTTCAGTAGTTGTGGCACATGGCCTCAGTAGTTGTGGTATGCAGGCTCTAGAGCACAGGCTCAGTACTTGTGGCACATGGACTTAGTTGCTCCGTGGCATGTGGGATCTTCCCAGACCAGGGCTCGAACCCGTGTCCCCTGCATTGGCAGGTGGGTTCTTAACCACTGCGCCACCAGGGAAGTCCACCATATACTTTCTATTTTGTATATATTTACAATTTTTCGTAATAAAAAGTAGGGGTGTGTGTGTGTGTGTGTGTGTGTGTGTGTGTGGTGTTGAAGGAGACGAGCTTTCCTGGATGTCAAGTCTCATTATAAAGCTATAGTAATTTAAACAGTGTGAGAATGGCACAGGGATAGAGAAATTGACCAATAGGACAAGATAAGGAACTTCCAAATCTATCTACACATATATGGCAACATATATAATGAGGTGTTAGATCACAGCAGGGAAGAGAAGCACCACTTAATAAATGGTGCTGGAATAATTATTCAAATGAAAAAAATGGAATTGGATCCTTATCTATATACCATATTCAGTAATAATTTCCAGATGTGAACAGTAAAAGTTTTAGGAAAAAAAGAAGAAAATTTTTCTGACTTAGAGTTAGGAGGGATTTTTTAAAAAATACAAAATCACTAAGCAGAAGAGAAAAGATTGATAAATTTGGTTACATAAAATTAAGAACTTCTCTTTAATAAAACATAATACAAGGAGAACAAGCCACAAACTGAGTAAAGATTATTTGCAACACTTATAACAGCAAAGGATTGTTGTAGAGAATATATAGGAAACCCCTATAAATTAACAACCCAATAGAAAAATGGCTAAATTTCAAGAACAGTCATTTCCAGGTGAAGAAACACAAATTGCTAATAATCATATGAAAAGCTTCTCAATATCATTAGTAATCAGGGAAATGCAAAATTTAGGTCACAGTGAGATAACTTTTTATACGCACTAAACTGGTAAAAATTAAGCTGTCTGTTAATCTAAGTGTTGGTAAATATGGTGAAAGTGATAAAACAACTTTGAAAAACGTAGTATTTTGTAAGGTTTTCATATCCCTGTGGCTTAGAAAAATCCATTTTTAGCTATAAATTCAAGGAAATCTCTTGCACTGATTTACAAGGAGACATATTCAAGAATGTTCATGGCAACACTGATCTTAATAATAACAACAAAAAAAGAAACAACATGATCAGTGACAGAATGTATAAATTGTGGTATATACCTTTGTTGTATAATGGAATATTAATGGTGTACACATGAGTGAAAATGAACATAGCAATATAGCATATGGATGATTGTTGGATATATAATATTGAATGAAAAAAGCAAGTCTCAGATCGCTATAGTGTAACAAAAGCTTGAAAACAAAATTTAAAATAATTTATTTATCCAGTTACAAATTATATGTAAAAGAGCAAAAGATTGGTAAATTTTAAAAATTCAGTAATATTCTCTTTGTGGGGGAAGCAGGATAATGGAATGGGAAAAGCACAGAGGCAATGGTATTAATAATCTTCTTCAGCTGGGTGGTGGCTTCCCAGTGGTTTGGTGTATAATCACGCTTCATAACGATTATATGTTGCAAATATTTAGAAAGTTATATGTTCCTGTTAGGGAATGTAAATCTTAACTAACTCTATAATTCCCCCAGAATTTTTCAAGGTCTCTTTTTTTTTGTCTCCAAAAATTTGGCTAAGAATACAAAGTGATTTGGTGCTCTTTGAAGTAAACGCTCAAAGATTTTTAATATTGGGAATAGGAAGTATACTGTGCTGTATTTTTTACAGTGCATTAGAATTTTTTTTCTCAGTGGGGTAAGCAAAGGACTAGGGTTATCAAAAGCTCATTATATTTATATAAAACCTTTATATCTGGCCTTAGAAAATTCTTAGAAATATTTTATCCATTCTAACATTGGGATATTATGAAGAGTTATACATAATCAAGGAAAGCCATTGTCTAGGTATAAAATGACTATTAAGATGTTTAATGGTTTCAACAGTATACTAAAGATATCAATGTGAATGTTAGCCTGATGTAGAAGAAACAGAGAGTCAAGAGAGCTCACTTCTAATTCTTGATCTTGCATTTCCTACTGTGAACGTAGAAAAAAAAATCATATCACGTATGTGTTTTTTTAAAACATGTAAAATAACATACTAATTCTTTACCTACATTTTTTTATTTTGATGATGGCCATTCTGACTGGTGTGAGATGATATCTTATTGTAGTTTTTTTTTTTTAACATCTTTATTGGAGTATAATTGCTTTACAATGGTGTGTTAGTTTCTGCTTTATATTTACCTACATATTTTACTGAGTTGTTGCAAGACCAAGACAAGATAAGTTTAAAGTTAAAAATGTTGTACACTTGTGGCTAGAAGGATTTTGACAAATTTTCTTGGTATTTTCAGGGTTTAGCTTTTGCCTGTAAGTTGAATTGCTTTTCCCCCTTATACCTATATATCTTTAGTGGTTAGTATTAGCTGTTGGATATAATTATGTTATCTCCCTGAATATATAACTTATTTTATATAATTCAGTATTTATCATAATAATTTAATACTTGAAGATACTGAAGAAAATGTGTTCTTTTCCCTTCAGAAACAAAAAAAGTGAATTTTAAAGAATTCATTGATACTATGATGAGCAACACGGAACACTTCTCTGAAAAATTATGTTAGAACATCGTATCTTGTGCTTTTTGTGGACTAAATGGTTTGACAGAGTGTAGAAGAGTATAATGTATTAAAAGAGCTAGCCATCCTAAAGATCGTCAGGCAAATAAATGCCTGGCTTCGTGCTATGTTTGATCTTAATCTTCTCCATTACTGATTCCTAAATCTAGAACTTCCACATGCAAATGAATTGAAAGCTATCATAATCTTACTGTTCAACCTCATACTTTATTATAAAAAGCTAGAACCACATATATGAAATTCATATTTTGGGAAGGTTTAAAATGTTTTCTTACTTTGGGAAAGTGATGCCATCTAGTGACCATAGCTGAGTACTATAATGCAGAATTTCTGGTTTCAGCTATTCATATTTTTTTTCATCTTCCACTTTATTCAATAACATTTATTGAACCATTACTATGTACCAGATTATATGTTAAGCTGTGAGAGTGCTAAGGTGAAGAAGACAGTCTTTGTCACTAAGAAGCTCACTGTAAAAAAATGTAAGGTCATATATGTATATTGGAGTGAAATTAGTACTTTGAAGATTGGAGCTAAAAGTAGGAATGCGTTGTTTTGTGCCACATATTAGGTAATAGTGCACTTTAAGTAACAGCTATTTTTACCTTATATATCAATTTAATTTGTCTCCTATACAAGGAAACACAATTGATTAATTGGATGCAAGGATTATTTGCATTGTCAGGCACTTTTCCTAGGAATTTCAGTTTCATGGAGATAAAAAATTTTATTAGCACAGGGTTGTATAATATCTTATTCATATCTGTAGTTATATTTCCTTTCTCACTTCTTTTCTTCAAGTACTTTTTTAATTAAAGTAAATGCCAATAGAAAATAATTTTAATAAAACCATTTCAAGCACATCCAATGACTGGACATATATTTTTACATTGTGTACTCATTCAGATTTTATGTAAGCCACTTGATCATTCCATGTGGCTGTCATAGAATTTTAGTTTTTATTCTTTTATCTTGGTTTTTATTCATTTACTTTTATTTTTTGCTGTTTACAAGATAATGGCTATAATTCCTTGTGCTATACAATATATCTTTGTTGCTTATCTATTTTATACATACTAGTTTGTATCTCTTAATCCCATACAGCTGTCTTGTCCCATCCCCTCTTCCCTCTTGCCTCTCCCCACTGATAACCACTAGTTTGTTTTCTATAACTGTGAGTCTGGTTTTGTTCTTCTGTATACATTCATTTGTTTTATTTTTTCAGATTCCACACAAAAGTGATTTCATACAGTATTTGTTTTTCTCTGTCTGATTTATTTCACTAAGCATCATATTCTCTAGATCCATCCAAATTGCTGCAAATGGCAGAATTTTGTTCTTTTTTATGGCTGAGTAATATTCCATTTTGTGTGTGTGTGTGTGTGTGTGTGTGTGTGTGTGTGTGTGTGTGTGTGTACACACATACCGTTTCCTCTTTATCCATTTATTTGTTGATGGACACTTAGGTTGCTTTCATATCTTGGCTATTGTGAATAGTGCTGCTATGAACATTGGGGTGCATCTATATTTTGAAATTAGTGTTTTCTGTTTTTCCAAATATATACCTAGGAGTGAAATTGCTGGACATATGGTAGTTCTATTTTAGCTTTTTTAGGAACCTCCATGCTGTTTTCCTCAGTGGCTGCAACAAATTACATCCCCACCAACAGTGTACAAGTGTTCCCATTTCTCTGTATCCTTGCCGATATTTGTTATTTGTGGACTTTTTGATGATAGCCATTCTGACAGGTGTGAGGTGATATCTCACTGTGGTTTTGATTTGCATTTCTTTAATAATTAGTGATGTTGAGCTTCTTTTCACGTGCCTTTTAGCCATCTGTATGTCTTCTTTGGAAAAACCTCTATCCAGGGCTTCTGCCCAATTTTTGATTAGGTTGTTTTAAACTGGTAGTCATTTAAGTTCAAATACATTCTAAAAGGTCTACAGTTTTTACTCACCTCCCCCACATTTTGTGTTTTTGATGTCATATTTTGCATCTTCATGTTTATCTCTCAACTGTTTATTGTACTTACAGTTGCTATTACATTTTTTTCCAGGTGGTATTCTTCTGTATCACTTTAGTCTGCCAGTCATTCCTTCTAGTATTTTTTTTATTTCAACTATTGAATTCTTCATTTCTGATTAAGTCTTTTTTATATTTTCAGTTCCTTGTTAAAATTTTCACTGTTCATCTATTCTTTTCCCTAATTCAGTTAACATTTTTATTACCAATGCTTTGAATTCTTTATCTGGTAAATTGTTTATTTGTTTCATTATTAATTTTTTTCAGGGGTTTTCTTTGGCTCTTTCAATTGAGAGCAATTCCTCTGCCTTTTCATTTTGCTTAACTTTCTCTGCCTCTGTTTAGGTAAAACAGTTACCTACTGTGGTCTTGAAGGGGTTTTCTTATGTGGGGGCATCCCTATACAGACAGGGTGTGCACAATACCTTTGGTGGGAGAGCTGGATTTGGCATGGACACAGGTCACATCTTTTCTCAGAGTGTGCTGGCAGCTATCACCTGGTAGGGGTGGGGCTAGAGATGGAGGGGCTAGAGATGGAGTGAGGTGTGAGGTAGGACTTCTCTGCTCAGTGGCCATCCCTGCCCTATCAGGGTGGGGTTTGATCCCAAGTTGCTGAAGCAGAAGCCCTGAGGGTTGGGCCAGGCCTGGCTCTGTTCCCTTTAAGTGTGTGCTTTCCCTTCTTCCTGCTCCGGGACCCTTGCCTGAAAGGGGAGGAGAGCTGAAGCAAGTGGAGTCCATGCAGGTTCTCGGCTTGTATCGATCTCAGACAGAGGTCTGAGGTATCTCCAATATGCTGCCTGTGCAGGGGCCAGCAATTGTTTCCGTCACTCCACTCAGATGCAGTATTGGGTGCAAGTCTACTTTGTCCTTCACATCCAATCACTGCCCCCAGCCTCCACTGCCCCCACCCTGTTGTGGAGCCACACCACAGGGCAGGCGGGGCCTGTGTGGACTCTCAGGGTGTATTGGGGGTGAGCTGTGGTAGAGTGGCCACCCTCAAAGAACTGGACTGTTCCTGATGTGTTGCTTGCGTAAGCACCAGCAAATATTATATTTATTGATATTCTTAATTTAGTATTAGAATATGTTTTATTTTTGAGGTTGAAGGGGAATCTGGCTATTCTCAGTCTACCATATTGCCAGTTCTCTCTTTAAAAGCACTCATTCAGGTTTTTGACCTTGCCACTTCATACTAGCTTTTTACGAAAAGTTAAATCTCATCTTATTAAATCCAATGGTCAATTTTCTGTCTTCATCTTGTTTACCTCTAGCAGGTTTTAATATGTTTCTTCTTAAAAATTTCTCTTCTTCTGTCTTCTGTGACACTGTAGTCTCCTAATGTCCCTCTCATCTTATTGGCTCTTCCTTTAAAAAAAAAAAGAGATATAATTGACATTGTGTAAGTTTAAGGTGTGCAATCTGTTGATTTGATACACTTATACATTGCAGTATGATTACCACCGTAGTGTTTAACTAACACCTCCATCACATCACATAAATATTATTTCTTTTTTGTGGTGAGAACATTTAAGATTTAGTCTCTTAGCAACTTTCAAGTGTATAATACAGTATTAACTATAATCACAATGCTGTGCATTAGATCCCCAGGGCTCATTAATCTTCTAATTGCAAGTTAGTATCCTTTGACCAACATCTCCCCAGTTCCCCCACTCCCCAACCCCTGGTAACCACCATTCTATTCTCTGTTTCTATGAGTTCTGCTTTTTTAGATTCCACATATAAGTGAGACCTTATAGTATTTGTCTTTCTCTGTCTGACTTATCTCACTTAAAGTAATACCCTCAAGTCCGCAAATGGCAGAATTTCCTTCTTTCTCGTGGCTAAATAATATCCCATTGTATATATACCTCTTCCTTTTTGGTCTTGTTTGCTGGCTGCTTCTTTTCTGGATGACTTTTAAATATTAGTGTGATCCCAGATTCCATTCTGAGTCCCATTCTCTAAGGCTTTTCCTGAGTGATCTTATTGCTTTAAAATAATATCTGTATCCTTTTGACGCCCTATTTATTTATCTCAAACTTAATGTGTATGAAAAAGAATTCTTATTCTTTCCCTGGTCTTCCCTATATCAGCTGTTGATACCACTCTCCACCCAGTTGCTCAGGTCTCAAACCTATAAGTTCTTCATGGCCCCCGCCCCCTTAGACTGTTATTCAATTCATCATTAAATACTCTCAGCTTCATGCTCAAAATGTATCCTGTATTTGTCCACTTCTCCTTATCTCTATCACTTTCACCCTTGTTGAAACCACTATCATTTTTTTGTGTGTGAGCTACTACAATAGCTTCCTAACTGCTTGATCTTCAGAAAGTTCGTTGTCTACATTGCAACAGAGTGATCTTTTATACTTTTGTAATATGATAACTTCACTCCCCTGTTACAACTTTCCAAAGGTTTTCTATTGAAATTTTAATCAAACAAAATTTCCTTCCATGGTCTGCAGTGGTATATTAAAGAGGAAGTAGTTATCCAGGAAAGAATTTTTTGGGGAATAGCAAAAGCTATTTAATTCATGGTTTTATCAGTTGGACATGTTTGTGAATTCAGCCTTTTGTAAATCTATAGTTCAATGAAAGTTATTCTTTATAATGATTATTTAGGGGTGCAGACATTATAAGTTCTTGAAATATTTTATAATCTTCAAAGATATACTTAATTTTGTGTTATTTTATTCTGCTTTAATATTTGAAAATTGGCAATTAATTTATACTGTATTTGTTATTCTTCTTAACCATAAAAATCTCAATTCCTAACTATTCCAGATAATAGTTTGCTGTATTAACTTCTTGGACAAGTATGTTGTAAAACTTGTGTTTTATGTACCCTTTAGTATTGCCTGATGCTATTGAAAACCTCCACAACCTTAGCAAAGAGAAGATGAGTGCTCCTGACCTGTGGAATACTCTGTCTAGTTTGAAAAGTAATTTAAAAAAAGATGAATTCCTAGCTGCACTGAAATTAGCAACAGTTGATGGTGAGTATTCCAAATACTAAAATTAAAAGATATATGGTTTTATCTTCTGTCAATCTTTATTTGTCCTTGTATCTGATTGATATGCCAATATATACATTTAGGAAATATAAAGAAGGCTCAGATTGTTTGTCCTATAGAAAAATATTAATATCTAATATATTATTACTCTACACTGATCAAATACGTATTGACTGTAACTGGATGAGGCCAGCAAGTTTGGCTTCTTGCTGATTGAAAGGCCAATACTCAAGAGACAAGTGTTGGTGGAAAAGGAAAAGTTGTTTTATTTGGGAGGCCAGCAACCTGGGAATATGGTGGACCAATGTCCTAGGACCATCTCCAAGTTGTTGGTTAGGAGACAAAGGTTTTACAATCAGTGTGGGGGAGGGGGCTGCAGGGTGTGTGAATGGCTTGTGCACAATCTCGCATTGGTCGGTATCAAGGTAAAGTTTCAGGCAACACCAATCCTCTGGCTTTAATTGGTTTGGGTTCTATGTGCTTGCATAGCAGTTTTCATCTGAGGGGTGTCTGCTTCCTGTAAAAACAACTGAGGAATATGTGTTAGGCCTTTATCAATATCTTCAGGGAACTGGGAGTTCAGTGACTCTGCTATGTGGCTGGTTTGTAGTCTAAATTATTACCAGTTTCCTGACCCAACAGATAGCTATTCTTTGTTTTTACATCTTCACATTTCATATTCATTAACTTTTTTTTAACATCTTTATTGGAGTATAATTGCTTTACATTGTTGTGTTAGTTTCTGCTGTGTAACAAAGTGAATCAGCAATACGTATACTTATATCCCCATATCCCTTCCCTCTTGCATCTCCCTCCCACCCTCCCTATCGCACCCCTCTAGGTAGACACAAAGCACCGTGCTGATCTCCCTGTGCTATGCAGCTGCTTCCCACTAGCTATCTGTTTTACATTTGATAGTGTATATATGACCATGCCACTCTCTCACTTTGTCCTAGCTTACCCTTCCCCCTCCCGGTGTCCTTAAGTCCATTCTCTACATCTGCCTCTTTATTCCTATCCTGCCCCTACGTTCTTCAGAACCATTTTTTTTTTAGATTCCATATATATGTGTTAGCATATGGTATTTACTTTTCTCTTTGTGACTTACTTCGCTCTGTATGACAGATTCTAGGTCCATTCACCTCACTACAAATAACTCAATTTTGAGTTATTTTGAGTCAGTTTTACTTCTTCTCTTACGATTTGAATTCCTTTTATTTCTTTTTCTTCTCTGATTGCTGTGGCTAACACTTCCAAAACTATGTTGAATAATAGTGGTAGAGTGGGCAGCCTTGTCTTGTTCCTGATCTTAGAGGAAATGGTTTCAGTTTTTCACCATTGAGAATGATGTTGGCTGTGGGTTTGTCATATATGGCCTGTATTATGTTGATGTAAGTTCCCTCTATGCCTACTTTCTGGAGAGTTTTTATCATAAATAGGTGTTGAATTTTGTCAAAAGCTTTTTCTGCATCTATTGAGATGATCATATGGTTTTTCTCCTTCAGTTTGTTAATATGGTGTATCACATTGATTGATTTGCATATATTGAAGAATTCTTGCATTCCTGGGATAAACCCCACTTGATCATGGTGTATGATCCTTTTAATGTGCTGTTGGATTCTGTTTGCTAGTATTTTGTTGAGGATTTTTGCATCTATGTTCATCAGTGATATTAGCCTGTATTTTTCTTTTTTGTGACATCTTTGTCTGGTTTTGGTATCGGAGTGATGGTGGCCTCATAGAATGAGTTTGGGAATATTCCTCCCTCTGTTATATTTTGGAAGAGTTTGAGAAGGATGAGTGTTAGCTCTTCTCTAAATGTTTGATAGAATTCGGCTGTGAAGCCATCTGGTCCTGGGCTTTTGTTTGTTAGAAGATTTTTAATCACAGTTTCAATTTCAGTGCTTGTGATTGGTCTGTTTCCATTTTCTATTTATTCCTGGTTCGGTCTCGGAAGGTTGTGCTTTTCTAAGAATTTGTCCATTTCTTCCAGGTTGTCCATTTTATTGGCATGTAGTTGCTTGTAGTAATCTCTCATGATCCTTCGTATTTCTGCAGTGTCAGTTGTTACTTCTCCTTTTTCATTTCTAATTCTGTTGATTTGAGTCTTCTCCCTTTTTTTCGTGATGAGTCTGGCTAATGGTTTATCAATTTTATCTTCTCAAAGAACCAGCTTTTAGTTTTATTGATCTTTGCTATCATTTCCTGCATTTCTTTTTCATTTATTTCTGATCCAACCTTTATGATTTCTTTCCTTCTACTAACTTTGGGTTTTTTTTGTTCTTTTTCTCTAATTGCTTTAGGTGTAAGGTTAGGTTGTTTATTTGAGATTTTTCTTGTTTCTTGAGGTAAGATTGTATTCCTGTAAACTTCCCTCTTAGAACTGCTTTTGCTGCATCCCATAGGTTTCGGGCCATCCTGTTTTAATTGTCATTTGTTTCTAGGTATTTTTTGATTTCCTCTTTGATTTCTTCAGTGATCTCTTGGTTATTTAGTAGTGTATTGTTTAGCCTCCATGTGTTTGTATTTTTTGCAGTTTTTTTGCTGTAATTAATATCTAGACCCATAGTGTTGTGGTCGGAAAAGACACTTGATACGATTTCAATTTTCTTAAATTTACCAAGGCTTGATTTGTGACCCAAATCACAAATCTGTCCTGGAGAATGTTCCAGGAGTACTTGAGAAGAAAGTGTATTCTGTTGTTTTTAGATGGAATGTCCTATAAATATCAATTAAGTCCATCTTGTTTAATGTGTCATTTAAAGCTTGTGTTTCCTTATTTATTTTCATTTTTGTTGTTTTGTCCACTGGTGAAAGTGGGGTGTTAAAGTCCCCTACTGCTATTGTGTTATTGTTGATTTCCCCTTTTATGGCTGTTAGCATTTGCCTTATGTGTTGAGGTGCTCGTATGTTGGGTGCATAAATATTTACAATTGTTATATCTTCTTCTTGGATTGATCCTTTGATCATTATGTAGTGTCCTTCTTTGTCTCGTCAGTCTTTATTTTAAAGTCTATTTTATCTGATATGAGAATTGCTACTCCAGGTTTCTTTTGATTTCTATTTGCATGGAATATCTTTTTCCATCCCCTCACTTTCAGTCTGTATGTGTCCCTAGGTCTGAAGTCGGTCTCTTGTAGACAGCATATATATGGGTCTTGTTTTTGTATCCATTCAGCCAGTCTATGTCTTTTGGTTGGAACATTTAATCCATTTACATTTAAGGTAATTATCGATATGTATGTTCCTGTTACCGTTTTCTTAATTGTTTTGGGTTTGTTATTGTAGGTCTTTTCCTTCTCTTGTGTTGCTGCACAGAGAAGTTCCTTTAGCATTTGTTGTAAAGCTGGTTTGGTGGTGCTGAATTCTCTTAGCTTTTGCTTGACTGTAAAGATTTTAATTTCTCCATCGAATCTGAATGAGATCCTTGCTGGGTAGAGTAATCTTGGTTGTAGGTTTTTCCCTTTCATCACTTTAAATATGTCCTGCTACTCCCTCCTGGCTTGCAAAGTTTCTGCTGAAAGAGCAGCTGTTAACCTTATGGGGATTCCCTTGTATGTTATTTGTTGCTTTTCCCTTGCTGCTTTTAATATTTTTTCTTTGTGTTTAATTTTTGATAGTTTGATTAATATGTCTTGGCTTGTTTCTCCTTGGATTTATCCTGTATGGGACTCTCTGTGCTTCCTGGACTTTATTCACTATTTCCTTTCCCATATTAGGGAAATTTTCAACTATAATCTCTTCAAATATTTTCTCAGTCCCTTTCTTTTTCTCTTCTTCTTTTGGGACCCCTATAATTTGAATGTTGGTGCATTTAATGTTGTCCCAGAGGTCTCTGAGGCTGTCTTCAATTCTTTTCATTCTTTTTTCTTTATTCTGCTCTGTGGTAGTTATTTCCACTATTTTATCTTCCAGGTCACTTATCCGTTCTTCTGCCTCAGTTATTCTGCTATTGATTCCTTCTAGAGAATTTTTAATATCATTTATTGTGTTGTTCATCAATGTTTTTTTGCTCTTTAGTTCTTCTAGGTCCTTATTAAACTTTTCTTGTGTTTTCTCCATTCTATTTCCAAGATTTTGGATCATCTTTACTACCATTTCTCTGAATTCTTTTTCAAGTAGACTGCCTATTTCCTCTTCATTTGTTTGGTCTGGGTTTTTACCTTGCTTCTTCATCTGCTGTGTATTTCTCTGTCTTCTCACTTTGCTTAACTTACTGTGTTTGGGGTCTGCTTTTTTCAGGCTGCAGGGTCGTAGTTCCCATTGTTTTGCCCCCAGTGGGTAATGTTGGTTCAGTAGGTTGTGTAGGCTTCCTGGTGGAGGGGACTGGTGCCTGTGTTCTGCTGGATGAGTCTGGATCTTGTCTTTTTGGTGAGCAGGACCACGTCTGGTGATGTGTTTTGGCGTGTCCTTTACCTTATTATGATTTTAGGCAGCCTCTCTGCTATTGGGTGGGTTTGTGTTCCTGTCTTGCTAGTTGTTTGGCATGGAGTGTCCTGCACTGGAGCGTGCTGGTTGTTGAGTAGAGCTGGGTCTTAGTGTTGAAACAGAGATCTCTGGGAGAGCTCTCACCGATTGATATTACGTGGGGCCAGTTGGTCTCTGGTGGTCCAATGTCCTGAATTCGGCTCTCTCACCTCAGAGGCTCAGGCCTGACAGCCGGCCGGAGCACCATGACCCTCTCAGCCACACAGCTCAGAAGAAAAGGAAGAAAAAAAGAAAGAAAGAAAAATAAAATAAAAAGTTATTAAAATAGGGCTTCTCTAGTGGCACAGTGGTTGAGAGTCCGCCTGCCGATGCAGGGGACACGGGCTCATGCCCCTGTCCAGGAAGATCCCACATGCCGCGGAGCGGCTAGGCCCGTGAGCCATGTCCACTGAGCCTGCGCGTCCGGAGCCTGTGCTCCGCAACGGGAGAGGCCACAACAGTGAGAGGCCCGTGTACCGCAAAAAAAAAAAAAAAAAAAAAAAAAGACGGGAATTCCCTGTAATGCTGCCAGGAGTTTCAGTGCAGAGGAAGACTGTGAGTAATAGGACAAACTCCTGAAATGACCAAGTCAATAAGTGACAGTAAAAAGAAAGCCATAAATCTCAAAAGAGGAAAGGTTTGAGTATTGTTGGAAAGCAGCAATTGGAATCTAGGAGAATGCCAAGCCAAAGGCAATGGAATATAGAATAATGAGTAGCTTTCTCTAAAAATAAATAAATAAATAAAATTTTTAAATTTAAAAAAAATAATAGAAAAGTCTATTAGGAGGAGGCGAAGTTCAGTTAAGAAAGAAGGTAAGAGTCTTCAAGGAGACTGATGATACAGAGAAATTCAAAGAGTCCAAGAGGGCACTATAGGAAGGGTGGAAAAGAAAGCTATCAATGGAAAGAAAATTTTGAGTAGTAAAACACAGAATAGATTAGAGAGAGCGTAGAAATTTTTGAGGTGCTTACATTTTAGAGAGTGGAAATGATACAAATAAAAGATATGGTTAGAATAATAACCTTGAGGCAGAAGACCCATGTCTGTCAAAAGCCTGATCAAGTTAGCAGACTGGTAAGATGCTCTGTGTGTCTGAAGAGCCATTCCTTTGTCTGGTTACAGGGGAATATTAGGACTCCTGTGGTCCAAGGCTTCACAAAAGTGTTCTGAAGCAGCTTGGGGAAAACAACCCTTGTGGACATTTCCTCCCAGGCCCTTGTGCAGAAGCTCGCTAACTCCCCAGATACTCTCCTACCAATAGTAGCACTGCAGAGTTTTCTTTTGCAGGAACTGGAAATGATTAGGATGTCCAAATTGTCTGCCTAAACTGCATCTCTTTTTTTTTTCCTAGGTTTATTGAGCTGTAGTTGATATATAACATTGTTTAAGGTTAAGGTATACACTGTGATGATTTGATACATGTATTTTTACCACAATAAGGTTAGTTGACACATCCTTCACCTCACACAATTACCATTTTGTTGTTTTGTTGCTAAACTGTATCTTCAAACTAAAGAGAAGAGCCATGTAAAGGAAAGTTTACACATAGCCATCCTACAAGCAGATGGGGAAACAGTTGCAGGGGGCAAGGGTAAGTGGGGCTTTCCACCCTCATAACCAGGAACCAAAAAACAAATTAGTTACCAAACAAATTTGTTAGCTTTATGCCTTACCCATGCTTGTGATAGTTTGGTGATCCCTGTCTATTTCACTCTACCACTTTACATTAAAACACTAAAAATAAAAAATCTCTATGTGCTCGTTTTCCTGGGACACAAAAAAAGAGGCGAGCTTGGAAGACTGTATCTAACTTTCTAACTGCCCAAAAATATACTGGGTGGTGGTAGCTGCTAAGAACAGAGGACGACAAGGCCACGAAATTTTTGAGATGTGACAGAGAGCCAGGCTGGGTTAAGAAAGAAGGCCCTGGAGAAAAGCCCGGCGTAGTTCTATGATATGAGATTAAGCAGACTCTAAAAAAACCAAGATTTTAATGTGTGCACAGAATTATATTTTAATAGCAGTGTTTTCCTCATTGATGTATTCTCTCACTCTGATGAATGTTTCCATCTACTGACTCACAGCCTAACTTTGATCATCATTGTTTTCGCCAAAAAGCTCAAGATTACATCTTAGCAATAGCTTGCATTCTTGCCAGGTTTACTTCATTGCTTAATCAACAAATGCCATGCAGACATTTTTTTAATAATAAAGAATCATCGTTCTTCAAATTTTCAACCATTACCATGTTTTACTTTTTAAAGGTGAGAAGGTTGATACTAGTGACCTGGAAATTTTTCTGCAAAATATGGGGATAGAGCTCACAGAAGATAAAGGCATGGAATTACTGAACAATCTTCCAGTTGATGGTGAGCATTAAAAATATCACAGTGGGGTAAACAGTCACAGTGGCCTTCAAGGAAACTTGAGTATACGGACTTAGGTGACTAATACTCCCTATTTAAGGAATCTTTCATGCACCCCTTCCCCACCAAAATGATTTCACCAAATTGAGAGCTGTTTCTGTTCCTGAGTTTTATTCTTTTAAGTGAAATAATATAAATGTCTAGAATAAAACATTTAAGTATTTATGTTTCTAAAATTATGCATGTTTTATTCTATTTTAAAATATCTGCACTGCTGTCTGAGACTTGAATTTTTCCCTTTCTTGCAGCCAAAAGAAAGGTGTATATGAACAGATTGATGAAAGAATTGCAGTCTTTTAAAGGTGAGTGAGAAGTATGATGAAAAGGCAGTTAAAACTGAGGTCATGGAGCTTTGTTCTTGTTTTCAAAAACTTTCTATTTCACATATTTCAGATGATTAATCCCGCTGTCCCAATTATTCAGTATTTATTCTTTATAAGCTTTAGGTACTCTACAGTCACCAAAAATTGTTTAACTACAGTAAGCCCAAAAGCAGTGGTTCCCAAATAAAGTTGTACATCAGAGTCACTGGGAGGGGGGGCGGAATTTAGCATTCAGATTACTAGGCCCCTTTCAGTCAATTTCCAGAGATAGCACCTAGAAACATATGTTATTAAATGTATAGGATTATGATAGTGTAAATCCATGGATTGGATGGAAAGTTCTCCATTAATTTAGCAAGTTTCAAATCCTACTATGCAGACATACTTATAAAGGTTGATTTTAGTCTTTGCCATGACTTACCACATACCTCTAACCCCTCACTTTCGTCTCTTAAAAGTTTTCCAAGTCCCAGAGATCAGGGTTAGGAATTCCTGACTTAGACACCAAACCATATTTACTTGAACAGTTTGTTCTTTGCTCTTTATTCTCTATACAGTATTGATGCCTAGGCATGAGCTACAATGACCCACTCTTTACATCATTACAAATATTTCTCATATCTGCCCCTTTCTTTCCTAAGGGACAAAGGTATCTTTAGATAAGGTGGACACTTTCATTAAAAACATGGGAATTGACCTCAAGGAGAAAGAAATCCAGGAATTGAAGGACCACCTACCAGTTGATGGTGAGAGTTTTGAATATCAATATACCCCTTAGCAAAACTTTGCACATGAGGCCAGTATCAGGGCTGGAAAGACTAAAGATAGGATGTATATGAAAAGAAGAAAAAGAAAGAGTGAGGCCTTCAGCATAGCTGAAACCAAATAGCTATCACTTGAGAAGGATCACCAAGAATGCTACCCAATATAGATGGCAAGTGTCACTCTCCATAGGAAATGCCAAGGTCTAACGAGAATACTTAAGACTGTAATCTTTGGGTTTTGGGTTTTTTTTTTAAAGAATGTGGAGGATTTATTAGACTAGAGATTTTGCAGATTTCAGAGCATTAAGAACTCACAAAATCATATGATCCAGTGTCCCTACTGCTAATCCAGCATTAGATAGCAATGACCAACACTTATATAGTCCTGACATGTGCAAGGCACTGTTCTAAGCACTTTACGTATATAATCTTATTTAATCTTCCAAACAACTCTATAAGGTAAGTGCCATTTTAACCCTAAGTTTACATATCAGGAAATTAAGGCACAGAGAAAACAAGGAGCTTACCTAAAGTCAGAAAGCTAGTAAGTGGTGGACAGGCAATCTGGCTCCAGAAACTATCTCTTAACCACTGTGCTATACTGCCATGGACTACAGAATTAGTGAACTTAAGAAGATGTATAGTGAAGTTACCAACTGGATTAATTAAATTTGGCATATGTAAGACTGTTCTCATGCTAGTAGAACTGAGAAAATTTTATCAGGAAATTTTGAGGGACACTTGCCCCCTTTAGGAAGTAGTAAAGATGGAAAATTTACACAAGTCAATGAATCTGGGTTTTTCCAAATTAGTAGTACCTTCATTCTTTTTTCTTTCTTTTGTTTACTTAATTAAAGTTTCTTTAAATTCTGTGGTGCTTTACAATTTTCAGAAGTTTCACACACATGATTTCATATAATCTCACAAAAACCCTTTTCCCCCCACCCCTACAGTGCCCCTCCCCCATCCCTCTCCCCAGTACCTTTCATTCTTTCATTCTTAAAGATGTTAAAAAAAAGAAAGAAAAACTTTAATTGAATGCCTATGATGTGTCAGGCACTGTTCTAGGCCCTTGGGGCCTTTGCCTTAGTAAGAGGTAAGCAGTTTTTCCAAAAATGACATTATTTCTGATTTTTTAAACCCTTTCATAACTTTTTTTTTTTTTTTGCTATACGCGGGCCTCTCACTGTTGTGGCCTCTCCCGTTGCAGAGCACATGCTCCGGACGCGCAGGCTCAGTGGCCATGGCTCACGCGCCCAGCCACTCCGCGGCATGTGGGATCTTCCCGGACCGGGGCACGAACCCGTGTACCCTGCATCGACAGGCAGACTCTCAACCACTGCACCACCAGGGAAGCCCTATTTTTAACTTTTTGAGGACCTTCCATACTGTTTTTCATAGTAGCTGCACCAATTTACATTCCCACCAATAGGCACGAGTGTTCCCCTTTCCCTACATCCTGGCGGACACTTGTTATTTCTAGTCTTTTTGATAATAGTTTTTCTGACAAGTGTGAGGTGGTATCTCAGTGTGGTTTTGATTTGCATTTCCCTGATAATTAGAGATGTTGAACATCTTTTCATGTGCCTGCTGGCTGTGTGTATGTCTTCTTTGGAAAAATGTCTATTCAGGTCCTCTGCCCATTTTTTAATCAGGTTTTTTTTTTATATCGAGTTGTATGAGTTCTTTATATATTTTGGGGGGGTTTTGTTTTTTTAATGTAACTGCTTTTTTTCAACAAATAGCCCATACTTTTTATTTATTGATTATTTTTATTTATTTATTTATTTATTTTTGGCTGCACCGGGTGGTTTGCAGGACCTTAGTTCCCCGCCCAGGGATCGAACCCGTGCCCCCTGCATTGGGAGCATGGAGTCTTAACCACTGGACCACCAGGGAAGTCCCTCTTTATATATTTTGGATATCAACCCCTTACTGATATATCATTTGCAAATATCTTCTCCCATTCAGTAGGTTGCCTTTTCATTTTGTTGATGGCTTCTTTTGCTGTACAATACCATTTCAGTTTTATGTAGTTCCATTTTAATATTTTCGCTTTTGTTTCCCTTGCCTAAGGACACAGATCCAAAAAAAAAATTTCTAAGACCAATGTCGAAGAGCTTACTGCCTGTGTTTCATGGTTTCAGGCCTTATACTTAAGTCTTTAATCCATTTTGCATTTATTTTGGTATATGGTTTAAGAAAGTGGTCCAGTTTTCCCAAACCACTTATTGACTGAAGAGACTCTCTTTTCCCTTCGTGTATTTAATTTTTCAAATCTTATTATCTTCACCTGAGTCTAAATTCTGAATTTTCTTACAGAAGATGAAAAGGTTGACTTGGATGTGTTGATGGATGCAGCACTTTTACAGGTGAGTGAGAATTTGTATAAGATGTTATAAAATTGAGATTTTGATGCTTTATAGAGGATTACCTTCTTAAAGCAGTAGTTTACTCCCTCCAGTCATCATTAGTAAGTTCACTCTGCTCTTTTACCTATTTATTGGTAATTTTGTCTTATTGACAGCAGTTTAGATGATTAGAGATTTAGGGAAAGTTTGGGCACTCTCCAAAAGGAGTATTAACTTGTCTAATATTTTGACCAGTAATGTGCTCTCATTTCTCTAGTGTTTAAAGAATCAAAATATAGGTGACCACAATCAATCTCAACATGAAGTTTTTGCATCAGGAAATATGATCTCTGTGAACAGTCAGTTCTATAATTCAGGTTACGAAGTAGTTACAGAGATATTACTTGCCTGTAGAATTACGTAGATTCTACTTACCATCATAAGTCATTGGGTAGTTATACTGCCCCCCTGTTACTCCATGCCATATTGACCCATACACAGGATAAAAATGTTACCTTCTTATTTGAATTAAAAAACCTTTTCAAGTACTGAATTTCACAATAACTCTATGTAAGTGAAGTCAGCTCATATATTTAAACTTCATCCTGCAGTTAAAAAATAATGTTGTACTGGATAATTTAGAATAATTAGATCTCTTAATATTATCACCTGAAACAATTCCCATCATTCAAAGGAGAAAAGGTTGAAGCCAGTGACTTTAAAAATGTGCTGGGAAACATGGGAATCGAGCTCACCGGAAAAGAACAGTTGATGCTGTCAAAAACTCTGCCAATCTCTAGTGAGTAGTTAACATACCATCATGGTGCTCAGGGAAATGTGGTACTGTGGGCTTCTGGGTGAGAACTGTCCAGTGCCCTAAGAAACCCCCTAAGAAAAATGCAGTTCAGACATAAGAAACTTTGTTATTGTTAGTTGTGTTTTCATTTAGAAGTGAGAAACTTCTCTCTTTTCTATTCAGCCAATGGATAAACTTTTTTTTTATTTTAGCAGCTACACAGCTAAATTCTTCTGTAGCCCCCTGAATGCACCCCACATCCTCAGTCCCTCCTCCAGTAGCCCTCCCATCTCCCCACAATCCAGCAACTAAATTGTAAACACCTAAGAGCAGAGGACCTCTAGGACCATGTGCTTATATTGTCAATATCCATTCTGATTGGTCAGTGGCCCCACCAGTCAGTTCCTCAAAAGTTTTACCTCCTGGGCACCTGTGTAGGCTCGCCCACAAAGACCCTAGAGGCCAACCTGTGCTTCACCTGTACCTCCTGCCCAGTCTCAGAGACCCCGACACATAGATATTCTGTCTCCTGCCCCAATAGTTCCTGTCCCTAATTGTTCCCCAGGCAAGAGAGAGCCTACACATCACTAAGGGGGCTAGCGCCCCTGGTGGCAGAATTAGCACCCTGGGCAGCAAATGCTCAATGCCTATTTGAATCCTCCCCACATACACCTGAGGCTGTGGCCACTCACTATGTCTAGCATTGTCCCCAGATTGCTCTCAAGGGGCCAGTTGTGAGAAATGCAGCATTCTTAGGATATTGGCTTTGAGAGAGCAGGATAGAGACACAGAAAGAAGCAGATGGACTGTAATGGAGACGACTGCAGGCACATGCCAGGTGTTGAGGGTTATGTCAACTCTGCAGACACTCCTACCACAGAATGGCGGACTCTGGGGACAGATAGCACCTGTGGGGTTGGGTTAGGCTGGTAGGTGTCCCTTGTTCTCTGTCTGTTGAATTTCACCTCCGTTTATGAAAAGATTTTGTTTAGAAAACAATTTTTTTTCTCATTTCAGTATTATTTTGTGTTACTGTTTGGGTTGATATCTATCTTTAATATCACCACTTTATAGGATCTACCATTAGATATAAACATATACTTATGGGAATACCTCATGGGCCTAGAGCATAGGCAAGGAAAAAAGAAAAAGGCAAAGGAGTCAAAGTGCAGTTAAAGAAGAGAAGAATGAGAAGAAAGATGTGTGTGAGTGTGAGTGTGTAGCCTGCATCAGCTACTGCCAGGTGTTCCAAATAGAGGCTAGATTGACCACATTGAGAACAGTCCTTACCTTTTGTTATAATTTGAAGGTGAGATACAATAAATTTCTAGGTGAATTGTATAAAATGTCTCATAAAATGATAGTTTCTTATCCTTTTTCTTTTGACTTGAATTTTACCATATCTTCCAGGAGATGGAAAGGTATATAAGAAAAGATTGCTGGATAGCGTGAAGCCTCTCAAAGGTAAGAATCATGAGAACAGCACCTAAAATTTATTGTAGGTGCTTTGCATTTGCTTTTTAAAATTTCTGATTAGAATCTTGCTACTTCAATATTCTACTGGTTTACTGATACTGAATTTATGCCTTGTAACCTACTGTTCTTCTTTGGGTATAACTACATTTGAAGAAGTCATTGTTAGTAATATGTAGCAAGTTTAAAATTTTGATTTCATTTAGGTTGATTATCTTTATCACAATTCATCATACTTGTCTAATTCTTTTTCATCCATGATTACTTCAGTTAAAAGCTACAGTACAGTGTTGAGAGAGCATTTTCTCTTCTTGACTGCAACACTAACTCTCTGGGTTCACTTAAATGGCCACTGTTTCCCTCTTCGTTTAGGGTGAATGCATACTCAAAGATAGCATCTTCCACTTCTTGGACCTGCTTGTATTTCTTATGTATATCCTCTTCTTTCCTAAGGGAAAAAAGTCAGTGTCAATAACCTAGACACGCTAATGGAGAACATGGAAATTCAGCTTGAGAAAGAGGACTATGAAGACTTACTGACCCATCTGCCAGCTGATGGTAGGTATTTCAGATACCACTGTACCTAGGGGGGATCTTAGGTTTCTACGTGAAACCTAAGAAAGTACACTTCTTTTTTAATCTCTTTGAAAAACTTATGAAATATTTCAAACATATATAAAATAGAGGACAATATAGCAAACACTGGCTAGAGTTAAAAAGTATTATCATTTTGCCATATTTACTTCATACATCTTCCTTCCCTCCTTCTCTCCCTCCCATGTATACCTTTTTTTTAATAAGATAAGGTTTCATTAATGACCCAATAAGACCAATTAAGCTTGATAAAAATGTCAAAGAGGCAAAGTTAGGATAATTCATTAGGAAGAAATTACTAAGGGATGAGCCCCAGTCTAAGATTTCCTTATTGGATTCAAATGCAGATCCAGTGGCTTTGAATAAAAACCTGATGAAAAATAAGCTTCCATCAGAAAGCCAGACAGCACATCTTTCAGCAGAGCCCAGTATATGCCAATCAAAGTGAACCATCTTTTGTGCTACTCTTACCTGTATCTGGCCTTAATGTAGAAAACAGTTTTGGCCTAGCCTGTAGTTTAAAACTTCACTCTCCCTGGGTTTAATAATGCTGGGAATCATGGTCCCCACATATTAGCTAGGGGTCCTCAAAATGCTTCCTACAGGAAAAGATATTGTTACCAATAAAGTATTTTTAGAATCCTTGATTCAAAAACAAAGACAGAATAATTTTTTCTAATCCAACAGTGTGACTGTTTCTGTACCACTGAAATTCATTCATTTAGCTAGCACAAACTGTATGCAGAACACTGAACTACAGAGTGGAAAAGTTATACCTGGTAGGATAAAGAAAAATAAGGCATGATCCCTGCTCTCAAATAGCTTACAGTCCTGGGGAGTGGCAGTGGGGAACATAAGCAAAATTTAGAGAGTGGGAAGATAGCATACTGTTAAGGTTTGAGGGTCAGATGCTTATGTAAATAAATGACTTTCAAATTCTATCTTGTCTATTGAAATATGTTCCCATTATTGGGTGTGAAGAAAGGGAGAGGCCTATTAGAAGGCACTGCTTTTAAACTTGCTTCATCTTTACTTTAAGGGTCAGTTGATACTATACAGAAAGTGATATTAATTAAGTGGATGCTCACTTTAAATAACATTTTTTTAATTAATTAATTTATTTACTTATTTATTTGGGGCTGTGTTGGGTCTTCATTTCTGTGCGAGGGCTTTCTCTAGTTGTGGCAAGCGGGGGCCACTCTTCATCGCGGTGCGCGGGCCTCTCACTATCGCGGCCTCTCTTGTTGCTGAGCACAGGCTCCAGACGCGCAGGCTCAGTAGTTGTGGCTCACGGGCTTAGTTGCTCCGCGGCATGTGGGATCCTCCCAGACCAGGGCTCGAACCCGTGTCCCCTGCATTAGCAGGCAGATTCTCAATCACTGCGCCACCAGGGAAGCCCCCTTTAAATAACATTTTGATCTTCTTTCCTGTTTCTTGCTTATTTTGAGTTAAAAGAGTTACTAAAGAAAATCATGAAAAATAGCTGAATTCCAACACTTTATATTACAACTTAAATGTTTCATATCATTTTTCTCTTTACAACTTAAATGTTTCATATCATTTTTCTCTAAGTCTAATAATTTTTTCTGTGCCTGAATTGTCTTTTCTTACAGAGAATAAAATGGTTGATTTGGATGTAGATGGATGATGCAAAAGCTTTCACAGGTGAGTAAGAAGCTGTGGTGAAAGGGAATTCATTATTAACTAAGGCCTTAATGCTTTTTTTTAAAGATGTTTTTAAATGGTAGTTTTCTGTTTGGGCTATTACTAACATGCTAAGTTGACTCCCTCCAAATATAATGGTTAAATGTTTGTTTTATAATCTTACTGTTTGATTTGGGATTTTTCCTGAATGGACCTATATTCTGTGGAGTTTTTACCAATGATGTTTTCCACTTCACCATTGTTTAAACAACCAAAATATAGGTCAACACTGTCCAATCGCAAGGTGAAGTTTTTGTGGGGTAGCTAGGAAATACTATTACTGTGTCAGAAGACCCAATAGTTCAGGAAAGTTAATGGCATTTGACTTGTATCTGGAATTATATAAGCTCTTCTTTTGCTTGAATTAAAAGTATGAATTCTATTTCTGACTCAATCTACCCACCCACATGTCCTTTTAGTCTACATAGTTTAACAGGTTTCATTGTCAGTTTGCTCTTCTAATTAAAGATGATGCCACATAGGTAATCTTTTTCATAATTTGAAATAATTATTCCATTCCTAAAATTATTACATGTTAACAATTCCCATTTTTCCAAAGGAGAGAAAGTTAATGTCAGTAATCTGGACAATGCGCTGAGGACAGTGGGGCTCGTGCTCACTGCTGAGGGGCATGAGGAGCTGCTGAAAACGGCCAATTCACGGTGAGGATTTAGCACATTCTTTGAAGCTTGGAGTCATGGGCTTGTGTGTGAAAACTGATGAAATTATATATGTGTATATCCAATAAATCCTATTTGGAAAACACAGTTCTCACACAAGAAGAAACTCTGTTCTTGTTGCTTACATTTTTGTACTGAAAACTGACATCTTTCACTGATCTCCCACCATAAAGGCTAAATTATCCTGTGGGAGCACTGCCTAACCTAAATCATGGCCAAGGCAAAAAGGGAAACCAAGGGAGTAACAGAAGTAAGGAAAAAGGAAGAAACAAGAAAATAAAACTATTTTAAATTCAACCAATAGGTGGATCTATATCAGTGAAAGCTTTCTTCAGCTTTGGTTTCATTCTTACTTGAGGGTAAAATAGAATAACTTCTAACAAATCTGAAGGGGTTTTTTTCCACTGAAATTATGGATGTTATGTTGTCTTTGTGCTGTCTTTGTTAACCTTGCCATCATTTAACCTTTATTCTTTATTGTATCTTACATTACAGCTGATGGAAAAATATATAAGAATAGATTGCTAAAAGGTGTGAAAGCCCTCAAAGGTGAGTGAAAAGCATGGTGAAAGAGCAAGTAGAAGATAAAATCCTTAGCATTTTCTTTTAAATATTCCAAGTTTGCTTCCTGCCAATTTATTGATCCATTGTTATGACTCCTAACCTATCATCCTTCTTTGGGTACATTGGCCTTTAGAATATAAGTTAGGGACTTCCCTGGTGACTCAGTGATTAAGAATCACCTGCTGATGCAGGGGACACAAGTTCAATCCCTGGTCCGGGAAGATCCCACGTGCCACGGAGCAACTAAGCCGTGCGCCACAACTACTGAGCCTGTGCTCTAGAGCCCACGAGGCACAACTACTGAAGCCCACGTGCCACAGCTGCTGAACCCCGTGGGCCTGGAGCCCATGCTCTGCAACAGCAGAAGCCACTGCATGAGAAGCCCGCACACTGCAACAAAGAGTAGCCTGCATGCAGCAACAAAGACCCAACGCAGCCAAAAATTAATTAATTAATTTTAAAAAATCAATTAGAATATAAGTTAAAGTATATGACCATAGGAAGTTTCTAACACTGTTTTCTGGCTAGAACTGTATAAATTGGTGGTTATTTTAATCATGAATCATTAGAGTTACCTATTCCTCTCTAATGACCTCTCATGGAAAACTGAAACAGAGTCTCCTGGATAGACATTAAGGAAAATATCCTATTTTCACTTTCTATACTAATTCTATATAGACAATTATATTTTTAATTTTAATTAGAAAAAAATATTTTAAAACACAAAATACTATAAGAAACTTATCTGATTCTACCACTTACAAAAACTGATATAAAGAAGTAAAAGTCAAGTCATGAGGATGTGATGTACAGCATGGTGAATATGGTGAATAATACCTTATTTTATATTTAAAAGCTGGTAAGAAGGTAGATCTTAAAAGTTCTCACCACAAGAATAAAAACGTGTAACTATGTGTGGTGATGGAGGTTAACTGTGTGTGGTGATCATTTTGCAATATATACAAATAATGAATAATTACATTGTACACCTGAAATTAATGTTATATGTCAATTATATCTCAATTTTTTAAAAAAGTGAAAGTCCCCTACTTCCCACTGATCTAATCCCCCCCATAAAGATAAATACTGTTTACTGTTTACCTTTGTCTCAATGGTTATATTTCTCAATTTTTTCCTACTTTCAATAGACAAATTAGACTAGGGACATATATATATGTTATAGTTTCTCTGTGCCCTTGTGCTTTAACCCTCCAGTGGGGGTTTTTGATGCATGATCATGACTGGCATCTTTCACTCTTAAGCATCAGTACTCTTGTTCTTCTTTTTTTTTTTTTTTTCCAGTACTCTTGTTCTTATTCCATGCCCTTCTTTCCTAAGGACCAAGGGTCAAAATCAAAAAACTGGACTCCTTTGTGGAAAACGTGGAAATTAGACTCAAGGATGAGGAATTTGAGGAACTAATGACCCAACTGTCAGCTGATGGTGAGTGTCACAGACATCATTATGCTCTTCAGAGAAACATTAAGCCCTTCTATTGGAACTGCTGAAAGCAGCCTTTTTAGTAGCATAATGAAGTAAATGTAAATAGAAAGACTTAATCCTGACTCATGAAGAAATATTATCTCCAAAAACACTTTTAAAAAGATATGTTGGAAAAAAAAAAAAAAAAGATATGTTGGTGGACTTCCCTGGTGGTCCAGCAGTTAAGACTCTGTGCTCCCAATGCAGCGGGCCTGGGTTTGATCCCTGGTGAGGGAACTAGATCCCACATGCTGCAACTAAGAGTTCACATGCCACAACTAAGAGTTTGCATGCCACAACTAAAGATCCTGCATGCCACAACGAAGATCCCACATGTGGCAATGAAGATCCCCCATGCCAACTGGCTCCTGATGCAGCCAATTTTTTTTTCATGAATATATGAAGATTTATTTTGTGATAAAAGTAGCAATTTATACAAGTGGGAAAAGAATGAACTAGTCAAAAATAGTGTTGAAATGAGTGACTATTTGCAAAACCTTAAGTCAGATTTATAAGTCATACCGTACACTAAAATAAGGTTAACTCTTTTTTTTTTACATTGGAAAATTTTTTTTCTTTTTTTTTTATACAGCAGGTTCTTATTAGTCATCAATTTTATACATATCGTGTGTACATGTCAACCCCAATCGCCCAATTCATCACACCACCACCACCACCCCCCGCAGCTTTCCCCCTTAATGCAGCCAAATTAATTAATTAATTATTTTTAAAGTAATTTTTTAAAAAAAGATATGTTGGGAATGTCGCTTTCAGGACTCAGCCATGCCTGGGAATACCATACACTTAAGGAGCTAAAATAAAAATGAATTTTTAAAAAAAATTTCATTCATAAGGGAACATTTCATAAAGGAACATGTTAATAAGGGAACATTTAAGAAAGTCAAAAGTCAGATGATGCACTAGAAGAGAATGGTTGCAAGATCCCTAAGGTAGAAAAAGCCCTCATACATTGATTAAAACATACTGACAGTAGAAAAATAGGCAAATATACAGATAGATCATTCATGAAAAAGGAAATATAAATGCCCAATAACATATTAAAAGATATTTAATCTCACCAATAATCATGAAAATACAAAATAAAACAAGATACAGAAATATTTTCAGTTCTCAGACAGGCAAAAATTAATAGGACTGACAACACTTAGTTCTGGTGAGAGTAAGGGGAAAGGAACTTACTGATACATTTTGGGTGAGAGTTGCCATTGCTCTTGGAAAAATCATTTGGCAGTATTTTGGGGGAAAAAAAAATCTTCCCTATTCCCTGGTGAATCTAGCCTACATGCTTCATCTGTAGTATATAGTATTTCTTTATGCTGAGGCCTGATCCCTATTCCATCACTAACTTGCCAACAATTTAACCCTACTGAATCTAAGTGTCTTCACATGAAAAATAGGGAGTTGAATTAAATGATTCTCTATGGTCACTTCTTGCCCTGAAGTTAATATATATAATACACATAAAGGTCTTAATGCAGTGTTTAGAATACTCAGTAAGTGTTAGTCATGATGACAGTGGTAGTGGTGAAGATGATGGGGAAGATGGAGAAAATATTGAAGAACAAAGGAAAAAGAAAAGGAAATTCTATGATCTAGGAATCAATTTTGCCTGTTATAAAAATATAAGTCCTAGTAGAATAAATACTTATTACTAATTATGACCTTTATATAAATAAATGAGGTAAAATACAACTTAGAATATTTTACAAGAAATAGCACTGGGCTCACTGGGTTCCTCCTCCACTTCTCCTGTCCTTATTCTTGGCAAGTTCAATACCTTCCATACAGATCAGAGGCTTTTGACTTTACTGTGCCATAGACCCCTTAGACAGTCTGATGAATTGAACCACGTCTGAATATAATATTGAATATTTTTAAATACATAAAATAAAATACATAAGATTACTGAGAAGCTAATTATATTAAAATATAATTTATCAAAACATTAAAGATATAAATTATTAGTACTTATTAATACATTTAACAAGTTCTAGTATCAGGTCTAATAATTATTGTCATTTTAAAGTAGTGATGAGCATAAGCATCTTCTCAATACATTGAAATGAAATGAAATGAAAATGTTAGTGATTTATATTAGTAACAACGTCACAGATTCTCCTAGTACTACTATGGTTTGTGGACTACATGAATAATTGAAGAAAATGCTAAAGTTAAGTTAGTGATTAGTGAAAATAAAGATGTATTTTTTTCCATTTGAGCTCAAGGACTCCCTGTATTTATAAATCTATAGATACAGGGTCCATGGACCCTAGATTAAGAACTCCTGATATAGGTCACCCATCCAACATCCTGACCTCCTGCTCCTTGACCTCTTTAACTTCAGTCATCTTTTCCTCCCCTCCCTTAACTACCACTCACATGGTGATGACCTAAACCTTGTCCTCGCCTAATACTTGATCACCCCCAAAATCTTTATTTCATATAACCACTCTCTGCCCTTTATCCTTCCAGTTCATTTACTATGCAGACTTTTCTTCCATAACACAATGTAGGAATGCCTGGAAATCTCCCATTCTGTAAAATTGCCCACCAAAGTAACTGAGCTTATGGGGAAAACTGGGGAAGCCCACTCAAAATCTATGCCACTTTGTAACCAGAGCACTAACAAAAGCAGAAATTGATACTGTGAGGAAGTTGGAAAAGCCCAAATAACCAGCTCAGAATGGCTGGAAGCCATTTAAAAATGCACACATACACACAACCCAAAAAGGAGTTGAAATGCTGACATGCAGCTGAAATAATGTAGATGGAAGTAGAATTCTGAGCGAGTGAACCTGATTCCCCCTCATGCATTGTATGCACTTATTGTTTAATTTTATTAAAATAGAGCTGAGAGGGCCCCTGCTATAGCCAACCCAGGATTTTTTCTTTTCCTGCTGAGGTTTATAATTCTAATTCTCTTACTTAGGAAAAATTATTTATGAACCAATACAACTTCCACATTATTGTGACATTATTTCACTCACCGATTGAATATGATGAATCGGTGCTATTAAACATAGGCTGTAGCAGAACAGAATATAGAACTCCAACTCTCCAGCCACAAGGAGACCTTCAATGTCTTTAACTCAACCATTGTTTCATTATTCAACAACTCCTCCCCGTATGTCCTCACTTCCTTCCTTAAATTAGATTCAATACTTCAACATCATATAACCTTACAAACTCTCAAAACTCCTACCAGACTTGCTTGGCAAAAACCCAGCCATCACCTTACTCTAAGCTTGCCCCTGAACAGCTTTAACATTGCTGAAGAAAATCACAAAACTACACTAATAGAACTCACTTCCACATAATGGCCACGAATATCAAGTCAGCCCTTAATGTGGCCAAAGTGCCTACTACCTTTTCCAAATAAGTTCACTTTCTCACTCTCAGAGACAACTTCACACCTTCTCTCTTCAAATTTTGAGGGGGAGGGTGGGGAGAAGAGACTAGGTTTCATTTCTTCTTTCCCTCATATCCCACATTCAAATCTAGGCTTTACTTGAAAAATAGGTCCCGAATCCATCCATTATCACCATCTCCACTGCTGTACCCATAGCCCTAGCCACCATCATCTCTTTCCTGGGCCACTGAAACAGTCTACTATCTAGTCCTCATTCCTCCAATTTCCCCATCCTGCATACACCAGCCAGAGTGATCTTTTGAAAGCTGAAATCAAGTCAAGTTACTCCCTTCTTCAAGACCTCCAGTGACATTCCATTGCAACCAGAATAATATCCAAACTTTATCATCATGGCCTACAAGACCCTGCATAATTTGGCCCCTTTCACACTGGCCTTTTCTCCATCTCTCAGTCACGTCAAATTCATTCCCATTTTAGGCCTATCACACATACTATTTTTCTACTTGGAATGTTCTTCTCTCCGTTCTTTACATGGCTCTTGTCATCATTCAGACCTCAACCCAAATAGAGCCACTTCAGAGAGGCCTTCCCTCAGCTCCCTGTCTAAAGAAATCCCACCCACTATTACTCTTTATTATGTTGCCCTATTTCATCTTTGATAGCATCTTAACAATACCTCAGAACAACGGTACCTTTTTGCTCATTTGTTTACATGCTCGTTGTCTGTTTCCCTCTACCAGACTGTACACTCCTTAATAGCAAGAACACTGCCAGCATGTTTACTTTTGTATCCCCAAAGCCTAGCAAAGTGCCAGGGACATAGAAGGTACTCCTAAGTATTTGTTGATTAATTACTAAATAAAAATACTCAGGGTCAGGTTTATTTTTCCTGTCTCCCTACACTTACCTGTAACCAATCACTTCTTAATTTAATCTTATTCTAGTAGTCTATAAAAGGAAAGAAAAAAGGAAGATACAGGAATGATTCATTACAGATTGAAAGCTTTGTTTCTAAGATAATACTGTTATCTCTAAGGATAAGATCATAAAATTCTAAGAAAAATTAGAAAAAAATTAGTGAATTCTTACGGTCTTCATAATTTCAGAACTTTATGCGTCCTAAATTTTGTGAGTCTCAGTAATATTTGCTTATCTGATTCTGAGGTTTATTCCCCTTTCCTTACAGGTGATAATACAGTTGGTCTGAATGATTTGATGGATGCTCTCAGTTATATCAAGGGTGAGTTGCGAGCTATGATGAAAAGATGTTATAAATAGCATCTTAATATTTTGCAATTGGTGGAGAAAAATATATCCCCTTATAAATGTTTAAATTCTTTCATATATGTTCCAGTTTTGTGGATGCTACTGAAATTGGGTAAACAGTAATTAATCTGTACTTATATATCAATACCCATAATATTCTCTGACGTTTTCCCAAAAGAATTCTTCAACATAGTTACAGATCTCAGGAGCCACAGAACTATTCATTTTCCCCATTAACCCCAATCCTAGAAATTTATCCTCTGGAAATAATTTAATTGAATAAAAGAAAAAACTCTTCCTAAAGACCTTCAGGGAAATTTGAAACAGTCTAAATATCTAACAGTATGGGAATACCACGTAAATCATGGTAAGTCAGGCTTATGGGATATCATCTGTTGAAATGTTAACTGTAAAAATTATGTAGCAACTTGGAAGCAAGTTTATGAAGTAATTATATTAGGCTGGAAAAGCAGAATACAAAATTGTATGTATATTAGATTTCTGCATTATGAAAGTACAGCTTTCATAATGGAAAGCTGGTATATGAAAACCTAAAAATGTTTTTTGTGATAGGGTGGTGGAATTATATTTTTCCCACTTTATAATAATCTTAAATGTTGTTATATTTTACAATGAATGAGGAAAAATTACTTCTGACTGTGTTGAGATGAATGAAATTCTTGGAATGCATAGTGCTCAGAGAAGCAAACTAGGCAAACATTTTTTAAAAATAAATAAAAATAAAATTTCAAAAACTGGTCTATAGAAAAAACTGAATTTTCCAGTGGGGTAGGAGGAAGAGAAAAAAATAAAGCCAAATACCTATATGTAGCTTAATTTGCTATGGGTTGCAATAACCCACCAGTGAATTATTTTTTTTGTAGCCACTTTCTGATTTTCTGAACCAGAATTTGAAACAGAGGATTTTTTTCTGATCCTCCTGTTAATTCTGGGTATACATGGGTAATGTTATATATAAGCACAAATAGTGTTTTTCATCCTTTGTAGACAGTTATATAATATTTCTGCAATTTATTTCTCACCTTTCTAAGGAGAGGTGATTGATATCCAGGACTTAGACAACTTTCTAGCAAATGAGGGGGTTGAGCTCACAGAAGAAGAAATGAAACTAATGCCTCATTTGACATTCAATGGTGAGTTTTTTGTTAAATTCTGTTGTCTTCCTAGAAGTTACCTTTGTTATCTTGTATATAAGCTTCTCAGAAATGATCCTTATCTTTCTTGTGTCACCTAGAACAATGCTTCTCAAACTTGAATGTGCGTATAAATCACCTGGGCATCTTGTTAAAATGCAGATTATGATTCAGGTCTGGAGTAGAGCCTAAGAAATTCTGCATTTCTAACAAGCTTCCAGATGGTGGCAATGCTGCTGGTCCAAGGTCCACACTTTGCCTATCTAAGACCTAAAAGATGAAGAAATGATATATTAAGATTGTGCCTGGCCTTTCATTTCTTAAGTCACAAGTACAACCAATATATTATGTGCCTGAGGGCATGATTCCATCCCCAAAATAAGAAGGAAAAATATTAGAGTAATTAAAATTAGCAAATAAAAATGAGTATTAGGGAGAGACACACAGGGAAAGCAGAAGGAGTTAGGGATTGATTGATTGATTTGTTTGCTTATTGAGATTTTTATTATTGCTTATTGAGTCTAGTTACATGACTTATCTGCTGGCTCTTCTGTTATATAACTACTTTAGATTAGACTCGTCTTTTTATTTCTATTACCCTCTTTGTTGTTCTGATACAAAAAAGATGATCTAGGAGCATTTGGGGATTATCAATTCTTACTATAATGATGTTTCTAGAAAGCTTCTGTACAGCTCTGGCCTTGAAAGAAAAGATTGTATATTGATTTATTCAAACAACAAATATTTATTGATCACTGAATATGTCCAGGAACTATACTAAGGGATGAAGAAGGGAATACATACTTGACTTTCTCTGCTAAACCCAACAGAAAGTAGGAAATAAAACACAACCATTATGTTCTCAATCATGATTTTAATAAATTTGAACCTATTCATTGCAAACATCTCCATTTTCTGTTTTCTCCAGTTAATCATTTCTTCTTATTCAGGAAGATATACTATGTCCCTCTCCTCTCTTCAGTTGAAGAGGTTCTTTTCACCCTTCCAAATCCATTCCTCTTGACCTGATCATCTCCCACTTTTTTTTTTTTTTTTTTTTTGCGGTATGCGGGCCTCTCACTGTTGTGGCCTCTCCCGTTGCGGAGCACAGGCTCCAGACGCGCAGGCCCAGCGGCCATGGCTCACGGGCCCAGCCGCTCCGCGGCATGTGGGATCTTCCCGGACCAGGGCACCAACCCGTGTCCCCTGCATCGGCAGGCGGACTCTCAACCACTGCGCCACCAGGGAAGCCCCAAGGTATAGTTGATTTACAATATTATATTAGTTTCAAGTGCACAGCACAGTGATTCAAATTTTTTATAGATTATACTACATTTATAGTTATTATAAAGTATTGGCTATATTCCGTGTGCTGTATAATGTATCCTTATTTATTTTATACATAGTAGTTTGTACCTCTTAATCCCCTACACAGACATGCCATCTTGTAAGTCTTTTTATTCTCTGTACCTGCAGTTAGTAGGTGTCTGCTGAAGCAATGAAGGGATGCGTGTATCCATTCACTTAACAATCATAGTCTACTGTGTGCCAAGTATTACTGTACATGCTTGGGACAAAGCTCACTACTCTCATAGAACTTACTTTCTAGTGAAGAGATATACACAATAAACAAATAATAGTATGACAGAGATTACAGAGAAAATAAAGCAAAGAAAATGGGTATAGGGGATACTGTAGGTGGAGGAAGTTAATCAAGAAAAGACTCACTGATAAAGGGCATTTAAGCAAAAAGCTAAGGAGACCAGGGAGCAGAAATCTGGAGCAAGAGCACTCCACGCAGAGGGAAGAGCAAGTGCAAAAGCCCTTATACAAGAGCATGCTCATAATATTTGAGAAAGAGTACAGAGGCCACTGTGGCTGAACAGAGTGAGCGAGGGCAATGTAGGAAGACATAAGGTCATAGAGGTAGGGGACGGGACCACCACATTGAGCTACATAAGCTATGCACTGTACAATTCCAGGATTGTGCAATGAGATGTCCCTTTTGGGGGAAGGGGGTGGTGCAGGTGTGGGGAGTAGCTGATCATATAAACCCTGAAGGCTATTGTAAAGATTGGGTTTTTTTCCTGAGTAACACAGGAAAATGAGGATTTGAACAGAGATAGGACATGATCTGACTTAAGTTTTTAAAGGACTGTCCTGGTTCCTGTGTAGAAGAGACTTGGCAGGGGTGAATACAGCAAGAGCAGAAGCAGGGAGACCAGTTAGGAGGTCTTTGCAGTAACCCAGAGCAGGAAGTAGAGGTGGAGGTGGTGAGAGTGGTTGAGTTACATATATATTTTGAAGATGGAATCAACAGTACTTCCTGATAGATATCCCAGGGCCGAGAACATAATAGGCACTAAAAATGTACTTATGAAATGGATGAATTGGATTAGATGTAGAACACAAAAGAAGAGGATTGAAGCATATTCCAAGCATTTTGGCTTCAACAGAGGATGGAGCATAGGCCTGGAAAGATGCAATTATCATTTCCTGAGATGAACAGATGAATGAATAAGAGACTGGCTAAATGCTATTATATTTGTTGAACTAGTGAAGAAACTAAATGAAATCCATATGGATTCAAATATTATATAAAGAGGAGATATTAAAAATCCGAGTAGTTAGTGATCTGCAGAACATGGGTTAAGCAATCTATTATTATAACTTGCTATTAAGTTGATGCTAGGAAAATTTTCTGACATTCTGGATAGACTCTCAAGAAAAAATCAATGAGGATGAGCAAGTGATTGCCACATATTTCTCTACCTTTTCCTATTATTGCCTCTATATGTGATTTTGTAAGCCCTCTCACATCCTTGCTTTCCCTGACTTGGTTGGGTGGTATGGGAATAAGGGGTTTTTGCTGTACATTTACATAGTTGCTGCTCCAAAAACCATCCATGTTGGTGTACACTAAATTTAAAAATTATAACCAGTTGGTTTGCATGCATAATAACTTAAATGGTATTGTGTAAAGAGGAGTAAGCCTTCTTTTTCAAATTTATTTATTTTTTATTTATTTATTTTTGACTGCACCAGGTCTTATTGCAGCACATGGGATCTTCGTTGTGGCATGCGGACTTCTTAGTTGCAGCATGTGGACTTCTTAGTTGAAGCATGTGGACTCTTCGTTGTGGCATGCAGACTCTTAGCTGCAGCATGCATGCAGGATCTCATTCCCCGACCAGGGATTGAACTCAGGCCCCCTGCATTGGGAGCATGGAGTCTTACCCACTGGACCACCAGGGAAGTCCCAGGAGTAAGCCTTCTAATTTCTGCAAATATCTCCATTATTAATCTAGACTAGTCAGGAGGGAGCAAGAGAGGAAGTGGGGCTCATCAGGATTAGGCCAACCCAGAGAATTTTGCCTACCCAGGTTACCAGACTTGAAGTGGGTGATGGAGTTTGAGAAAAGCCTAAGAGGAGGGAGAAGTGGTGAAGCACAAAAATCTCTGCCCCAAAAGGAAGGAACATCTTGCCTTTCCCTAGTCATTCATTGACTACCTATGTTCAATGGACAGAGCCAATGTTGGGAAAATAGAATATTAAGCTTCTCACCTCAAGGTACTTACACACTTAGTGAAAGCAAAAGAGCCAGGGAGAGAAGTGAAGGGCATCTGCCTGTAAAGCCTGATTCGCCTACAGGGGCAGCATCTCTAAGAGGGAGGTAGCTACTTTTTTTCCCCCTGAAAAATCCAGTTCCCATTGCTCTGGTAACTGAAGTAACTGGTGAGATTCTCTTCTCCTTAAGTCTCATGTATCTTTTTTTAAATTAATTAATTAATTTATTTATTTTTAGCTGTGTTGGGTCTTCGTTTCTGTGCGAGGGCTTTCTCTAGTTGCGGTGAGCGGGGGCCACTCTTCATCGCGGTGCGCGGGCCTCTCACTCTCGTGGCCTCTTCTGTTGCGGAGCGCAGGCTCAGTAGTTGTGGCTCACGGGCTTAGTTGCTCTGCGGCATGTGGGATCTTCCCACACCAGGGCTCGAACCCGTGTCCCCTGCATTGGCAGGCAGATTCTCAACCACTGCGCCACCAGGGAAGCCCAGGCTCATATATCTTTAACTATACAGGATGAATTAGGCATTACCCTGAAATGTTAGGTTTTCAGAGGCCACAAATTATAAATCACATTAAGACATAACCTTTTCCCATAAAACCCCTTTCTCCTTTGGTGAACAGTACTGCATAGGAAGAAGCCTAATACTAGATGTTCTCCCTCATCTAATAGTCACTTCCTTTTTATTCTTCGTAAAATCAGCAGTGAATATGAGCCTAGGCGATTCTTAGATTGATATGGTTGAATTAATTTCTATAGAAAACAGCTATATTTATGCAACATCCCTACTTAAATATCTTCAGAATTCCCCAATGCTAATGCTAAAGTCTAGACTCCCTTAGCTTAACAATCAAGATGTATATGTATACACAAAAACCATGTTAAGGGCTTCCCTGGTGGTGCAGTGGTTGAGAATCTGCCTGCCAATGCAGGGGACACGGGTTTGAGCCCTGGCCGGGGAAGATCCCACATGCCGCCGAGCAGCTAAGCCCATGCGCCACAACTACTGAGCCTGAGCTCTAGAGCCCGCAAGCCACAACTACTGAGCCCACATGCCACAACTACTGAAGCCTGCGCACCTAGAGCCCATGCTCTGCAACAAGAGAAGCCACGACAACGAGAAGCCCACGCACCACAACAAAGAGTAGCCCCCGCTCACTGCAACTAGAGAGAGCCCGCGTGCAGCAACAAAGACCCAACACAGCCAATAAATAAATAAATAAATAAGTTTATTAAAATAAAACATGTTAAATGAGTGACATGCTGGGTATAAGAGACTAGAAAAAATGAGGGAGACTGTGGCAATCAGGAAACCTTGGGTTCCAGTTAAAAGGGTGACAGTTTTTCTGCTCCTGCCAATTATTGCTAAATAGGAATGGAGGCCATGTGTTCTCTGATCTTTGGGCTTTTCAGAAGTCATAAACTGATAACTTTTAAATTACCCATGTTTTCATTTATGAAATTCAAAAAAATTTTAATGTTATTTAAGCCAAATAAAACTTGTATGGGGATCAAATTTGCAATCTCTGTCCTAATAACCAACCCTAGCCCAAATACCTAATCATTTTTGCTCCCATTATCTCACTTCATGCAGTCTTGAACAGTTCCTTGTCTCCTAAGCTCCCATGATTACTCTACGTGCTTTTGCTCTTCTTTCACTCTAGACTACTCTTCCCTAGGAGCTACATGCTACGTGTTAAAATTCTACTTCTCCCTACACACAAAACCTAAAACTATTAGAAGAAAACATAGGAGAAAAGCTTCATGACATTGGGTTTGGCAATGATTTCTTGGAAATGACACCAAAAGCATAGGCAACAAAACACAATCAACAGAGTGAAAAGGCAACTTACAGAAAGAAAACATTTGCAAATCACATGTCTAATAAGGGATTAATATCCAGAATATATAAAGAACTCCCATAACTCAATAACAACAACAACAAGTGATAAAAAGACTTGACTTGGGCAATAGACTTGAATAGACATGTTTCTACAGTAGATATACAATAACCAACAAGCTTATAAAAAGACACTCAAAATCACTAATCATTAGGAAAACGCAAATCAAAACCACAATGATATATCACCTCATACCCATCAGGGTGGCTACTATCAAACAGAAAACAACAAGTATTGGTAAGGATGTGGAGCAATTAGAACTCCTATGCACTGTTGGTTGGAATGTAAAATGGTGGCCACTATGGAAAACAATATTTCTTCAAAACATTAAAAATAGAATTACCATGTGATCCAGCAATTCCACTTCTGATGTATATTCAAAAGATTGAAAGCAGGGTCTTGAAGAGATATTTGTACACCAATGTGTCACAGCAACATTATTTATGATAGCCAAAAGGTGGAAGCAACCCAAGTGTCCATCAACAGATAAATAAGTGCTTTATCTTATTATCTTAAAATGTGGTACATATAATGCAATGTTATTCATCCTTAAAAAGGAAGGAAATTCTGATACATGATACAACATGGATGAACCTGGAGGATACTATGCTAGGTGAAATATGCAAGTCACAAATACTGTATGATTCTACTTATATGAGGTTCCTAGAGTAGTCAGATTCATAGAAACAGAAAGTAGAATGGTGGTCATTAACTTCATTTTAAGTCTTGGTAGCCCCTAACATAGTAGGCCCTAATTAAATATTTGTGTAATTTGTAAATTAAACCTTCCCTTTCTTTCCTCTGTATCCCTAGCCAGAATGAAAGGTAATATAACAAGTTTGGACAGACTAAGGAAAAGTTAAATTATGCACATAATAAATAAATCCCCCAGAGCAGGAATAGAAAATCTCTAGAATTGCAGCTAACAAGTGAAGCCTGAAACAACTTGGGGGGCTCAAGCTAAGCCTTTGCTGCCAGAGGTATCTGTGCTTAGCCATCATGAAGACTAGAGACACTCCTAACTTCTGTGCTTAGATGATTTAAATACCGTGAGACCTGTCAGATCTTGAAAATTTCTGATTAAAACAATCATAATACTTTCCTTAATTGCTCTTTTAAAATCACTCTTTTCGATAACACTATAGACTAAAACCTGTGAGAGTTTGATTTTTCCCTCTTTCTGGATGTAAACAATGAAATGGTTCCCAATCAGCATTCAACCAAGGGAACTGGGTAAAATTTTTTACTTCAACAACTTTCAATTCACCAATGTTTAACATGAAAATATATTAATACAGAATTTTTTTAAAAACCTCCCCTTCCCCAAAATCCAATCAGTGTCAAAATATTCTGATTCTGTAACTCATACCCACACATACCCTGAGGGTGCCGAATGAACCACATTGAAATCACAGTTGCTCTAAAGCTGGAAGGAGCTTGTGGGTCATTCTTACCTGGACCTGAGCCTGAGAAGTGAATGAGGTCACAGTTGTGTGATGGAACAAACCCTTTATGGATTCTTGATCTGACTGAAGCCCAGAAGTTGTAAAGTAGCACCACCTAGAAGTAGGTAAATATCCAGATTTTGTAGGAATCTACAAGGAGACCTTTTTTTTTTTTAATCTATCATCTCAGTGAGAGATTGAAGGTAGTTTTTTTAAAGTAATGATTATTTTAAGCCATGAGGATGATTTCACAGCACCTTTCAACTGCCTACATTGTCAAGCCTCTCCGGAGTTCCGAGCTCTGTGATAGGTTTCCAGATTTTGAGCACATGTAATTGAGTTGTTTAGAAGCAACAGTTTTCCAGAGTCTGAGGTAAAGACTTAGGAAAATTGACTGAACTCTAACCAAACATTCAGAGACTTTTTCTTCATGGTTTAATAGTGTATGATTGTCTGCTGTTCCTAAGTCAGCAACCCAGTTTTCTTGTCAGTGAACTACCTAATACACTCTATATATTAAAAAGATAATTAGAGGACTTCCCTGGTGGCGCAGTGGTTAAGAACTTGCCTGCCAGTGCAGGAGACATGGGTTCGAGCCCTGGGCCGGGAAGATCCCACATGCTGCAGAGCAACTAAGCCTGTGTGCCACAACTACTGAGCCTGCGCTCTAGAGCCTGCGAGCCACAACTACTGAGCCCATACGCCACAACTGCTTAAGCCCATGTGCTTAGAGCCCGTGCTCTGCAGCAAGAGAAGCCACCGCAATGAGAAGCCCATTCACCGCAACAAAGAGTAGCCCCTGCTCACCGCAACTAGAGAAAGCCTGCGACCCCAATGCAGCCAAAAATAAATAAATATAAATAAATAAATTGATATTAAAAAAGATAATTAGATAAGACCAACAATAAAAGGGAGAAGCCCTACCAACCCAGCTTCTGGTCCATAGGTTCTGATTCTTAAACTATGCAGAAGTAGAAAGGAAGGACTAGGGAGTCCTTTGTGGTTAATAGTCCATTCAGGGAGATCTAAGGTAGCAAAACAGCATTATATCCCACCCCTATTCTTATTTTTTAAAAAGACCAGTGGGTTCATAAGAACTGATAGGGCAGGGGTGGACCTCCCAGAAGGAAACCCTGGGAAAATCTACTTACTACCCAGCAGCTATCCAAGATATAAACAATTAGGTAAATATTTTGCAAATGCTATAACATTTTATTCTCTGTCAATTATGAGATGAAAAGCACATTTAAAAAATAAATTTTGTCTTTAAATAACTTTTTCTACATATTTGCAGAATGCTCTACCATTTATTTTTATATAGGATCAGAATGATACTATTTGCAGGAGGAGCAATGGCAAGAAGTTTCGCTTAGAGATCTTGGGATAGTAAAGGGACCCGTCCACTTGGCCTTCCAACTTTGCACATGCCTCTAACTTGCATTTGCACATATTTCCATTCCATGAGGCCCTGGACTTCAAACTCCAGGTCTCGAACTGGGAAAGTTGTAAAAGAATATAAACAAATTAATCTGTGATTTGATCCTTAACTGTATCTTCTGAATTCCAGACAGAGTTACTGGCCACATGGCAGTTTCTGATATTAAAGCAAAACTTAAACTGAATCCTTCAACAAAAATACCCAACTTCCATGGCAAGAGGTAAGTAATGAATTTATTAATGTGATCAATATATTAAGATAAAGAATTATTAAGGTGATGAATATATTAAATACTCATAAAGGCTATAATGAAACAAGTTAGAATGTTCTTCAAATATCTATTCTGTGATAAGATTAATTATAAAACAAAACATCTGAATTGAAGATAAAGATTTTTTTATGAAAAGAAAGATATATATATATATACTTTTTGATTAGAGAAACAAAGAGTTCTTCCTATTCTCCCAAATGAGAGGCTATTTTTGTGTGAGGGGACAGAATACCCCAGAAGAAGAAGGTTGTCAGAAGGCTAGAGGAGTTGTCAGTTACACATTAAGACATTTCAAGTGCCAGTTTAAAGGAGAAAAAACTCAGAGGATCATAAACCCCTAAGTGTCAGAATATAGAAAAAGAGTATGTAGCTCAAAAATGGCCAGTAAAATGAAATCTGATAAATCAGCTATGACTAACCTTGAGCTAAAATTGGGAAGGGAGGTTTGCCTGTGACATTAACAATAGCTTTTTCTCAACCTGATAACTACAAATTCCAATAAACAGTAGCCACTAGTGACTGAAAATGAAAGCCTGATGCAAATTTTATCAGATCATAAAAAGAAAAGCCTCTTTCCTCTCTCACAATTATCCATTTTCTTTGCCACTTTGAGAGTATTTCTCCTAGTGTCCTTGACTATGCCATTCTACAGGAATATATTACGGACTTTTTTATCAGGATGTGGGTAACACAACCTTGTAGCAGCCAAATTCCTTGATCTCATTGTTCCCTTACCCTTCATCACGAACTGTCTTTTGAAGTAGTGACTTCCTTGTCACTGAAAGTAGTCAAGCAAAGACTAGATAATACCACATGTAGAGGGAATTCCTACATGAGATGAGAGGCTAGACTGGGTCCATTCCAAATCTAAAGTTCTTTGAACCTTTGAAACACTGTAAAATAAAAAATCTATTTCCCATGTTTGATCCAAGATAAGATTTGAAATTCTGCCAAGAGTATGGTTTTTTAAACATAGCTAATAAAGAACTTGCATTGCCTGGGCTTCTACTTTCTTCTTGCTTCTTGAGAACTTCATATTTCTCCATCCACTACATCTTTTGTGTGTGTGTGTGTGATACGCGGGCCTCTCACTGTTGTGGCCTCTCCCGTTGCGGAGCACAGGCCCCGTACGCGCAGGCTCAGCGGCCATGGCTTACAGGCCCAGCCGCTCCACGGCATGTTGGATCTTCCCGGACCAGGGCACGAACCCGTGTCCCCTGCATCGGCAGGTGGACTCTCAACCACTGCGCCACCAGGGAAGCCCCACTGCATCTTTTATATCATGCAAAAGAAATCTGTTTATATTTAGAAATACAACAAATATAAAATAACCAATCTGAGTAAAGGCATCAAGTTGGTAATGAAAAGCAAACACTAGAAGATATCAATGATAGTAAAAGCTGAGAAAAATAAGACTAATTAGATCAAATTCCGTGTCAGAAAAATTGAGAATGGTGCATTTCACCTCCTATTTTACCAGGTCCTCTTTAAAAATAGGCTGAGTCTAGTAGACACTGTAGAGGATACTACATTCATAAACTATAATTTTTTTATTTAACTACCATGTTTAGTATTTCTTATAGTTTTACTTTTTTAATTGCTTCTTGTAAAAGCACAAAAACTAAGAGATGACATATTTCTTAAAACTTTTAGTTCTACTAGTATCAAAACTAAATGTATTTTAAATAAAATTAATCCATAAAATTATGATTATTATAAATTTACTATTAAATTACCATATTATAAGTAAACCCAGTTTTGCATAATACATTTTTATGTTCCTAAACTAATAAATTGCTGCAGATATATACAAAATATCCCCAAAGTATTAATATTTTCCTCTTTTTCCAGATTTTATTTTCCTGAGGAAATAAAAGGTCACCTAGGGTTCCAAACTTTCCAGAACTTTTCTCTCTTGATGAGAGATAGATAGATATGGTTGATATAGAGACATCGAGACAGAGAGAGAGAGAGAGGGAGAAAGAAAGAGATCGATCTACCGCTCTCGCTCTCTCATATTCTGGTAAAAATACAATTTAACAAAGTTGTAAAATAAATGTGAATACAAAATTTCATTGTAAGTATATTCACCATAAGATTATTTAAACTAGTTAAAAGTTTGAAACAACTTATATTTCTAACAATAGGAATAGTGTGAGGCTTATATTCTTCAACTTTGGCAACAAATAAACCTGGATTTGAATCCCAGGGCTTCCAGTTATTAGCTGTGTGACTCAGGACAAGTTATTTAATCCCTCTGAGCCTCAGTTTCCTCTTTTGTAAAATAGGAGAAATCAGATTTTTTAAGGGGATAAGGTTGATGGGCAAGTATAGGGGAGAGGTGGACCTCAGTGACCAACATCACTGTCCATCCTGTAGCTATTGGCAATTGACAGTAACAGGGCCCTTAGGTGGTGTGACTCTGGATATATTTTGATGTTTACAGTCACTCCAGTCAGCAGAAACTGATGAAGGGAACTAATATTTGCTGGTTTCAATAAGTATCTCTTTTCTCAGGGATAAAGATTTACCAGGACCGCTGCCAAGCCAATTACAGCACAAAGAAAGGAAGTTGAGCCCTTCACAAATGCGAGGTAATGAGACCCATCCCAAAATAAAAGCATAAACAAAAGCCCCTTAATATATCTTAGCATTTTTTTTTCTCTAAGGGAGATCTGGGATTTCAAAGGTTGTCTACAGTACTCTGTTATTTAAAAACAAAAAATATCTATATTTTATGATACAATGTCTAATTTGTGGGAAGGAAGGTGGATTACTTTTTTTAGTATTTATTTATTTTTTGGCTGTGCCAAGTCTTAGTTGCAGCACGTGGGATCTTCATTGTGGCAGGCGGGATCTTTAGTTGCAGCACGTGGGATCTTCATTGTGGCAGGCGGGATCTTTAGTTGCAGCATGTGGGATCTTTAGTTGTGGCATGCAGACTTCTTAGTTGCAGCATGCGGACTTCTTAGTTGCAGCATGAGGACTCTTAGTTGCCACATGCATGCAGGAACTAGTTCCCTGACCAGGGATCGAACCTGGGCCCCCTGCATTGGGAGCGTGAAGTCTTACCCACTGGACTACCAGGCAAGTCCTGGGGGATTACTTTCAAATAGACATCTTCAAGAATTTAGACAGTCCTGGCCAAATATTTTTATTCCAAGGAGAACTTGTGGTGTGGAGAAGAAAAAATATAAGGTCAAATAGAAATTAAGTAGCAAAGCAGTATCAACACAACTAAAGTCCCAGAATTTATCATAGAAAAAAATTATAATGATAAAATGAGCTACCCTCACTACAGTTCATTCATCCAAACAACAAATAATTACTTAAAGCCAACAGTGTACTAGGCGAAACACAGGTCAGACATGTTCCCTGCCCTAATAGGAAGTCTTACAAGGAAGACGGTTAAACCATGAATTTGTTGATTGAACCATTTAAATTACAACATGACACAAGTTATGATAGGGAAAGTATAGAGTTAAAGGAGCATAAAAGAAAGTGTCCTAACTTAGTCTCAGTAAGGATAGGAGGGAAGTCCCAGCGAAAGCTGAATAATGAGTAAATCAGACAAAGAGCACAGAAGGGAGTGTTCTGGGTAGAAAGAGTGGAATCTGCAAAGACCCAGAGAAAAGGGAAAACATGACACACTAGAAAAACTAAAAAAAAAAAAAAAAAAAATCAAGCGTGGCTGTGTTTGGGTTCTGAGAAGGTTAATGCTTCACCCCTCCAAGTTTGGAACCAACTAAGACATTCCTCCAAGAGACAGGAATCAAAAAAACACCTTTATTGCTGGGAAAGCTGGTTTGGGAAACACAAAAGATTGTCAGAATCAGAACTTCATTTTTCACTGTAAAACTGAACTAAATGCCTTAATAGTAACAGTTTATGGCTTTATACAACTTCAAGGTTTCTGAAGTACATTAATATACATTGGTGCTTTAGGGGTACCCACTATTTGTTTTAATCAGGTATTATACATACAGACATAGAAACAACTGTCCTGGAAGAAGTATTTTATTCTCAGAGATCCCTAAAAGTAAGAGACACAGCACACCATGAAGAGGGAAGCACCAGAGTCAGTCAAAAGACAAAGGGTAGAGGGAAGTGGGCAAGAGCCTTAGTTTGGTTTCTGCAGGAAGGAATAGACAAGGCAGGATAAGCAGGTTTAGGATTGGCTAGGTAAATCATTTCAGTGAGCTCTGGGTTTCAGGGCTGTCCCTAGTTGTCTGCCCTGCAGTGATTAGGACAGAGGAACAGTAGCCCAGAGTTTAAGAGCCTAAGAAAGTTGGTGACTGGGGATACGGTCTCTGGATTGGTTGGTTTGTATATATATGAAGAACATACTCACAGGCAAGTCTTTTACTATCGCTAGGAACTGGCTAGTTATGGCAGGGGCAGGCCCTCCAGGATCAGCAAGGCCCCAGATATCAAAGCATCAAATACAGAAACTAGAAAATGTGGTTGTCGTGAGGATTAAGCACTATGACAGGTTAATTTGTTCATTTTATAAATATTTATTGAACACCTCCAAATCCCCAACATCTGCTACCATCCTCACTCTCAATTGATATCCTTGCTTCCTGCCCCTTTATAATTGGAGAATTCTGATTCTGCAATCAGAATAGAACTTCCACAGACTCCCACTTCCATATCTACCCCCACCAACATCTGTACCCACAAACTCTGCCCTCCTCCCTCTTCCACAAATGAACTTTATACTTTTATCTAAAGTCAATCCTTCCATTGTGGACTAGATCACATCTCCTCTCTCAAATTCAAAGATACGACCAAAGAAACTGTGCCCCCCTCTCCAACACCAATTTTTTTCACTCTCTAGTATATCATTCCTGATCAAGCTCAGTCCTTGATCCTCTTCTCTTCTTCATCCCACTCACACATGTGGTGATCTCATCTAGCCTTAGGCTTTAAATACCTATATGCCAACAATTCCCAAATGTATATGTCCAGCCAGGTCTCTCTCCCCAGCTCCAGGCTCATATCTAACTGCCTACCTGACATCTCCAATTGTATGTCTAATAGACACCTCAAACTCAACATGTCAAAAACTGAACTCCTGGGAAATTCCCTGGCCGTCCAGTGGTTAGGACTCCACGCTGCCGCTGCCGGGGTCCCAGGTTCAGGGAACTAAGATTGTGCAAGCCACACGGCATGGCCAAGAAAAAAAAAAAAAAAAAAAATACAACTGAACTCCTGATATGTTCCTCTTACTCTTTTTTTTTTATTGTAGTAAAATATACATAACATAAAAATTACAATTTTTAAGAGTTCACACAGATCAGTGGCATTAAATATGTTCACAATGTCCTCTAACCGTCACTACCATCCACCTCCAGAACTTTTTCATCATCCCAAACTGAACCTCCAGACCCATTAACCAGTAACTCCCCATCCTCCCCTCCCCTCAGCCTCTTACTTTTAAACTTTGACCTACCCATAGCCTTCCCCATCTCAGATAATGATATTTCATCCTCCACTTGTTCTGGAAAAACTCTGGAGTCATCCTTGACTCTTTGTTCTCACCCTACCTCTAAATCCATCAGGAGGGACTTCTCTAGTGGCACAGTGGTTAACAATCCGCCTGCCAACGCAGGGGACACGGGTTTGAGCCCTGGTCAGGGAAGATCCCACATGCTGTGGAGCAACTAAGCCCGTGTGCCACAACTACTGAGACTGCGCTCTAGAGCCTGCAAGCCACAACTACTGAGCCCGCATGCCACAATTACTGAAGCCCACATGCCTAGAGCCCGTGCTCCACAGCAAGAGAAGCCACCAGAATGAGAAGCCCGCCCACCACAACGAAGAGTAGCCCCTGCTCGCGGCAACTAGAGAAAGCCTGCGTGCAGCAACAAAGACCCAATGCAGCCAAAAATATAAATAAATAAATAAATAAATGAAGAAATGTGTATTTTAAAAAATAAATAAATAAAATAAATCCATCAGGAAATCTCATTGGCTCTACCTTTAAAATATATCGAGATTTATACCACCTCTACTGCTACAACCCTGGTCTAAAGCACTGTTATTGCTCACCCACAATAGCCTCCTACCTGAGGCTAGTCTCCCTGCTTCTACCCAAATCCTTACAAAAGTCTGTTCTAACAATAGCCACAGTGATCCTGTTAAAATATAAGTCAGGTCGGGGAGAGGGAGGCGCTGACCTATGTAACTCTGAAAACAACATTTTGACTAGAAACTGTAAGACTGAACACAAAAGGAGCTATACATAAACAACACACAATATACTCTAATTAGTAAAGTTGTTTCTCATAGGGGTATACATTAACAATCCTGAAACTGTTGTACATGTATACGACAATTGAATAAATAAGTGACTCAATGGTGGATGGTGGGAGCCAGGTTTCTCTCTGTTGGAGTAGGAAGTTTCAGATAAACAAAGGGAGAAGGCTAAAGTGAAGCAGTGGAACTGGTTTAGAGTGAGACATTAGTGTGAACTCATGTTTAACTTAATGGATGCAGATGGATAGATCAAGAAATAATATGATATGTGTGTATACATGGGTTAGTATATGTGCATATATTTCCTAGCTCTGTTTGCTGAGAGGACTTAAAAGCACTGACACCCCCATAGCAACAAGCATACCCAGCACCCAAATCTTGACTTCCAATGTCAGTCTCCTATCAAAGAATCAGAGTTCCTTGGATAAATGGCTGATTCTAGGGCTTTGGCAGAGAATATACAAAATGAACCTGGAATATCTTGCAGTACCAGAAAGTAAGGAGATGCTCAAAATACAAAACGACAAGAGCATGTCAAGGAGATACAGAAATGAACCTGAAAGAGCTCACAACAGCCAAAGCTGGAACAGTTTGAACAACAAAAATAAACAGAATAGTATTGGATTATAACTCAAAGTATAAAATAAATATTGTTAAGCCCCTAGTGATAGAAATAAATGATTGAATTTTTTTTTTTTTCGCTGTGTTGGGTCTTCGTTGCTGCACATGGGCTTTCTCCAGTTGCATCAAGCAGGGGCTACTCTTGGTTGTGGTGCGTGGGCTTTTCATTACGGTGGCTTCTCTTGTTGTGGAGCTTGGGCTGTAGGCACACGGGCTTCAGTAGTTGTGGCATGTGGGCTCAGTAGTTGTGGTGCACGGGCTTAGCTGCTCCATGGCATGTGGGATCTTCCTGGACCAGGGCTCTAACCCGTGTGCCCTGCATTGGCAGGCGGATTCCTAACCACTGCACCACCAGGGAAGTCCCATGATTGAATTTTTTAAATGAAAAAGAGACAAACCTCTCTTACAAGACAATTCCAAATAACGTATGTAGATATTACCTCTTCCAGGAGGTAGAGCTTAATTCCCCATTCCCCTGAGCCCTCTGTCCCTTGAGTCTGGACAACCTTTAGTAACTTGCTTCCAAAGAGTAGAATATGAAAAAGGAAGGAAGGAAGTTTACAGTGGAAAAATCTGACGAACACTACCTCAGCCAGTTAATCAAGGTTGCCATCACCAGTGATAAGTCATGTTGATAGCCTTAATAAATGATAATAACACCACTTCAGTTCTGTGGTCTTCCTCCCCAAAACCCATAATCTCAGGCTAACCATGAGAAGAACATCAGAAAAACCCAAATTGAAGGACTTCTACAAAGTACCTGAACAACACTCCTCAAAACTGACAAGGTTGGACTTCCCTGCTGGTGCAGTGGCTAAGAATCCTCCTACCAATGCAGGGAACACAGATTAGATCCCTGGTCCGGGAAGATCCTACATGCCACGGAGCAACTAAGCCCACGAGCCATAACTACTGAGCCTGTGCGCCACTACTACTGAAGCCCGCGCACCTAGAGCCCGTGCTCCGCAACAAGAGAAGCCACCACAATGAGAAGCCCGCGCACTTCAAGGAAGAGTAGCCCCCGATGGCTGCAACTAGAGAAAGCACACGCGCAGCAACGAAGACCCAACCCAGCCAAAAAAACGAAAAACAAACAAACAAAAACACTTCCTTGCTGGCTGTCAGCCAGGAGCCTCTCTCAGACCTTTAAGGCTGCCTGCATTCCACATCACATGCCCTCTCCATCTTCAAACCAGCAACAATGAGTCAAGTCCTTCTCCTGCTTTGAATCTCTCACTTCATCTGCCACATCTCTCTTGTTTCATAAGGGACCCATTCAGATAATCCAGGGTAATCTACCTTAATGACATCTGCAAAATCCCTTTTGTCATGTAAAGTAATACATTCACAGGTTCCAGGAATTAGGGTATGAACATCTTTCAAGAGCCATTTTGCCTATATATTTGCTTTTCCACCAATTAGTTTATTCTAGTTCAAATCTCATGGAAGGACACTGTCCTTTATAAGAAATGTCTACTAAATACCCAAATTTCTCTAGTTTTTCAGAACATGACCTCCAATCAACGGTAATATCTGTTCTAGTTCCATAAGAATATGTATTTATTCCTGTCCTAACCTAATTCCATTTCCCCAGCCTTCCAAGATGCCTACAACTTCTTTAACAAGGATAAAACTGGCTGTATTGATTTACATGGAATGATGCGCACTTTAGCTAAATTGGGAGTGAATCTAACCAAGCATGATGTCTGTAATGAACTAAGATGTGCTGATATTGATCGTGAGTACTTTGTCATTATTTTTTTCATAAAAAATTTTTATAAATATATATTTTTTCTCAGACTATATAAACATGAGAAGTAAACCTCATTCATTTGCCAAAAGCACATATATGTGTTTCTCTTTAAAGTTATCGGTATACAAGTTATGAAATCAAATTAATGCTACAAAATGGGCTAGTCTTTGAAAAAGCCTGTGTGGAAATGAAAAGTGACTGTCGTATTTAATATCAAATTCAGATTACTTGTCCTAATGTACATTTTGGAGGGTGCCTTGAAATAACAGATACAAAGGCATTGGCAATTTCAAAAATAACCTGTTACTATTACCCAAAAACTGGCTTCACCTCTTGGTGGGTGTTGAGGCAAAAGACACAACCAAGCCAAAGAGCAGAAGGAAGGATTTATTACTTGCAACAAGTAAGGAGAACGCTGGAGATCTTTCCCAAAGCAGTGTCTCCCCAGACAGCAAAAATGGGAAGGTTTTAAGCTAAGGGTGCATGCATATTCATGAAGGGGCTGGAGCAGAGGAGAATTCAGCATAGATTTGGGGCAAAGGTCGACAGAGTCCAGGCTCTAGTTGATTGGGGTTATGAGAGTCAGCAAAGGTCAGCAGCATCATTCCTTAGGCTCTAGGTATTCTGGTAAAGGTTGAGTGCTCAAGGGGGGTTGGATCCTGCAAAACAGCTCAGGAATGTGCTTCAGGCTAATCTCAACTTTCAAAACAGAACTGGGAGTCTTTACAACTGGTATGTTGTTTCCAATATGGTTAAGTTATTTTCCTGGCCTGGTAATACCAGTTTGTTCTTACATTCTTTGTTCCTTTCAAATCATTAACTATGAGGCGTATTCTTCTGCAAGGGCAAGCACTGTGGCCAGGCTTAGATGACAAAATGGCTTAGGCCTAAAATGGCTTCTCTTATGTCAAGAAAGTTATGCCTAGTTTTCTTCCTCCGGGACCCCCTACCCTATCTGCCTACATTGCCAAGGAAATCCAAGCCCTTTGTTTCTGTTTGAATCATTTTAGTACAGATCTTCCTTCCATCATTAGAGCCCACCTATATTGAATCTTAAATGCCACAGCATTTTTATTGATATTTTTAAAGCATATAGGTAATGTTTTCTTTGAATATACTGGTTTTTTTTGTTTGTTTGTTTTTTGCGGTACGCGGGCCTCTCACTGCTGTGGCCTCTCCCGCTGCGGAGCACAGGCTCCGGACGCGCAGGCTCAGCGGCCATGGCTCACAGGCCCAGCCGCTCCGCGGCATGTGGGATCTTCCCGGACCGGGGCACGAACCCGCGTCCCCTGCATCAGCAGGCAGACTCTCAACCACTGCGCCACCAGGGAAGCCCTGAATATACTGATTTAGTGACTAGTAGCCCAAGCTGGTATGTTGTGTGGAATATATATTCAGCACAGTACCTCATCTCACCTCTCCTCACCCACCTGCCAGTGCCCCATTCAATCAGCAGCATCCCATGTGTGTCAGTCACCATTTAATTAAAGTGTCACTTGTTTCCACTAACTCTACCCAAATTTTTATTCTTTCATTGAAACACAAACACTCTAATAGCACTCGCTATCCTTTAATTTTAGTGGAAACAGGGTAAAACTCTGGCATATTCTAATAATAGAAATATAGAGGTGGGAGTGAAGTGGGAAGGTAAATATATCCTTGTTCTGAGCTTTAGATCTCTGTTGCAGGAGATGGGAAGGTGAATTTCTCAGACTTTATAAAGGTGCTAACAGATAACAACCGCTTCCTGAAGGCTGTGGGTGAGTAGAAATATTGCTGAATAGATGGCAGATGGTTAGTTGCAATTCATGGCACTGTAAAGATTATTCATTTAGGTCTCCAATCAGGAAGGTGTAGTCTGGGATGTGATTTACTTTTGTACTGCTTCTCTAAAACAAAATTTGCTAAGGAAATTGATACAGTTTTAGAATTTTAACTTAAATGCATCAAGTCCTTCTGCAGAAGACGCTGCTTTTTGGACTCCAATGAGAACACTCAGGCAGTGGTGTAGAAAATTTTGGTCACCTTTTATAGTACTTTAATTCTTTACCAGTACCTGTGCTACTTTGGGAGGTACTCCTCCTACAGAAGAAAAATTGTCTTTTTAGAAAAAGAAAAATTCTCTCTCTCTCTCAGGCAAATTTGAGTATAGATAATTCACTGTTCCTGAAAAATATCTTCCTCACCCTGGTGAAGCCTCTGCCCTCAGTGTGAGGGCTGGAGAGTCTGCTGGAGGTTCGAGAGCATGTTTTCACACAAGGTTATAATGAAGTGGAGGTACTCAAATTATTGTTGTTAGTCCTCTAACGGTTTGTTTATGAGTTTAACAAGCTGCCTTGGAAAATCTAACCCTATTCATATCATGTCTTCTAGGATAAATGCATTCCAAATTCCAAATATTGTATACAGTTTTGAAAAATACATCCTTTCATAAGCTATGAACTGTTTTAGTATAAACAGAAGTTACTGTTTCAAGTATCACTATAGTAACAAGGGTTTGCCTGCACACCAGAAGTATGTATATCAACAATTCCTTTACATAGAAGAACAGAACAATAGTCCTTAACACATAATTCATGTTTATGTTAAATGTATTACTGTATTTACTTAGAAGTCACTGAACTAAAAGTATTTCATTTAAAATTCCATGATTATTTTGTCTGTTCAGTAATTAAAATGACCTTTTTACCAAATAGAACAGACTTCGAATGTTTTTCTATAATTTTGTAGTTCTTGACTTGGTATTAATACTGTATATACAGTAAAACAATTTAATCCTTTTTATGATAGATTTTTTTTCAGAAGGCATTTTGAATTTTTTTTTTCCCTCCATAGTTCCAGAAACGGAGAGCTGTTTAGATTTAGCTGGCAACCCAGGGATCCTATTGTTTGAAATCCTATCAAAGCTTGTAGAGACTTCAGCCTTACCCAGAAAGGCTCTAATGGAAATAGTAAGGTAGGTGGCAAAGAAAGAACAAAAACGACCTTCTCGGCAGCATTTATGAGGATATTAACAAGGCAGCCACCTCTCCCAAACATCCTACTCCACGGATCTGCTCCAAAACGGAGGAGAAGGTGTATAGGCAAATAAATAGTCATGTGCCACAATAAGACAGCCAAAAGTTCAGCTTCTCCTACCCTAGGCTAGAGAATCCCAGAGGAACGAGACTTTTCCAGGAATGATTTTGGGTGAGCTTGGAAATCTAGTTTGAATACAAGATACTCCCATTCACACTGGATCTACCAGGGGCTGTCAAAAGGTCCGTTGGGATGAGGTACAGCAATTTCATACTTCCCAAAGTAGTCTTTGGACTGGACCAGAGCCAGAATTAGACTTGAGAATAGAGGATAAGGAAACATTCTCACACCCAAATGTGTTTATTCCAGCAAATATCACAAAAGATACATTTCCTCAATCTATGTCTATCATTGTATTACAAAAATTAAATGTTTCTGTTATCAATCTTTTCAACTCTTACTCTCTCAAAGCATTCTACTATCCCACTTAGAGAGACTTAAAAATACAGAATGCCACCAACAATGTAAAATATCCTTCTGCTGCTCAACAGGTAATCTCTTTATACTATCCTACACCTCGGTCAGATGTGGAACAGAGGGTGCACAACATTCTACATTTCATTCCAAGTCAAATACATTTATTAAATGCCTGCTCTTGGTACACAAATTTGGCACATTCCTTAACCATTCAGCCTCAGTTTCCTCATCTATAAAATGAGAATAATAATACCCATAACACAATTACAGGGAAATTGTGAGATGTGATAGTGCAGGTAAAGTGCTCAGTAAATCATAAGAGCTCAATAAATGTTAGCTATTATTATTATGTGAAAGTAACTAGAATAAGCATAGAATACACACGTTATTTACTTTAATCCTCACCTACTGATATGCCCTATCATCCCCACTTTACCGATTAAAAAAGCTAAAGCACAGGTCAGTTAAGTAACCTGCCCAAAGGGGTAGGGGTGCCTAGATTTTAGCACAAACTGTCTGGTTCCAGAAACCATGCTCTTTTCCACCTCCTTGTATTGCGGCTTATATCCAGTAAGTGCTCAGGAAATGTTAGCAGATGTTGGTGTTTTTATTGTTATTATGGTTGTGGTAGTTACTTATCATATACCTGGTTCCTAAGGAGATCAGAAGTATTTAATAGGTGACATTTGCATTTAAGGAGCTTAAAATATAAATGGAAAGAAGGGACTTCCCTGGTGGCACAGTGGTTAAGGATCCTCCTGCCAATGCAGCGGACAGGAGTTCGATCCCTGGTCCAGGAAGATCCCACATGCTGCGGAGCAGCAAAGCCCATGAGCCACAACTACTGAGCCTGTGCTCTAGAGCCCACAAGCCGCAACTACTGAAGCCTGCGTACCTAGAGCCTGTGATCCACGAAAAGAGAAGCCACCACAATGAGAAGCCCGCGCATCACAACGAAGAGTAGCCCCCACTCTCTGCAACTAGAGAAAGCTCATATGCAGCAACAAAGACCCAATGCAGCCAAATAAATAATTAATTAATTAATTTTTAAAAATCTTCCAACAAACAAAAGTCCAGGACGAGATGGCTTCACAGGTGAATTCTATCACACATTTAGAGAAGAGCTAACAACCATCCTTCTCCAAAGGATCTTCCAAAAACCTGCAGAGGAAGGAACCATCCCAAACTTATTCTACAAGGCCACCATCACCCTTATACCAAAACCAGACAGAGATACTACAAAAAAAGAAAATTACAGACCAGTATCACTGATGAATATAGATGCAAAAATCCTCAACAAAATACTAGCAAACAGAATCCAACAACACATTAAAAGGATCATACACCATGATCAAGTGGGATTTATCCCAGGGATGCAAGGATTCTTCAATATACGCAAATCAATCAATGTGATACACCATATTAACAAAGTGAAGAATAAAAAACATATGATCATCTCAATAGATGCAGAAAAATCTTTTGACAAAATTCAACACCCATTTATGATAAAAATTCTCCAGAAAGTGGGCATAGAGGGAACCTACCTCAACATCATAAAGGCCATATACGACAAACCCACAGCAAACATCATTCTCAATGGTGAAAAACTGAAAGCATTTCCTCTAAGATCAGGAACAAGACAAGGATGTCTACTCTTGCCACTATTATTCAACATAGTTTTGGAAGTCCTAGCCACAGCAATCAGAGAAGAAAAAGAAATAAAAGGAATACAAATTGGAAAAGAAGTAAAACTGTCACTGTTTGCAGGTAACATGATACTATACACAGAGAATCCTAAAGATGCCACCAGAAAACTACTAGAGCTGATCAATGATTTTGGTAAAGTTGCAGGATGCAAAATTAATGCACAGAAATCTCTTGCATTCCTATACACTAAAAACGAAAGATCAGAAAGAGAAATTAAGGGAATAATCCCATTTACCACTGCATCAAAAAGAATAAAATACCTAGGAATAAACCTACCTAAGGAGGTAAAAGACCTGTACTCAGAAAACTATAAGACACTGATGAAAGAAATTAAAGGTGACACAAACAGATGGAGAGATATACCATGTTCTTGGATTGGAAGAATCAGTATTGTGAAAATGACTATACTACCCAAAGCAGTCTATAGATTCAATGCAATCCCTGTCAAATTACCAGTGGCATTTTTTACAGAACTAGAATAAAAATCTTAAAATTTGTATGGAGACACAAAAGACCCCAAATAGCCAAAGCAGTCTTGAGGGGAAAAAAATGGAGCTGGAGGAATCAGACTGCCTGACTTCAGACTATACTACCAAGCTACAGTAATCAAGATGATATGGTACTGGCACAAAAACAGAAGTATAGGTCAATGGGACAGGATAGAAAGCCCAGAGATAAACCCACACACCTATGGTCAACGAATCTACGACAAAGGAGGCAAGGATATACAATGGAGAAAAGACAGTCTCTTCAATAAGTGGTGCTGGGATAACTGGACAGCTACATGTAAAAGAATGAAATTAGAACACTCCCTAAAACCATACACAAAAATAAACTCAAAATGGGTTAAAGACCTAAACATAAGACCAGACACTATAAAACTCTTGGAGGAAAACATATTCAGAACACTCTATGACATAAATCACAGCAAGATCTTTTTTCACCCACCTCCAAGAGTAATGGAAATAAGAACAAAAATAAACAAATGGGACCTAATGAAACTTAAAAGCTTTTGAACAGCAAAGGAAACTACAAACAAGATGAAAAGACAACCCTCAGAATGGGAGAAAATATTTGCAAATGAATCAATGGACAAAGGATTAATCTCCAAAATATATAAACAGTTCATGCAGCTCAATATTAAAAAAAAAAAACACAACCCAATCCAAAAATGGGCAGAAGACCTAAATAGACGTTTTTCCAAAGAAGACATACAGATGGCCAAGAGGCACATGAAAAGATGCTCAACATCGCTAATTATTAGAGAAATGCGAATCAAAACTACAGTAAATTATCACCTCACACCGGTCAGAATGGCCATCATCAAAAAGTCTACAAACAATAAATGCTGGAGAGGGTGTGGGGAAAAAGGAACCCTCCTATACTGCTGGTGGGAATGTAAACTGATACAGCCACTATGGAGAACAGTATGGAGGTTCCTAAAGAAACTAAAAACAGAGCTACCATATGACCCAGCAATCCCACTCCTGGGCATATATCCAGAGAAAAACATGGTTCAAAAAGATACATGCACCCCAGTGTTCATTGCAGCGCTATTTACAATAGCCAAGACATAGAAGCAACCTAACATGGATCATAATTGATAGGTATTTTTCTAGACAGGACTGGGAAATCTTGGGGAAGAGGAAGGAAGGCAAAGCCCAGGGACTGCATATATAAAGTAATTAAATGGCCTGTGGAAAATATCAGTAGATGTTCTATAAATGTCACAGAAACAAGCCCTCAATAAATAATATTGAATGAATATACAAATTAAAATGAATGCATTCAGCATATATAACTTGCAATTTGACTTTTTTTTCTTTCTGTCCAACACTCAGGCACTTTTTTTCAGTAGGACTTTAGCACTTTTTAACCACCTCTGAATTACTTTTTTTTTTCCTAGCTATTTCCGAAGAAAATTCCAGGAAACCACCTCGGAAATGGTGTGGAGCCCTTATGCTACACGTTATGGAAAAAGGAGATTTAAGCCAGACATATGCACACCTCCAAGCTCAAGCACAGCCGCCTTTGCTAATGCTGCCCGGATTGCAATAACGAAAGAAAAGGATTTATTTAAATTTCTTGAAGAGCTCAAGAGTAAGAGCCATTTGTCCTCTCCCCACTGTTGTAAAGGATTTATTTGTATATTATTGGTCAGAATTAAATACTAAATGCCAAGTGCTTTAAGAGTAAGGCCACAGCCTATTCTGAGTGTCTGGTCTCTGTCACACAGATATCATTTGAAAGCAAATGTACCTGAATCCCCAGACACCTGTATGAAGCTGAAAGTCTGTGGATGCGTGGGTGGTAGGAGCAGGAGAGTGAAGAAGGGGTGGCATGGCCTCTGAGGAGATGAATAGACAAAGAGCAAAATAGGTACCACATGTATGTCTTTTATGTGAATTTCTTCTTACATTATTTGTGATACCAGTTTTTATCTTCTTAGGATGCAATCGTCCTTCAGATAGCCCATATTCAAAAATACCCGTCTTTCCGCTGTTTCCTAATGTGGATGGGGTGGTGATGGGAAAGCCATTCAAAGACATACAGAAATTAGAAATGCTAAGGAGAACGGAACCTCTGAATTTCTTTGAGAACTATTTTTTCCATAAAAAAGACTGGAAAACACAGGTGAGATTTATATTACATCATATCAGTTAAATACTTAGGTTTTCAAGTTCTAACTTAACAGAACTAGTAATGTGCTTTTTAATGACAAATATTTTCAGTCATGATATTTCAAACCAGATTCCATAGCCATGTTCCTAAATTTAAAGCCCAGGTATAAATATTTCATTTAATTTCAACAAATAGTTAAACTTACTAAAAATACATAATATTATCATTCTAATCTAGTCCATTACAACATCTAATCTAATATACAATAAATGTCAATTACAAACCAAGAAATGGAAGTTTCAGAATGAAAGTAACTGAGCTAACATGAACACTACCCCACCCAAGCTACTCACTCACCATGCCCAACCCATCACACAGACTCAAAAATACCAAATGAAATAAAGTGACATATAAAAATGCATTCAAAAGAAAAGGACCCCTTTGTTTCAGAAAGAAGAGAGAACCTAAGGCTAGAATGGTGTGTTCATAAATGACCCTGTGAGTGGCTGAGGGAGAGGTGAGAGGTGAAGCCCTCATGGGGCTTCACATAGATCTGGATCCTTCATATGGATCTAGACCCTGATGGCTAGGGGTTGGGGTTTTTGTTTTTATTTCCCAGTGGGAATGAATATTTATTTGTTTGTTTATTTATTTATTTATTTTTATGTCTTTTTTTTAACATCTTTATTGGAGTATAGCTGGTTTACAATGGTGTGTTAGTTTCTGCTTTATAACAAAGTGAATCAGTTATACATATACATCTGTCCCCATATCTCTTCCCTCTTGCATCTCCCTCCCTCCCACCCTCCCTAAGGGGTTGGGGTTTTGATAACTGTTCAGGGTCAGGAGATATGGACCCTGTAGCTGAGCAGCTAGGACTGAAACCTCTACAAAACCAGAATCTGGATGGGCTGCGCTTTTAGTGAAAGGAGGAGTCCCCTGGCGCAACACAAACAACCACCAGTTAGAACCAGTTAGAAGACATAAGAAGATAAAATGACTTCATTTAAAATAGTAAGAGAAGAGATAAAACTCCTAGAGATTACTTAGGGAATATAAAATATCTGTATAAAGAAATGGTTAAGATGCTCCTAAAGGACCCAGAAGAAAATGTGAACAAACAGAAAGGCAGACCATGTTCTCAATTTACAATATTTGACATCATAAAGATGTTGTTCTTTCTTGCTTGATCTATAACTTTAGTGTGATTTTTTGAATTTACCCAAAGGATTTTTATAACTAAATAATCTGGTTCATACACAAAAAATAAGAACAGTCAGAATAATCTGAAAGAAAAACTTAATGAACACAGGGAGTAATTTTACTAAATATTAAGGCATATTTAAAAGTCTCAATAATTAAAATAGTGGAGCTATTGTCAAATTAATAGGTCCAAAGAACAAAATATAAAATCCAAAAATAGATAAAAATATACAGAGAATTTTAATTTTTAAAAAATGTGACATTTCTGGAACTTCCCTGGTGGCACAGTGGTTAAGAAGCCGCCTGCCAATGCAGGGGACATAGGTTCGTGCCCTGGTCGGGGAAGATCCCACATGCCACAGAGCAACTAAGCCCGTGCGCCACAACTACTGAGCCTGCGTTCTAGAGCCCGCGAGCCACAACTACTGAGCCTGCATGCCACAACTACTGAAGCCCATGCGCCTAGAGCCCATGCTCCGCAACAAGAGAAGCCACCGCAATGAGAAGCCCACGCACCGCAACGAAGAGTAGCCCCTGCTTGCTGGAACTAGAGGAAGCCCATACGCAGCAACAAAGACCCAAAGCAGCCAAAAATAAATAAATTAAATAAATCAAATCAAAAAAAAAGTGACATTTCAATACAACATGGAAAAGATAGATTGTTCAATAAACAATGTACTAGGTAGCCATCTGAGAAAAAAATTGAGATGCATAAATTACACCTTCCACAAATTCCAAATGGATCAGGGATATATAGGTAAAAGGAAAAAATGGAAAGAGGAAGAGAATAAAAGAAATCTTTAAAATACTGAAACTCTGGGAAGGCCTTCCTAACAATGACACAAAAGTAATTTTTAATAGAAAGATATTAATTCAAGTACTTCAAGATCAAAAATCCCTACATGGCCAAAAAAGTCACATTTGCAACACATAACACAAAGAGCTAACTACTCTAATATATCAAAGAGCTTCAAATTGATTAGAAAAAACTAACCTATATAAAAATGAGCAAAGGATATGAACAGTTTTCAGAAACATGAAAAGATATTTAATCTCACTCTTCATAAAAGATCCAAATTAAACCTACCCTGAGATATTATCTTTCCATATTAGATTGCCCAAGACCAAAATGCTGAAAAACACATGGGGCACTCCTAAATTGTAGATACGAGTTTAAATTGATTCAACCTCTACAGAGGAAATTTGGTAATATTTACCAAAATGACAGACCTCGTTCCTTTTGACTATAGGGGAGGTACAATTTCTCCTCTATCCTCTTAAGGTCTTAAGGTTTTTGGCAGGGCCTGAGAATTAAGTTGAGATAAGACAGTTAAAATGGAGAAAAGCAAACACATTTTATTAAATTTTACATGTACCTGGGAGAATGAAGACCCAAAGAAGCAATTAGAATTGAACGCTTATGTACTGAAATGGACAGAGTAGTAAATTAGGAAAAAGTGTCCAGACAAAGAGGCTTGGCTAGGGTAGTTAAGTGAGTGAAGAAGTGAATAGGAAGATAAGGGTTAGTTTAATAAGGTATGTTAAGAGTAACTGCATAAGAATAAAATACTTTTCTAAAATCATAAAAAATTCCCTGGCAGTCCGGTGGTTAGGACTCCATGCTCTCACTGCTGAGGGTCTGGGTTAAATCCCTGGTTGGGGGACTAATATCCCACATCCCACAAGCTGCACAGTGTGGCCAAAAAATAAATAAGAATGTAAAAAATCATAAAAAACAGAATAAAAAAATTTGTACAGCTTTCTCTTTGCCTTGAATCCTTGTCCCTAATGATATGAATGTTACTTTCCTCCTGGTATAGGGAGGACATCTTCCATATGGGGGGTTTATCTCCTGTATTTAGGGAAAAAAAAGGAGAACTCAGTGTACCCTTCTTACACCTGCTGTTTTTCAAGTGCCTTTAGCTCAAAATAATCCTATGCCAAAGTGGCATATTCTGTCACCTTCATGACCTGGCAATTCCACTCCTGGGATACCACCTAAGATACACAGATATCCTTGCACATATTCCAAATGCCACCCATAAAAGGGTAATTCATTACAGGGTCATTTCTGCTAGCAAAAGATTGGTGGGGGTTGGGGGGGGAGACTAAATTACCATTAATAGGGACTAGTTAAGTTAGGCTCCAAACACACAGTGAAATGTTCTGCAGCCATGTTAATGACTAAGAAACTCTTTGTGCAATGATGTGAAAGATCTCCAAATGGAAGAAGCAAGATACAAGGCAGTATGAATAGTACACAACTATTTGTGTAAAAGGAGGAAAAGTCAATATGAAATACGGACATTTTTTTCTTGTAAAATGGGCTGGAAGGAAACACAAGAAATTATGACATTGGTTGCCTGTAGAAAGGGAAACTAGGGGGTTGGGAGAGAAAAGTGCCAGGGAGATCGCAGTGTATACTCACCATACTTTCAGAATTTTGAACCATGTGCATGTTTTACCCTCTAAAAAAACCCTGAAATAAAAAAGAAGTACTGGGCTTCCCTGGTGGTGCAGTGGTTGAGGGTCCACCTGCCGATGCAGGGGACACGGGTTCGTGCCCCGGTCCAGGAGGATCCCACATGCCGCGGAGCGGCTGGGCCCGTGAGCCATGGCCGCTGAACCTGCGCGTCCGGAGCCTGTGCCCGGCAACGGGAGAGGCCACAACAGTGAGAGGCCCGCGTACCACAAAAAAAAAAAAAAAAAGAAGTACTGGTTTGAAGAATATTAGACAATAAGAACTAAAATAGTATACCATGGTAACATGGAAGATGAGGAGGGCAGTGCCCAGAATTAAAGCTTTCTAAATTCCTTTTATTGTTTGGGGAGAGGCTTATGATATTGATTAAATCTATAATTTGTTACATTAATTTTAAGTATTAAAAATGTGAAGACAATCACTAAAAGCTAAAATGAATAACAAAACAGTAGAGGAAGAAAAAAATAAGAAAAAAGAGAAACATGAGAAAATAGAAAGTGCAAAACAAAACAGGCAGAAAATCCAAATATATCAGTAATCACAATAAAAGATTAAACACACCAGTTTAAAAAAATAAAAGGGAAGGAAGGGAGGGAGGGAGGAAGGGAGGGAGGGAGGGAGGGAGGAAGGAAGAAAGGATCATTTTCAAATTAAAAAAGATTCTGATTTTTTAAAAACTAATTTTAAGATATATGTTCTTTAAGGGAGACACCTAAATTATTACACAGAAACTTCAAAGGGACAGAAGAAGATATATCAGGCAAATACAAATCAAAATAAGTTGTTATCCATACATTAGTGTGGGGAAAAGAAAATTTAAGGAAAATATAACTAAAGATAAAGATGCTATTTAATGATTTTTAAAAATCATCAGGAGAATCTTAACAATAAAAGAAACAAACCGATAAAACAGACACAGATTCACATAGAACAAACTAGTGGTTACCAGAGGGGAGAAGGATGAGGACAGGGGCAAAATAGGTGAAGGAGATTAAGAGGTACAAACTACCAGATATAAAATAAATAAGTTACAAGGATGTAATGTACAATACAGGGAATATAGTTAATATTTTATAATAACTTTGTATGGAGTGTAATCTATTAAAATATTGAATTATTGTTTGTACCCTTGAAACTAATATAATATTGTAAGTCAACTATACTTCAATTTAAAAATTTTTTAATAAAATAAAAATACATATTTTTAAATTTTTATTATTTTTAATTTAATTTTTTATTTTGGCTGCACCACACAGCATGCGGGATCTTATCTCCCCAACCAGGGATCCAACCCATGCCCCCTGCAGTGGAAGCGTGGATTCTTAACCACTGGACCTCCAGGGGAGTCCCTTTTCTTTTTGGAAAAAAAATTTTAAATCATGAGGAAGATATAACTATTCTGAATCTGTACACACCTAGCAAATTAACAGATAAGGTGATAATTAACAGAATAAGGATTGGCTTTAGACTTTTTTTTTTTTTTCGGTATGCGGGTCTCTCACTGTTGTGGCCTCTCCCGTTGTGGAGCACAGGCTCCGGACGCGCAGGCTCAGCAGCCATGGCTCACGGGCCCAGCCACTCCGCGGCATGTGGGATCTTCCCGGACTGGGGCATGAACCCGTGTCCCCTGCATCGGCAGGCGGACTCTCAACCACTGCGCCACCAGGGAAGCCCTGGCTTTAGACTTTTTTTTTTTTTTTTTTTGGCTTTAGACTTTTTAAGGCACTATACATGGTAAAAATAAATACCAAATGAATAAGCAAATCCATAAGTACAGTAGGAGATTTTTATGCATCTTCAGAAACTGATAATGCAAAGGAGCGGTTGGGGGGATCAAATCCTCTTACAAAAATTTAAGTTTAACAGAAACATGAAACTATAGCTTGATGTAGAATCAGAGTCTAGAAAAAGTTGTTTCAGGACATAAGAGATGAGCACAATTTGTAGCCAGGAGGAAAAACCCTTAGAACTCCAAGGTTCTCAATCTTGGCTGCAAAACAGAACTACCAGGGAGAGCTTTTAAAATCCTGGTGCCCAGGCCACAACCCTGTCCAGTTAAATCAGATCTCTGGGAACGGGGCCCAGGGCTCAGTATTTTTTAAAGTTCCAACATGCAGCCAAAGCTGAACACCACTGCTCAAAGAGAAGAGAAACTAAAGATGTTTGAAGATGTAGGAGAGGGGCAAGACTGGCTACATAACTTGCTAGGCCCAGTGCAAAATGAAAATGTAGGGCCCCTTGTCCAAAAATAATTAAGAATTTAAAGACAGCAACAGGGACTTCCCTTGTGGTCCAGTGTCTAAGACCACGCTCCCAATGCAGGGGGCCCAGGTTCAATCCCTGGTCAGGGAACTAGATCCCACATGCCGCAACTAAGAGTCCGCATGCTGCAAATAAAGATCCCGCATGCCACAACTAAGACCCAGTGCAGCCAAATAAATAAATAAATATTTTTTAAAAAAATAAAAATAAAGACAGCAACGATAAAACATTAAACCAAACTTAGGACCCTTCTAAGTATAAGGTCCTGTGTAACTGCACAGATCACACACCCATGAAGCCAGCCCCGGAAAGAGGAAAATTGAAGGGATAAGGTATAGGAGGAGACCTTGGGAATTAAGAAAAACTCTCAGATATAAGAGGGAAGGAGGGAAAAAATGGGTTAAAGGATGGAGAAATCATAAGGTGGAAAGAAGAGCTGAAAGAATTCATATTAGGGGAATTCCCTGGCGGTCCAGTAGTTAGGATGCTGCGCTTTCAACTGCCAAGGGCCTGGGTTCCACCCCTGGTTGGGGAACTAAGATCCCACAAGCCAGTGCAGCGCAGCTAAGGGAGTTTGAAGGTCTGGTTTTCCAGCAGCCGCTATGAGGACTGTAAGAGAGTTTACAGCAAATGAAGAAAAGTAATGTCAAGCAATACTGAGGGCCTGGATGACACTGGGTCATACACATTTTCAAAGAAAGCAATCTGCATATTTACATGATTTCCACCAACATTGTTCAGTAGCCCAGGAACAGTAAAAAATAACAGATGGCTGGTTCCCTGTGAGAATTTTGGGAGTAGTATATGTTGTACTTTGTGGAGGGCACATTCATTTTTAGTGCTTTGGAAGTTTGGGTGAGGATGGAGTTGACTCCTCTCTACCCTCCATATCCATCCCCAACATAAACCATCCTGTGGTCTATACTCCTCTTATGAGTAAGCTTCACTATTAAGAAAGAGAGTTTGCTAGATGCCCATTTACGCATGGCACTATACCAGGTACCCCAAAACAACTGACAAGTGCTGTAGAAATAACCTTGTAAATCATATACACACCCTTTCATAATACAATACACTTCTGTGTATTTTTGTCTTTGTTATATAATTCAACTAAAATATATTACTAACCTTCCTTTTTAAATGTTCATAAAGGCAGCAAATACAAAGTCTATCGACCGTGCCTCAGGCTACCCAACTGACATCCTCGCCATCGACCAAATACTCAAGAAAAAGCAGAATTGGACAGTGGCTGATGCAGCTGCTATTAAACAGCATGTGAGTATTCTCTGTTGAATACCTTCAGAGAAACCACTGACAGCTATGTCTTTAAAATAAGACCAGATCATTTCTTATTTTCATCCATTGTAATGATATTTCTTGCTCTATAATCAAATGGGTTCAAGTGTTAACTGTTATAATTCATCCTGCTAATCACCTATGGAGTCATACCCAGCATCATTTCTGGGACATTCATTTGTTTCATGCTGGAAATAGCAACTAATTAAGGCAGTAAACCAACGGTCACAGTGAGTGGTGTAATCAGGGAATTGTGATGAGTGAATGCATCTTTATTATGGCAGCTAAAAGAATAATTGTAATAATAGTAGTTTAAGTATGCTTCCTAGGTGTCAGGCACTGTGCTCTATAAGTACTCTACAAGTGCTCTACAGGTACTAATTCATTTACTTATCACAACAAATCTTTGAGGTAGGCACTGTGACTCTTTGTCATTTTACACATATGCACAGAGAGGTTAAGTGACTTGCCCAAAAGCACACAGCTAGAAACTAATAGGGCCAGAATTATAAGCATGGGTAGCTTGGCTTCAGAATCCACAACTGTGGATTAACCACAGCTGTGTGCCACCTGTCTACTTTTGTGCCCCGACTTCTTAGCTTTTGTCCTCTAGAGACAGACTGGGGTGTGTTTATTTTATGCCACCTCCCTTCTGCATTTGACACTAATGATCAGGCTCTCCTAGACACTTGCTACTTCCTTAACATTCACAATACTGCATCTTTAATTCTCCTTGTAGTTCTGTGTCCTTTCCTCTCTCTTCTCTTTCCTGAAGGTTCATCCCTTAAGTCTTTTTATTTGAAGTATAGTTGATTTGCAGTGTTTCAGGTGTACAGCAAAGTGATTCAGTTATACATACACATATAAATATATTCTTTTTCAGATTCTTTTCTATTTCCCTGTGCTGTAAAGTAGGCCCTTGTTTATTTTATATATAGTAGCATGTATCTGTTAATCCCAAATTCCTAATTTATCCCTCCCCCCTTTCCTCTTTCAAACTTTGGTAACCATAGTTTGTTTTCTACATCTGTGAGTCTATTCCTATTTTGTAAATAAGTTCATTTATATCTATTTTTAGATTCCACATATAAGGGATATCATATGATATTTGTCTTTCTCTGTCTGACTTACTTCACTCAGTATGATAATCTCTAGGTCCATCCATGTTGCTGCAAATGGCATTATTTCATTCTTTTTCACGGTTGATTAGTATCCTATTGTATATATATAAACTACATCTTCTTTATCCATTCATCTGTCGATGGACATTTAGGTTCCTTAAGTCTTTGTTTTTGGCTCTGTTGGGTCTTCGTTGCTGCACGCAGGCTTTCTCTAGTTGCGGTGAGCGGGGCCTACTCTTCTTTGCGGTGCGCGGGCTTCTCATTGTGGTGGCTCCTCTTGTTGCAGAGCACGGGCTCTAGGCGTGTGGGCTTCAGAAGTTGTGGCGCACGGGCTTAGTTGCTCCACGGCATGTAGGATCTTCCTGGACCAGGGCTCGAACCTGTGTCCCCTGCATTGGCAGGCAGATTCTCAACCACTGGGCCACCAGGGATGTCCCTCCTTAAGTCCTGATGGTTCCTAGTTTTCTAGTCTCATCCTACTGCTCTTATTATTATATACATTCATTTGTTCAGTAAATATTTATCCAGTGTTAACAAAGTTCTGAGATTATGAGATACCACAGAATAAAAAACACAGTTCCTACCCTCAATGAGCTAGCAGTAAGGTGGGAGACACGGAGAAGGAAAGGAGCAGTAATAATACATTGGGATAAACGGAACTACAGGAGGTCAGTACAGCATGCCACAAGAATGCAAAGGAGTAGACTCCCAACCTCTGTCTCATCATGGCATAAATTCACACTGGCGTAAATGGAGGTCGATTATAGCCAAAGGGCTCCAGCCCTGAGATGCTAGCTGCCTCAAGGGCTAGGAAACTTGAGAATACCAATAATTTGGCATCCCTATAACCCAGTCGCAACAGAACATTGGGGATCTCTGCATTAAGTAAAGGAACAGCTAGGGTGAGTATCCTTTGAGCTATCTCAATCTACCCTCCTTGTTTCAGCTGCCACCTATATACCTGATAACTCTTAGCTGTCACTAGCCTAGACTTCTTTCCAGTACTTCTTCCTCATCTCACCGATTGCCTGATGAACATCTCTACCTTGCTGTCTCACCACATATCAAACTGGACATGTCCAAAACCGAATTCATCATCTTCTATATCAAACTGGCTCATTCTTGAGGATTCCATATCTCAGTTGTTGATACTACCATCTACCCAGGCACTGAAACTAGAAGGCCAGGAGCCATCCTTAATTTATACTTTTTCTTCACTCCTCACATCCACCAATCACCAAATCTGGCTACTCTCATTCTCCCAAAGATTTTTCACATCTGTCCCCTTTATTCCATCCTGTTACTACTGTCTCAGCTGAGGTCCTCATTAGGCTTTACCTAAACAGCAACCTGCAATGATTATCCCTTCCTCAGAGCACCACCCATCCTCCACACAGCTGCTGTGAGGAATGAATCCAAAGAAGATCCAGCCTGTCACTGTCCTGCTTAGGAAATGAATGTTTCCTTCTCAGAGATGACAGGGTTTTTCAACTATATTTTTTGCTCCATACAACTGAGGGATTTATCTCACTTCTAACAGAAAAGTGTCTCACTACAGCATGATTTTCACTGATGAAAGGGCTATGCCCAACCTCACTGAGAACAAGTCTCAGGGCCTGATTACAGCAACAACACCTGGCCTGCCTCTCCTCAAATTTGATACTTTAGCAATACCAAAGTGCCTGGACTCCCCCTACCAGCTCCAGGATGCATTGCCTTTGAGCCGTTGTTTATGCTATTCCCTCTCCCTGGAACACCTTCCCATCACCACCCACTCCCTTGATTTAATCAAGTCCTTGAGGACCTACTCAGCTCAGCATCTTCTCCCTCCCTGCCCTAGGCTGGACTGAGTGCCATCCTTGGCACTCCTATTATATCCAGAGCCTATCTCCATCCCACTTTCCTCCTGTTGTAGCCTACTGTGTTTTTAAATTCTTATAAAATTTCTTAAAATCTCATTATTCCCAAGTAATACATTTTCATTGTCCATCAACTCCTAACTCACATGTCCTCAAGAGGCACTACCCAATATATAAATTCAGTGACTTTCAAGTAACCTGGGAACATAACTCTTGGGATATCTAGAATTGTGGTCCACAAACCAAAGACATTTTAAGGTAACTACTGTAAACTTCTGCTCTCTCACTGCAGGTAAAGAGAGCTACAGATACCTATAACTTGGGAATTGCCCTTGAGCACCGGGAACAAATGCTAAACCTCTGGCGGAAGATCCGAGGGGATTTGATTGGGATAGACAGTAAAAATGAGTCCTTTTATGACACCTTTTCTACTTATACATGGTCCTGGAATGTCTGCCAAGAATTACTTTCCCCAAAGGACTTAAGGTTATATGATGCCTGTGTGAATAGAAATTCCTTCCACAACTCTGCATTCTCTTCCTCTTCGGATATTAGTGAGTGTGCCACAGGAAGAAGAAGAAAATGGAAAGGCTTCAAAGGGTTTCGACAATGAAATTTCTACATTTTCTAAACAGCTCATTGCAAACTACTTTTTCATAGATATCAAAATTATTCTTGCTTTTGTCTAATACATTCTTAGCAGCTGGAAATGTTGACATCTTTGGAATTCTGACCAGTAAAAAAGTTTAAGTCATAGTATGGTTTCCCTTTCCTAATTCTTGCTAGTAGATAGATGCCTTGCGGTTATTCCCCTAGCAACCAGCTGCACTCCACTGCCCCTACCTGGTTCAAAACTGCCTGGGCCTCAGCAGGAAGGAGAAAAGCAAAGCTGACACTTACCTCAGCACAGGGCTGCCCTTCTGACCTCCTAACAGCCCTCTCAGCAATAAGCACCTGAGTTTATGTGACTTAAGTGGCATTAGTTTTTTTATCGTTTGTGAAAGAAGCCAGAGGCAGCAGATGACAATGACCCTTCAGTTTCAGGGAATAATTTCGCAATCCCCCAAGGAACCTTGATTAGATTTGGGTTTTCGTAAGGCTCCTTAGCCACACACTTTCAGACTGATCTCTTGGATTACCCTAAAGAATAGCTGATTTCACTCACTCTTCACTGTTAAGGTCAATGAGTGAGTAACAGTTTTGTAGTAGTTGTGATTAAAGATGGATTTTGGTTGGAAAGAATATTCTTTTCAAGTTTTATCACTCAAAAAAAAGATTCCAGACCAGACTTTTGGCCTTTGCTAAACAAAAGTAGTGTTATTTTTGATCAGTGCTATGTATGCCTGGAGAAAAATTCCCAGAATGAAGGATAGCTAGATAGGAATTTTATAAGCAAGAAAACCAGCCGTCCCACTCCTAGGTATTTATCAAAAAAAAATTTTTTTAAGGTGATCTCATCCATTATGCTTGTTGTTGTTCTTTAATGCATTTAATAAAGGAGCACATGTATAACTGTATTACAAGTTTGAGGGGTTGCAATTTTTTATTGTGGAAAAATATAAATAATATAAAATTTATTATTTTATATTTAAGTGTATATCATCCATTACTTTTTTTTCCTTTTAGAAAAAGGAAAATACATGTTCCATATTGAGGGAGACAGTGGCTTATAATGTAAAATTATAACATGCCAGGAAGAAACAATGAAGATAGTGAAGGATCCCAAAACTGTTTAATGAAATAACCTTGAAGTAATTTTGTGTTACCTTGAATATTCAAAACTGTCTAAGTATATTTGCCAGTCTTTATAATGTTATGTTTGGGACAAAAATAGATAACATTATAGATAAATGATTACATTTTCTAAATAAAAGACAAAATTTATGGTTTGACAAGATTTTTTTTTTTTTTTTTGGTATGGCTGTGAGTATAACAGGCAACCTAAGAGATTTAACTTGGATGCCAAAATATTAGAATTCCTGGAATATTTCCTTGGATCAATGTGATAACAGGACAGAATATTTTTAAGTACATCTGTCTTGGAAAATTTTAAATGTGCAGTAATATATTCTATTAAATTATCACACTGTTGATGACAGCATAAATTGATGGAATACAGTATAGCAACAGGTACTCAGCCATTCATTCACCAATTATTTCCTGAGTTGCAAACTGTGTGGTGGACCCTGTTCTCAGGCCTGGATATCTAACAGTGAGCAAACAGATAAAATGCTCTGACCTCCCAGAGCTTAATAACGGAGCTAATTATAACCATTCATTCAGCACTTCCACTTCTAGAAATTAATCCTAAAGAAATAATCATGAGTGTGGGAGGGAGGGAGACGCAAGAGGGAAGACATACGGGGACATATGTATATGTATAACTGATTCACTTTGTTATAAAGCAGAAACTAACACACCATTGTAAAGCAATTATACTCCAATAAAGATGTTTAAAAAAAAAGAATTATGAATGTACAAAATGATTTAGTTATAAGGATTTTTCTCATGGTGAATTTTTAATAGTAAGAAACTTAAAGTAGCCTAATTGTCCAATATATTATGATACAGCTATACAAAACAATACAAGGGTCATTAAAATTATGTCGTAAAAGCATATTTCAGGGCTTCCCTGGTGGCACAGGGGTTAAAAATCTCCCTGCCAATGCAGGGGACACAGGTTCGAGCCCTGGTCCAGGAAGATCCCACATGCCGTGGAGCAACTAAGCCCATGCGCCACAACTACTGAGCCCACGTGCTGCAACTACTGAAGCCCGCGCTCCTAGAGCCCGTGTTCCGCAACAAGACAATGAGATGAGAAGCCCTCACACCTCAATGAAGATTAGACCCTGCTCACCACAACTAGAGAAAGCCCATACGCAGCAACGAAGACCCAATGCAGCCAAAAATTAAAAATAATTAAATAATTTTTTTCAAAAAAATATTTCAAACAAAAGAATAATATTCACAATTACAAGGCAGACTACAACTGCTAAAAGGCATGAGAGAACTTTATGGGATTGTTCTAAAACTTAACTATGATGGTGGTTGCACAAATACAGATTTTTATGAAAACTCATCAAATTTTCCATTTTAAATGGATGAATTTAACTGTATGTAAATTATACTTCAATGAAACTGTAAAAAAAGAAGGGCACAAAGCAGTTTGTTCTGAAATTGTTTAACTTAAAAATTATTTCTATAAATAAATTAGAAAAAAAACACTGGAAGGATATAAACCAAAGTGTCTAATGGATTAAATTAAAGGTAGGATGGGATATTTTCTTTTTTTTGGTCTTATCTATATCTTCTAAATGTTCTACAATAAACATATATGTATTTTGCAATAAGGAAAAAGCCACAAAAGCTGCTTTAAAATTAACGTTGTTAAACCAGCTTATTCAATATCTAGGGCTGCTACGAAGGCTGTCCAGGTTCTATGAAACTGTTAAGGAGAGCAAATTAGGACACTAGGATACCTTCACCAGTCCTTCAGTTCTAGAGCACATGCTTACACAGCCCAGAACTTCCACTGACTGGAATTGAATGAAAGCCTGAAACAATTAACTACCCCTGTCTAGGGTTAAACACTCAAAGCAATAATCCAGCCTGAGAGTTCTTAACCTTTCCATGCTTTGAACCCATGCCACCCACTGAGCTGGAAGAGTTCTCAACACTCACCAGCAGAGGGACCCTCAGCTCCTCTGAAAGGGTAGTGCTTGCTGACACTACAGTCCAGTTGATACCACGGAGGACTCACAGATACATGTCTTCCAAATTCCTTCCGAAATATTATTTTAGGTGCTTCAAAAGATGGAAAAAGGGACTTCGCTGGTGGCGCAGTGAATAAGACTCCACGCTCCCAATGCAGGAGTCCCTGTTTGATCCCTGGTCAGGGAACTAGGTACCACATGCATGCCGAAACTAAGAGCTCACATGCCACAACTAAGACCCGGTGCGACTAAATAAATAAATATTAAAAAAAAAAAAAAAAGATGGAGAAAAATGAGTTGTACAGGTCAACCAAAGATAATTGTATAAAAGTTAAGTTTAGGATACTCTATCACATTTTATTAAAAGGCCCAAGTTGCTTGACATTTTAATTTTTTTTTTTCTTTTTCCCTCCTTGCAGTACACAGGCCTCTCACTGTTGTGGCCTCTCCTGTTGCGGAGCACAGGCTCCGGACGCGCAGGCTCAGCGGCCATGGCTCACGGGCCCAGCCGCTCCGTGGCACGTGGGATCTTCCCGGACCGGGGCACGAACCCGTGTCCGCTGCATCGGCAGGCGGACTCTCAACCACTGCGCCACCAAGGAAGACCTGCTTGACATTTTTAATGGCTCTAATTATTGGAACTAATATAGCAAGCAACTTCAAGTGAAGACAGAGTAAGCTATCTGCAAGAAGATACGCAGTGGGACTGTTGATTGGGACCGTTGATTGGGACCACAAACAGCTTTTGGTGTGGGGAGGAAAAAAAAGCCTGTAGATGAAGGAACAAGATGCCAAAAATAAATATAAACCAACCACCTTATCTGCAAACAGCAGGCCTTGAGAAAAGATAAAAATCCTTGTACTTGTTTTTTGGAAAGGAGCTTTTGTTCAAAATGCTTCAAAAGACCTTGAGAATGGCAAAAGTATTTTGTCTTCAAATAAAGTAGTACAAGTTCTTTACTATCTTATCTTTTTGATTCACTCCTGTATTTTTCTTTGTGATTACAGAGGGTTTAGAGCTTGTTCCCATTTCTTTGGTGGGAAAGGTATAGAATCTTTCATTGCTCCCCTTGGTTTTGCCTATGGAAAGACTAAGCAGTGGAGTTAAACTATCACTGGTTACCAGTATGCTAAACCTAGTACTACATTACTTAAATAACTAACTCTTCCCTTCTCTTCTTACAAATGGTAGTCATCACTCTTCTACTGGAAGTCTTCTTAATTAACCTTACCTTATGTTGACAGCACACTTTCTTCTTTTGAGAATCAGTTTGTAGTAATTATCAAAATAGAAATGTAAGGCTGAAAATGCATTAATAGAACTACATACGTGTATGTATTACGATTCTGATTGTGCAAATAAGCTCTCATACAGATAATCCAAAAAGGTAGTTATATTTTTAAACTTGTCCTTGGATATTCGATTTCATTTGACGAATAAACCTCGTGTTCTCAGAATTCATTTCATATCCTCCCCCAGAAAATATATATATATAGTCCCACACTATTATATATATACTTTTTAAATATACATGTATACACATTTTTTTTTCCTTTTTCACACTGTGATAATCTGACTATAGAAGCTGGAAAACTGCCCTATTTCGTCACCCTGCTTGCTACCTTCCTCAATTATCTTGGTCATTAGCTCTACGGTGGAACTAGGTACCCTTAATTCTTAAAGTGATTCTAGATTTTTCCAGCCTTACAACTTAAGGGAAACTAGGGAACCTGTTAGAGGATCCCAGCATTAGAAAAGAGGCTCAAGTAGAACGTCTCCCACTTTTTCGCCGGCCTCTTCAGGGACAAACGACTCTGGGGCAACACCCCACCACCTCTCCTTCCCCAAGGAGCCCCGCGCGACCCGACGGACCCCGAGCGCCGCCTGCACGCCCAACTCCAAGGCCGCCCCGCCCCCAGGGCCGCCCCGCCCCGCCCCGCCCCTCCTCGCCTCGCCCCGCCTCCGTCTTTTCCCGCCCAGACCGCTCGCCTTCCGGAAGGGGGCGTGACCTCGCAGGAAGTGCTCGCGTTAGGGAAAGGTAGGGATTTCCGGCTCCGGTGTCATGGACGCTTCCTACACTGAAGGTGAACACACCGCGGTCTGCGGGAAGAGGCAGCAGTTTGGGAGCCGGTTTCTGAGCGACCCGGCGCGCGTCTTCCACCACAATGCCTGGTAACCGCCCTGCCCCTCGCCCGGCCTGCGGTTCGCCCTCTGTCCCGGCGCCGTGGAGCGCTCCGAGAAACCCTTGACCGCCGGCCAGAGTCCCGCTGCCCTGCTCGAGGCGCTCTCCTCCCACGGGAGAGGCGCTCCGGGGCCATGGACTCACCTACCCGCAGCGGGAACCTGAGGCCCCTAAGCTACCCGTTTAATTTTCTCAGGGACAGTGTGGAGTGGTCAGAAGAGCAGGCCGCGGCGGCGGAGAGGAAAGTCCAGGAGAACAGTACCCAGCGAGTGTGCGAGGAGAAACAAGGTGCGCCCAGGTGGGCCCACAGTGGCATAGACAGCCAGCGTACTGCTGGACGTGTTCTCCCGGAAAGGCCAGAGAACCGAGGCCGCCGGGTCTTTGTTAGTGGACTGATACAGAATTCGGAGGTAGAATGGGAGTGGAGGGGATGGGCAAGGATGGGAAAGGGCTGCGCCTTAAAATCTTGTTAGGGCGTAGAGCGTGTTTTGGTTTGGTTTTTTGTTTGGAAGAAGATAACCATTTTGATAGTATTTTCTAGTGATTTAAGTCTTTAATTATGTTGACTAGATCTTTGTTAATATGGCTGGCGTGTGGCAACCGTGTGGTCACATGATTGTCTTAGAGGGTGTATCGATACTTTCTCCATCATTACACTTCGCCTGAGGAAATGTTGCCATTAAAGCTAGATTCAAGTGGTCAGATTCTAAATATTGTTGGGGGGATGGCTAATGAGTAGTGAATTATGTGCCTTTTCTTTGTGTGATGGCTATGAGGATTTAGGGCTTCTGCCAAGGAAAGATGGATGAAGCAGAGTGGAAATAAGTCTGGTCAAAGAAAAAGAGGCCCCTTCTGCAGAGGTGGATGATTTCACTGCAACGTATCCCTAGATACTAAAAAACTAGGACTGGTTGGGCCTGTGTCCTAAGTGACAATTGAAGGTAGTGCTAGGAATGGGAGAGTAGTACCCACTGAAAGAGTTCTGAACAACAATTAGAAGATTCCGGTTACAAAATATTCACCCTACATAGTTTGACAAAGACTAGATCAAAGCAAGTTAAGGTTGAAAGGGATTTTGAAAATCATATAGTCCAATATCCTCTTTTTACAATTAAAGAATCTTGGACCTCAGGACATTAAGTGCCTTGCCCAGAGGTAAGCAGTTAGTAGTGGTGGAATTGAAATCCAGTTTCTCGGGTTTTTATTCTCCTACTACACTAGTCAAGGCCCTGTATTGGCAAAGAGCAGAAAACTGAAATCTAGTTATAAACCAGTGTTATCTCAAAAAAATAATAAATTAGTAAAAAGGAAAAACTGAAATCTAGGTCTGCTTACGTGAAACAGCAGCTTTCTTTTAAATAGTCCATACCTTAGTCTCTCCTGTACTCTATCATCAAATCTTTTCTCCTCTGAAGACATTTTCCCCTCTTGTCAGCATTTTCTATTTCCATTTTTAGTCTCTATTAGTAGTAGAGAATTTATTTCTGGGCTCCACACTCTAAAGAATCACTGACAGAGGAACATAATGTAAAGAGCTACCTGTATCATAACCATTGATTTCACATGGGGAGTAACTGAAGAACCTGGGACGTTTAGCTTGTAAAAGAGGATTTAGAAGGGGAAATAATTGTCCTCAAATACAAAAGAGTTGTTCTCTTTGGCCCTGAGAAATAGTAGGACCTTTTGATCAGAAATGATTAGACAGATTTTTTGCTTAATATTAGGATTTTCTAGTAGTTAAGAGCCATCCAAAGATGTGAGGGGAAATTTGATAGGTAGTAAGTTCTCTGGCAGAAGTTGAACTCCCTGGAAGGACAAGATACACAGCAAATTCAAGTGTGATAGGTGGTAGGACTAAATGACCACCAGCTCTGAGACTGTGGCTCTACTTGAGTATAACTTTTAGTACAAATTTTGGTGAAGCAGGATGGTGATTTACACTATATACAGATAAAATATTGAGAGATGGTTCTTAAAATTCTTTCTTAACTATTTACAGTTGATTATGAGATCAATGCCAACAAATACTGGAATGACTTCTACAAAATCCACGAAAATGGGTTTTTCAAGGATAGACATTGGCTTTTTACTGAATTCCCAGAGCTGGCACCTAGCCAAAACCAAAATCACTTGAAGGCTTTGCTCTCAGAGAACAAGGGGAGTGAAGTACCTGCGTGTAGAAGCAGTGAGGATGGATCTGGTTTAATAATAGAAGCACAGCACAGTTGTTCTTCAGTCAGCCTTGGACGTAAAACACAGCCACCTCCTGTGGAAGAGAATGTAACTCAGAAACTCCGTCACCTGGAAATCTGTGCTGATGAGTTTCCTGGATCCTCAGCCACCTACCGAATACTGGAGGTAACCTCCCTTTATTGTCCTGGTAGTGGGGTTAATGAGGCTGTCTTACTATGCACATAGGGTGGCAGTAGAGAGGCTGACCACCAAAGTAACTTCTGACTGATGAACCTGACTAGACTGGACCCTTATGTTAGCCTGGAAACACCTCCAGGTGTTTGAACTAATGAAATGCCCTAGATGCAGACCAGATACCTGGTGGTCATGGCAAACAAAGACAGATCACCTGATATTGGGAGCATTATATTGCATCCAGAAGTTGTAGCATCCTGCTGTACCTGCCATCTAGTAAAGAGTCCCAGGTCAGAAGACAACTTTTGTTACTTCTAAGATAGTTATGAGATGGAGAGGTTAGTTGCGGTGGTACCTACTCTCAATTGTGAGAGAATTCTTGTTTTCTCAGTTTGGATGTGTGGCAGAGGCTAGGCTAGACCTGAAAAAATGTCTAGGGTGGGCACTGTAACAAATGTTCACAGAAGTGACAACACACTCCACCAGAAGCTGACTAGTTTTGGGACTGAGTCCTCTGGCATGACTTTGTGCTAGTCCCTTACCCAGCAGAATGGGACTTCTGCCTCATAGTTGTTACGGGGGTTAATTGAAGTAAGGTATGTAAAATGACTGAGAATAGTGTCTGGCACGCAGTAAGCCTTTAGTAAATTGTGCTGTTTTTATAATTACCACACCCAGCGCTGAATTTAGGACAGTGTTGCCATGGTCCTCCTTTCATGAATTTTTCAACGCAGTCTGCTAGAAACATTTTTCCAATAATGATATAGTGGAGCTCAGTAAGAAAATGTTTTGTTTACAGGACCATTTGCCAAAACTCAGAAAGTAAAAGCAGCCCATGCCCTTTTTTCCAGACCATCTCCCTCCCGCTAGTGAAAGCCCATGCTCTCATCTTTTATGGCTATCTCTTTAAGGGTTCCCGAGGTCAAGGGCAGGGAATGTCGTGGGTACTATTTAGCTCTGGTCACTACACCTTCCCTAATACAATTAGACAAGATTATCCGTTGTTGATTATTTATCTAGCTTTAGGGAATTAATTCTTTGGAAAGTTCTGTGATTAATAGTTCATTTCTGTCTACAGGTTGGTTGTGGTGTGGGAAACACAGTCTTTCCAATTTTACAAACTAACAAGTAAGTTTCTTGTAAAGTTTACATGACAGCAAAGAAGAGAAAAGTGAGGGGTTGTTGTTTCTTAGAACTCTTACTGCATCCAAGTGGTAATAGTGGTTATTGGGAATTGTGGGTTATAGGAGATTAGATATCTACATTATCCATTTATGGATTGTTTTGACTTAATTTTATTTATGAGTTATCTTTGTCATCAGGGAAATTAGTGGGTGTTAAACCTGTTGCATTGTTAATATATGGTACCTTCATATTTTAACTCTGTTACATGGGAAAGAGAATAGACATAGTACAGTTTGTAATCTAATTGTTCTGCTGTTTTTTCTGCCCATTTCAGTGACCCAAGACTCTTTGTTTACTGTTGTGATTTTTCTTCCACAGCTGTAGAACTGGTCCAGGTAAGTGCAGTGCTCCTGTCCCTAATTTTCACTGACTTAAAGGGGAAAGGGTCTGCTAAAAATCAAGGTCTCTAGCTATTTTCTTATTGTACTGTGGTCTGAAAGTAAAAGATGTACTGAAACAGCATGGAGTAGAGGAAAGGGCCAAATGTGAATACAGAATATGTTGCTTGCCTGCTGTGAAACTTTGGGCGGGTCTCTTGACCTACCCAAACTCATGTTTTAAGGATTAAAATGAGATGATTATTTCATTCAGGATTCTTTGAGTTACAAGTTACAGAAACTTCTAGACAAACTCAGCTAAAGGGATTGTCATAGAACTCAAGGGCGTAAAGTGTAGCCAGGACTAAAACTCAGCCCTGAAAAGGTGTCAGATACCAAAGGCAAACTGGCTGGCTGGTGAGATGTTGCTGCCCCCTCCTATCACAATACCTCCCTCAAGTTCACAGTGTCTTATCTCTCATTGCCCATTTGCCTTTTGTTTTGTTTTTTCTTTGCAGACCACCTTTCTCTAATAAGTTTTTCCTGGTTTTGCACGTGGCCTTGGCCTCAGCATACTTGCCCCTCCCAGTCCCTTACAAGTCTCCCCTCTTCACGTGTTCCCAAAACCTCCTCTCAATGACAGTGTCTTGATTCCAAAGTCCCCAGAAAGTCTGATTGACTCAACCCAGCTGACAGTCTACTTGCCCTGTTTCAATTAGCTGTGGCCAATGAGGAACAAAGTCACATTTTTGGAGAAGAGAGATGTGGATAGGGAAGTTACCCTAAAAATGTGCGTGTTACAATAATGTATGATGCTCCTAGCATAGGAGCTCAGGAATTGGTAATAATTCTGGATTTTTTTTTTTTTTTTTTTTTTTTGCTTGGCTTGCAGGATCTAAGTTCCCTGACCAGGGATCGAACCCAGGCCCCTAACAGTGAAAGCATTCCCTAACTGGACCGCCAGGGAATTCCCACTTCTGGAACTATTCTTGCAAACCTATACCAGACGAATATTGAGGCTTATCCTTAGTTAATTTAACGATAATAAATTGTAGGTTAAATCTTCCACATCTAGAGAGAGAGATTTTCCTGGAGAATTCTATGATCTGTGTAATACGCTGTAGTAGGAGTTTAAATCATGCTTTTTCAGTACGTTTTGTTTTCCTCCTTATGAGGTTTCTTTTTGCCCTTTTGGTCACTTACCTTCCTGGTCATTTTCCAGTCCTCAGATCTGACTCCGCATCAGAATAAAGACTAAAATTAGAGGAGTTGGGAACATTCCATTTTAAGCATACCAGTTAGATTCCACAGGGTCCTAGAGTTGTTCCTGATTCTTACCCTAAGAGTAAGAATGTTTGCCATAATGGCAAGAACTATCTCCTCAGTGGGAAGCGGCGGTGATTACGTTTAAAGCAAGATAGCTTTTCTTGAGGCTATGTGAGCATTTGCTAGCCTGTGTCCTCTCTTCCATCTGTCTGCAGACAAATTCAGCATATGATCCTTCTCGGTGTTTTGCCTTTGTTCACGACCTGTGTGATGAAGATAAGAGTTACCCAGTGCCCGGGGATAGTCTTGATGTCATCATCCTCATATTTGTTCTCTCAGCAATCATTCCAGACAAGTAAGTTTTAGATCCCTTAGCCAGTAGCATAGCAAAAACAAAGCTTTGGTCAGGGACCTGGATGTCAGAGTTGGAACCTAAATAAGAAGGATTTTATTAATGTTCTGATAGGCAGGAAGAAGCTCCTCCATCCTAGGAGCAGTAGGAGCTTCTCAACTATTTTTCTAAATTTGTCTTGGAGTCCAACTTCTGGTTTAGCATCTAAACCTCTGCTTGTTGACTGCAGTGCTCGGTTCTTCCCATGATTATGGTTTAACATCCCCAGAGAGTGAGGGGGCTGTCTTAGTGGGTATGTGGAAATTTCCTATTGACCATCACATAGCATGATGTCTTAGAACTGTGGATGCCACAGCTATTAGAGAACATCCCATTATTGGCCTTTTAAATGCTTTCAATAGAACAAGCTTATTAACAGCACAAAATTTACAGTGAAGTTTAACTCAGGTGTTCTCTGTTTAAGTTCTTCAGAAAACTATAGTACAGGAGAATTCCGTAAAATCACGATTAGATAAAAGGAAAGTCGGTTGGTTTACCCTAAAAGATACCATTGAAGTCTCCTAGACAGGCAGCCAGTTGTCCCGACGAAGGTGAAATACTGTCTCAAGGAGGCAGTAGCATTCGGGGCAGTTGCGGGGGGTGGGGGGTGACTGACTTTCTCTAGCCCACATTTCCTCTAGGATAGCATTGTGTCATCTGACCTGACAGGGATATTGTGAGTGAGAAATAAAGGCAGGTGGAGGGCAGCCCAAACGGCCTGGCATGGTTTTAAACATTAATTGCAGAAGCTTACATGCTGTACACTTTTAAAAACTGATATGGACTGAAACAAAACATTAAAATTAAAAATTCATTATTCAGTATTTAAATAGACTTTCAAATGGTTTTTTTAAGTTTTAAGCATTTATACTTTTGCAGTGGTTAAAGCTGAAACCTGCACTGAGACTCTGTATATGGAAAGTGCAGTCAGAAGTGTAAAGCAGTCTGCCCAGAGTACTCATTTGCATACAGACTGTATCACCATGTAAATTGTAAGTTCTAGGTTCAGTCTTCATTTAACAGATGGAAGGATGCAGGCTGCATTCAAAGAGCTTGGGCCTAGTGGGGCAGGCAGATGGGTCAACTAGCAATCTCCATACTGGGTGGTCAGGGGTCCTCTCAGATCCATGGGAGCCTGGTGTAGGATTGGCTTCCCCATGAGGAGTGGGAAGTGAATCAGGCAGAGAGCATATAACTTCCCCCACGGTGGACCTCTGCTGAAAAAGCAGGCCTCTTCAGACCTCTTCATACTGAAGGCAGTGGATCGGAGGCACAGTTGTGAGCAGGCAGCAGAAGGCACAGCAGAGGTTTGGGCATGTGCTCAGGTTATAACTGAAACAAGAGTGGAGGAGATTTCAGGGCTTTTCGGGATATGCTACAGGGGAGAGGAACCCTATCCTTAAAGAGATCTGATCTTCGTTCCCTGCTGCCCCACAGGATGCAGAACGCTATCAACAGGCTAAGCAGGCTTCTGAAGCCTGGAGGGATGATGCTTCTGCGAGATTATGGCCGCTATGACATGGCTCAGCTTCGGTTTAAAAAAGGTATTTTCCCACTATAATCAAAACAACGGTTTTGCCATAAGAATAGTCATACAAATTAGTGGAATAAAATAGAGACTCTCAAATTATATAGCTCCATACATAAAGCCATTTAATACATGATAAGGGTGGTATGTTTTTGAAGACTTGTATAATCTAGGCGTTAGGGAGGTCTTTTTTAGAAAAAGGCATTTGATTACATAAATAGTTTTTAAGTGTGGTATGGCAAAAGATGCCATTAAAGTTAAAAGACAAATGACAGATTGAGGACAAATATTTTCAGTTAAAGGAACAGATAAAGACAATGTCAGTGCTCTTCAAGCAGGGCTGTTGGCAAATTGATAAGGGAAAAGATCAGTGACCCACCAAAAAACAGACAAGAAGTGTTTTAGAGTTGATTTACTAAAGAGCAGATCCAAATGGCTGAAACCAAAATTTCAAGAAAATAAAAATAACAATGAGATACCTATTGCTGGCTGATTCAGAGAAAGAGATACACTCTTCCATTATTGGTAGAAATAGAAATGGTTACAGCCTTTCTTTAAGCATCCTAGTGTTATCTATCCAATCCAACAGTCCTTTTGGGATTTATTCAAGAACCAGCACATAATATGTGTATGATAAGCAAAATCTTGGAAACAAAGTGACTGCCTCTGGATAGGGGAATGTTGTGCATATCACATGAGATAGACCCCATACCACTGGTCTTGGGGGGGTTTCCATGCTATATTACCAAGTGAGAAAAGCAATGTGCACATGGGTATTTTAAACTTAATCCCATGTATAACAGTAACTGGGGAAAAATAAGATCATTTGGACATTCAAAAGGTATAGAAGGATTGATTACATATCAGGTTGTTAAATTGACAAGGTCAGGGGGCTTAGCAGCAGGAGGGGAAGTGTGTGTCTTTGATAAAAACAGTATATATGTGATCATATTTATGAATGTGCATGTGGATACGTAGAGAGACATGCAAAAGGACAGTCACTAAAACAGGAATAGTGGCTGTCTCAGATTTCCTTAAACTTAGCTATATTCCTTGAGGTTTTTTTAAATGTGTTTTTAGAGGGGCAGAAGGCTGTTTAGAAAGTTGTTTCTGTTTTTAAACAAAGTGTACGCGCTATTTATTTAATCGGGGAGGGAGGGAAAAACAAGCTATTTTCATCATGAAACGGAACTGTAGAACAGGGGGCTGAGAATTGCATGTGTTAGCTAACACTGAAGTTTGATTATTCCCCTTGGGCTGCTCTTCTCCAAAGCACCATTCCTTTGTAGGAGAGAAATTGCAGATTCCTGCAAAGTACCAGTGTAACCAAGAAAAGGATCCGTTCTTGGCCCAAGAAATTGATATCTTGATGCACATTTGATTGGCAATGAAATTCAAAGAAGTGCTTTAAAGTTTCTCTGGTCTTTACCACACCACTCTGCAGGTCAGTGTCTGTCTGAAAATTTCTATGTGAGAGGCGATGGCACCAGAGTGTACTTCTTCACACAAGGTATGAAAGCACTCGTCTTTATGCTGACAGCCCCCACAGGGCCAGATTACATGTTCCTCCGTGTGCTTTCAGAAGTGAAATCATCTGGCCCCTTCTATCTTTCGCAGCCTCTTCTCTGCCCTTCCCCACCTCTCAGCCTACCTTCAGCCACCTTGAACCACTCACTGCTCCAAGTAGGCTCAGCTTGTCGGATCCTTCTGTCCCTCCTTTGCTCTTCTACTGGCTGCTCTTCCTCTCTATCACTTTGTCCAAAACAGGAACCTGCCCATTTTGCAAGACTCCACTGTAGCTGTTTCAGGCTCTAAGCTGGGTTGTACCTTAGGTGCACCTGAGTTACGGTGAACTCATGGCCCCCTGGGTTCTAGGTATAACTCAGAACTGCTCTCCTCTGCTGCTTGTCCTGCTGCCGGTTTCCTCCTCCTCCAGTGCCTTATGAATACTTCATTCCTGGGCCGTTTGTCAGGTCACATACTTTTTTGAACTTTTAGTTAGTGATGGAACCTCTCTCCTAAAAAAAAAAAAAAAAATGGCCTTGACATGCCATATATGTCAATTTTTGCATATAATTGTAAGGTGTACGTAGAACCCTAGAAAATTCTTTCTCATCAGCTAACTTTTAGAGAGGTTCTCCCTGTGGGTTCCAGGCTGCCATTCACTCATGGTTTGCCTTCCCCTACCTAAATGTGGACTTCCTGCTACCAAGCCACTACTGCATGTGTAACTAAACAATACTGCTCAAGCCATTTAAAATCTATAAATAAGGACAGCAATCTCACAGAGTGCCATTTAACATGGGAAGTGGTAGGCACAGTGCTTTTTCTTCAGGGGAAAATATATAAACATCTCTTTCCAAACTAGATGAACTGGACGCACTTTTCACTACTGCTGGACTGGAAAAGGTTCAGAACCTGGTGGATCGCCGGTTGCAAGTGAATCGAGGGAAACAACTGACAATGTACCGAGTTTGGATTCAGTGCAAATATCGTAAGCCTCTTCTGTCCAGCACCAGCTGAGAGGCACCTGCTCCTGACAGGCGAGGTCATTGGGGCTTTTTAAAAAGAACGCCCACAAATGGTGTCTTGTAGATATTAAACCATTCAAGGATTCCAACAGATTTGAACCTAGGAAGAATTATTTTATATCAAGATTCTAACCATTTTTTATAAAGCAGAAACACACCATTGTAAAGCAATTATACTCCAATAAAGATGTTTTTAAAAAAACACAACAACAACAACAAAAGATTCTAACCATTTTTGCTTCATATTTGTGAAGCCTTGTGGTATATACTTTTCTCATTTTTTTTTCTTACTTGGAGATCTCAAAGAATCTTTCTTGACATTTTGTAACTTAATAGTTGAAATGTTATTCATGGGAATCAAAGAATTTATTTCCATGTGTAAGTATTATATATGATGAAGTGAATAACTAAGTTGCATTAAATTAGTTGGGGATTCAAATGCCTAGACTAAGAAATTGATACAAAGATGACTAAAGGCCTCATTCATTGGTCATCAGAGATACAAATTAGGAAGAATCACCTGTCTTTGGATATTGTCCTGACTCAAAAAAAAAAGAGCATCAAAATACGGTGTCCTTGTTAAGTATTTGGTCATGGTCTCTGCTTGACCTCCATGGAATTTTAAGTACTGTTTCCCCATCTAAGTAACCTGCATCTAAAAAAATTAAAAGGATCTTCACTTTTAGCAAATTGTCTTTCTGTGTGTGCCCTTAAATGTTTGACTGAGAGACATTTTAGCCATTTCATTTCTGAATGTGAGCCTTTCATCCCTGTTAACTTTTTTAATGTGATCGCCCCCGTTGATGGTCCACAAACTATATGATGTGTTCTTCATTTTATTGAATTAAGAATTTTCAATTCTTCATTCCTACATTTTGGGTTTTTAACTCAAACTTTAATATTCTCATAATTGTTTATTTTATTTATAAAAATATAAGTCATAAGCATTTATTTTAATAATTCCAAACTTACAGAGAAGTACAGTACCAGAAATACTGTGAGAATAGTCAACTTTTTTCTGAATTGTTTTTTCTTTTTTTTTTGGCCACACTACATGACATGTGGGATCTTACTTCCCTGATCAGGAATTAAACTGGTGAACCCTGCAGTGGAAGCACGGAGTCTTAACCACTGGACCTCCAGGGAGGTCCCTTGAACCATTTTTTTTTTAAAGATTGAATTTTAGTTATTTTTGGCTGTGTTGGGTCTTCGTTGCTGCGTGCGGGCTTTCTCTGGTTGCAGCGAGCGGGGGCTACTCTTCATTGCGGTGCGCGGGCTTCTCACTGTGGTGGCTGCTCTTGTTGCGGAGCACGGGCTCTAGGAGCATGGGCTTCAGTAGTTGCACTACCCAGGCTCAGCAGTTGTGGTTCACGGTCTCTAGAGCATAGGCTCAGTTGCTTTGCGGCATGTGGGATCTTTCCAGACCAGGGCTGGAACCCGTGTCCCCTGCATTGGCAGGTGGATTCTTAACCACTGTGCCACCAGGGAAGTCCCCTTGAATCATTTTTAAGAGTAAGTTGCAAGGTGATACCCCAACACTGCTGCATATTTTATACTGTGTAATTCGTGTAACTGAAGATGTTCTCCTATATCACTGAATATATCCATCAGAAGTGGATAATTAACATGGAAGTAGAAATTAACATGGAAATCCTACTATCCACAGGTAACCAAGTTTTCCCAATGGTCCCAATAATATCCTTTATCATCAAAAAAAAAAAAAAGGCCTTCTGTTACATATAGTAGTCATTTCTCAGTCTCTCAGTCTGGAACAATCCTTGAGGTTTGTTTTCATGATCTTGACATTTGAAGATTACAGGCTATTTTGCAGACTGCCCTCAAATTTGAGGGTTTGTTAATGCCTCATGATTTGGTTCAAGTACATATTTTGGGCAGGAATATCAGAAGTGATGCTATTGTGGTCCATGATTTTGATGAACCCTGGTGGTGGTGGTGTTAACTTTGATCACTTAATTGGGGTGGTGCCTGCTGGGTTTCTCCACTGAAAAGTTCCTAATAACTATTTTGTAGGGTAGTGCTTTGAGACTAAATATCCCATTCCTCGTTAAACTCTACCCCTTAGTTTAAGCATCTATTGCTGCTTCTTGGCTGAATTACTACTATGATGGCAGCCAAGTAATGTTTTTGAATCCCACATTCCTCCTATACTTATTGGTTGGCATTCTACCATAAGGAAGGCTTCCTTTTCTCTATTCATTTGCTTATGGACTCATGGGTTTGTTTTACTCAATGATTATTATATATTACTATCATTTTGATATTTTATGATATTGATGCTCATGTTGTCCCACATTTGGCCAGTGGGAGCCCCTTCAAATGCTTCTGTGACCTTTTGATATGTGCAGGAAGCAGGAAGACTCTGCTTTTTTTTTTTTAATTTTTATTCATTTATTTAATTTTTGGCTGCATTGGGTCTTTGTTGCTACGTGGGGGCTACTCATCGTGGTGGTTTCTCTTTGTTGCAGAGCATGGGCTCTAGGTGCACGGGCTTCAGTAGTTGTGGCTCGCGGGCTCAGTAGTTGTGGCTCACGGGCTCTATAGAGCGCAGGCTCGGTAGTTATGGTGCATGGGCTTAGTTGCTCTGCAGTGTGTGGGATCTTCCTGAACCAGGGCTCAAACCCATTTACACTGCATTGGCAGGCAGATTCTTAACCACTGCGCCACCAGGGAAGTCCCAAGACTCAGGTTTTATACCTAGCTGCAAAGCGCAAGGTAGGTGCTGGGAAGATGGAATAAAAACTGTTCCTGTTGTTATGAATGCTTTAGAGATGCTGAGAGAAGGTCTTTAGTGGATCATTTAATATATCTGTTCTTCATTTCAAAGGACAAATGAAATACCATTCCAGCACTTCAAGCACAAGTTGTTCCAGGCTCACCTTGTACTTTCTCTGCCCCAGTCTGAACCAGCTATTTCCCCCAAGGAGTTCTAGTTTCTTTTACTAGAGCAAGGTATTTAGAAACCAAGCCAAGGGTGCTCATTGCTATTGTGGTGCCTATTCCCAGGCCCCCTCAGTGGATGGAGCTCAGGGATATATGTATATGTATACATACATGCATCTATATTTCTGTACTTAAATATATATTGAGGGCTTCCCTGGTGGTGCAGTAGTTGAGAGTCCGCCTGCTGATGCAGGGGACACAGGTTCGTGCCCCAGTCCAGGAAGATCCCACATGCCGTGGAGCGGCTGGGCCCGTGAGCCATGGCCGCTGAGCCTGTGCTCCACAACGGGCGAGGCCACGACAGTGAGAGGCCTGACAGTGAGAGGCCCGCGTATCGCAAAAAAAAAAAATACATATATATATGTTGAAAACCAGTTCAAACCAGTACCTTTGATTCCAATCCAACACCACAGGATTTATTCTAGTTTTTATTCTTTCTCTCTGTACTTGTTCTCTTTTCCAACAATCCCAAATGCCCACAATCCTCAACATATTGGGATAATCCAGTCATATGTAACCATTCTTTTGTCACCACACATGGATGCCCTCTCACCTCTTGGGCTCTTTGACACCCTCTCCAAGCCACTGTTTCCATCATTACCTCACCTAGTCACCCTCCTCACCCAGACACCCTCCTGCCCTGGATTCAGCACCCCACAGAGCCACCACCACCCCTCTGCCCCTGCACTAACACCTACCTTGCTTGGTTTCACCTGTTTTAAAAGGTAGGAGTAAAGGAGCGCCCATCTTTTCCATTGTAATGAATTTATTTAAAATGAAAACACTGGGGCTTTCCTGGTGGCGCAGTGGTTAGGAATCCGCCTGCCAATGCCGGGGACACGGGTTCAAGCCATGGTCCGGGAAGATCCCACATGTTGTGGAGCAACTAAGCCCGTGCACCACAACTACTGAGCCTGCGCTCTAGAGCCCACGAGCCACAACTACTGAGCCCACGTGCCACAACTACTGAAGCCCATGTGCCTAGAGCCCATGCTCCACAACAAGAGAAGCCACTGCAATGAGAAGTCTGTGCACCGCAATGAATAGTAGCCCCCGCTCGCTGCAACTAGCGAAAGACTACACGCAGCAACGAAGACCCAGTGCAGCCAAAAATAAATAAATTTTAAAAATAAAATGAAAACACTGAGTCACTGGAATGTATTTCATTTGTCTTTTGAAATGAAGAACAGCTTTATTAAATGATCCACTAAAGACCTTCCTTGCAGAAGTCCGCAAGGCTGTGATAGACTTCACCTCAGAGGTCACCTACGCCCAGCCAGCTGAGGGGGCATCTCCAACAAGGTCTCCATCCATGCAGCAGTGACGGGACTTCCAGTAGAGGAGGTGGTCTGCCTCAGTGCTCGCATCAACACCACTCGCTACAAGCTGATGGTGGCAGATACTGTGATTGAGAAATTTGCTTCAATTAAGAGTGAAATTGAAAAACTGAAGATGAACAAGGACCACTTAGAGAAGGTTTTACAAGGTGGGTCAGCAAAAGCCAAAGAATTAGCATATCCCATGTGCCGGGAGATGAAAAAATTGGTGGGACTTCTATAAGAAGTTTCAACTAGTCACAAAAAGGCTTTTCTATCTTTTGGTCTGTGCACTCCAGTAAAGGCAGCTTTCCTCACAAGAGAAAAATTATAGTTTGGGGACACTTAATTTGGTACACCTGATCATTGGCTTCATTTGATGAATAATGATTTGTAGCTTTCAAAAACAGAACAAGAAAACCTTCCTTTGGCGTCGCTGAAGCATTTCAAAGCAACAGGAACAATTTTTATTCCATCATCCTAGTACCTGCCTTGTGCTTTGGGCTTAGGTATAAAAGTTGAGCCTTTTCCTCCCCCTCTCCCACTCCCTGTACCTTTCTGCCACCTGCCAAGCTCTCTGACTCTTTATCTGTCAAGCTAACTTGAACTCTGTAAGGGACTTTGCATAATTTTTCAGCCTTGGAATCACTAATGGGGGGCAGAGGACAATTAAATATGGTTAGGGTAGATTAAAGTATGACCTCAGTGCCACTCAAAAAAATACAGACTGCCTGGACTATAAGTCTGACTCCAGTCTGACTCGATACTCTTTTTTTTGAATTTTATTTTATTTACTTTTTTATACAGCAGGTTCTTATTATCTATTTTACACATATTAGTGTATATATGTCAATCCCAATCTCCCAATTCATGCCACTACCCCCCACCCCACCCCACCCCGCCACTTTCCCCCCTTGGTGTCCATACGTTTGTTCTCTACGTCTGTCTGACTCAATACTCTTAAAGAAGAAAAGTGCTTGTGTTGGCTGGGAAGGTAGCTCCACATGTGAAACTGCTCAGGAAGTTGTGTGGTTTAGATTCGAGTCTAGTAGAGAAGTGTTTCTGAAACTGATCTTCTTAAGTGGTGTTAATTTGGCTGAGGAGATAAATTCAACGTTGTTTGAAACATGAGGGACAGTTTAATTTGAGACAGGTGCACCAGAGCTTTTAGAAGCCGTGTTCCTGAAGGTGGTGCCCAGGGTCAGGGTGTAACACTGTCACCTGGAGACCATGGGTTCTTACACCTCAGAAGTGATTCATCGCCCGATTTTGTGTGCTTCATCTTGAACCTGCCCTCTGCTAATGCTGTCAAATCTATGCAGTGGGTCCACTACCTGCCTTCGTGTGAGTTCATACTCTCTTGGCTCTGACTAGGAAATTAGGGCCTTGGAAACTTAGTAGGAAAAGGAAAATCTAACGTACTAAGACATCCTACTTTCCTCTAATTGATTCCTATCTTTGATTAAAGACGTTACTTTAGTAATAGTAGGGGGTTCTATCTGTGGCTTAAAAGATGAACTCAGGACAAACCGCTTCTTTCACTCTGTTCACAAAGGCCTTTTTTTGGTTTGTGGCTGCAGCTGCTATTTTCAGTGCCGGGCTGCATCGATGCGTTGCACATTTTTATATGCTTCTTAATTTGGTGTGCAGGTTGATTTGGGAGCCTGGGTTGAGAGGTGGGAGGAGTGCTGGTGATGAATTTTGCAAGTAAAAACACCAAAATGGTGTGTCACAGCCACCTCACTTTACTCCAGTGAATTTCTAGGTGCAAGATTGGATATCGATTGTCTCTTGACTGTAGTCAGTGGACTGTACTACATGACCAGGTTACAGGACAAACAGCCACAGTCAGATTCCATGCTCCAGTGGGGGCCCTGAGACACAGTAGCCAGTAACCTTGACCAAGGGCTCAAACTTGGCATCTTCACCCTGAGGTAAGCCCCAAATTGCATTCATTCATTCATCCCCCACCTTCCTTTCTCCATTAAAACTTAAAATATCCAGGAATTCCCTAGTGGTCCAGTGGTTAGGACTCCGTGCTTTCACTGCTGAGGTCCCAGGTTCAATCCCTAGTTGGGGAACTAAGCCCACGGCGCAGCAAAAAAAAAAAAAAAAAAAAAAAATTCCTTAGAAGGAGCCACACTTTAAACACTTCCACGGGGAGGAGCAGGACTGGAGAAAGCCCTCATGTCCTGTGCCGCCAATGAGCCCCCCATGCCCTGCTCAGCCTTGCTTCCCATTGTTCAGCATTTATTGGGTGATTAAGGCTGACACTCAGTGGAGCTCAGGAAATGATGAATTCCTTGGGGGAACTTTGTATTCTCAGCACTTAGCCGAGTAGCCAGCACCTGGCCCACGGTCGTGCACGATGCATGAGGACTGAATGACTAAATAGCTTTTTCCTGCCATGCCCCCACCCCCGACAACAGACATGCATTGGCACACAGTTTGTATTTAACTTCAGAAGACCGTAGTGTACAGGACTGTGGTTGCAAGTATCAGCAGCTCAAGCTGGCTTAAGGGAGAAAACAGAAGGTAGGAGGACACAGAGTGTCTCATGGACGCCCAGGCAGAAAGGTAGAGGGGCCTCAGGAGCCCTGGGAAGTGTGTACTCACCAGCACTCCCCAGTCTGGCCAAGGACCTTCCCTGTTCCTTGGTCCACTTGTAGGAGGCGACCATCAACCCTAAGGCTTGATGTCTCTGTAATATGAGTGTGTTTCTCTGTGTGTGTGTGTGTTTGCACGCGCACACACAGTTAGGAGTAAGCAGTTGCCAGAATGGGTTTACAGACCAAGCAGCGTCCCCAAAAGGCATCCACAGAGCACCCTTTATGTGACATCTGGGCACCACCATTATTTACTTGATCTTTTAAAATTACTTACATTCTTAAATTTATTTTTATTTTTTATTTATTTATTTTATTTTTTTTTTGCGGTACGCGGGCCTCTCACTGCCGTGGCCTCTCCCGCTGCGGAGCACAGGCTCCGGACGTGCAGGCTCAGTGGCCGTGGCTCAGGGGCCCAGCCGCTCTGCGGCATGTGGGATCTTCCTGGACTGGGGCACGAACCCGTGTCCCCTGCATCGGCAGGCAGACTCTCAACCACTGTGCCACCAGGGAAGCCCCATCTTAAATTTATTTTTAAAGGAAACTATATCACTGTGATAAATGTAAAATAAGTATTTGTCCTGAACAAAAGTATTTTTAAAAAATAAATACAATGAAAATGAGAATAATATAAGTTCTATCTGGATCCCATTGCTGGTCAAAAGCTCTGAGCCCCAGGCCTGGAAACACCGCAGTGGACAGAGCAGAGTCACAGCTCTCTCGGAGCTCACACTTAAATGGGGCGATTCCAACAGTAAACCTATAAAACATGAGTCAGGTGGGCATATGCCAGGAAGAATCGAGCAGGGTAGGGAGGATAGAGAGGTGACACGGAGTAGGGGAAAGGGCCCTCTGAGGTGGGGTGGGCAGAGAAGATCTCCTGGAGGAGGTGACATTTTTCATGGGATGTGTGGAGGCAGGGCCTTCAAGGCAGAAGGAACGGCCACTGCAAAGGCCTAAGGATCTTGGTAGACTCCACCCCACGGCATGGGCAACACTGCATCACAAATAGAAGCTTAGGGGACCATTGCTCACTCTTGTAATAAAAGTATCTGCCTTTAGCACCTTTTAATAAGCATATTACTAGGAGTTCGCTGGTGGTCCAGTGGTTAAGACTCCACCTTCCAATGCAGGGGACTCAGGTTCGATCCCTGGTCGGGGAACTAAGATCACACATGCCGCGGGGCAACTAAGCCTGCCTGCTCTACAGCCCGCGCGCCACAACTAGAGAGCCCTGCATGCCGCAACTACCGATGAATTTAAAAAACTAATTAATGAGAGTATTACCCAAGTGCACTAAGAAATTAGAGAGAATGATTACTTGTCTCCTTCAGACCCTCAGGTCCAGGATCTGGATTCTTCTCGGTTCATTTAGGGACAATTAAAATTATGAAGGCAGCCCAACTCACAAGAGTCTCTTATATAAACCAGGATTATTGATCTGTGATCTGAGGCATACCTGACAAGCCAAGGGGATCTCCCCAGGAAAGGAAGCTGCTTGAGAAACTGAAGATCAGAAGTTGATTGCTAAGAATACACCAGAGCCTCAGAGTCAGTGGCACAAAGAGAGGCTTCTGTCAAGCCGTGACTGTCCCGAATCCCCTGTCTGCACGGGTGAGGCAACCACTGAGCAGATCTGTAGTAACACTACCTGGCATTTGTTTAGACCTTAATACTCTAAAAAGGCTTTTCATATGTTTAATCCTCACGGCACCCCTGTGAAGTATAATTATCTCCTTTTTACAGATGAGGAAATCTGAAGTTCGGGGAGAATAAATGGTTTACCAAGGTCAGAGGACTAGTGTTAATCATAAGGTAATTAGCCTAAGATTAAGGAGGGGTGGTTTGATATAAATGATATTTGACATAATATAGGGGGTTAAACATTCTTGGCTCCAACCAACTGTGCCTGCCCGGGAACATGTCACACCTGCTCAGAGGTTAACCCTATTGTGAGGAGGAGAGATTCCCGGGCCCCATCTGCCCCAAATCTCCCAAGGGAAAGAAGAACACTGCAACTGTCAGAAGTGTAATCAAAAGTCCATGAAATCAGCTACATAAATTATGTTGGTTTTGCAACATTGTACAGTTTGCAACATTTTCATCAAAATAGAAAATTTTAACCCACCACCTTTACCCTGTGTCCTGTGGCCCTGCCTGCGAGGTGAGGCTCAGCCTGGGGTGAAAGGAGGACCTGGATTCCGTGCCTCATCTTCCCAAGGGTCTCCACTGGGTTGGGGCCAGTGTCATGGACCGTGTCCTGTTGAGTGGCACCATGCTCGTGCTCAGAAGGGCCCTCACCAGGTTCAATGCTCTGCTGTCACCATCTTGAAATTCTTAACAATTTTTTAACAAGGGCCCCGATCCTGCTGCTGCTTCTTCCTTGCTGCTTTTCCTCCCTCTTTCTCCTTCCCCAGGAAAAAGGGGTCTTCTCTTCCCATCTTGTCAGCTGGTCCTTGGTGGCCCTAGGTTGGGCCTTTCACCCAGGGCAGGACCCCCTGCCTGCCTTGGCTCTTTCTGCCTTTCCAAGCCCCTCCCCCCCATCAGGAGGGCCTTCCAGGCATACCAAGCCTGGACCTGCACAGCTCACTGCTCCTGCTGGAAGGGCCCTGCGCGCACCCTATCTCCTCACAGCCGCTACCATCTCCTCATTCAGGGCTCAGCTGCAACATCCCCCCTCTGAGACTCCTTTCCCACCAACAACCTTGACCAGTGTCACCGCCACTCCTCAGAGCCCTCCTGTGCCCTCACTCACTCCACATTATGAGGCTTTATTGTATTCCTGACACCTGGAACTATTATTTGTTTATTGTCTGCCTCCTGCCTCTAGACTATAAGCTCCTTGGGTTCAAGAGACTTTGTCAACTTTGTGCACAGTTGTATCCTCAGTACCTACAATGGTGTCCTGCACATAGTTGGTGCTCAATAAATACTTATTGTGTGGGTGAGTGCACAGAGGTGCTGGTTCCACAGAGAGATCAGGCATCAAAGTGAGGAAAGTCAAGTTCTGGCATCTAATCCAGCAGGAAATAGTGGGGCTGGAGATGGAAGCCCAAGCTGGTAGCCCAGGGCCTGTGGACAGAAGTTGCCCTGTAAATGTTTCTCAGGAGCCAGGCATACCTGGGAAAGAGTAGGGAGTAAGAGCCCACAAGAGAGCAAAGCTGCTCATCTCCCCAAGGGAAGGGGCCCACTCAGGGTGGTTTCGTGGTACAGAGATTGCAACAGAGTGAGGAAGCTGATCCACTTTGAATCTTTAAATGCCACCAACACTTGGATAATTCCCAAATCTATGTCACGAGCTAGGGATCTCACCTGATCCTTGAACTAGTTTATCTAAATACCTCCTGATGTCTCTCTCCCCTAGAAGGCCCTCAGGCACCTCAAACTCTGTCTGTCTGTCCAAAGCAACTCATAAGAGCACAGACCAGGATGGAAATCCTGGAGTCACTAATTCATTTGTGCTCTGCATCATCTTAGCTCAGTTACCAGATTCCTCTCAGTTTCCTCAACTGTCAGTCAGGTATGAACAATAATAATCATCCAGCAGCCCGAGCGGCCCCCATAACTCCATCCTAACTCCTTGAGGGGACAGCATTGAGAGCCAGCCTCTGTGGGCTATTATGTATTTATAAGGCTAGTTTACGCAAGGCACGCTTTAGCTTTATCGTATGTTGTGTATTTAGCAGTTATATAGATGGTATGTCCCTTGGCAACTTTTGTCTAGAGAGAATAACCATGTGTCCCTGAGTCTTGATAAGATTGTAGCAAGAAGCATTAATCTACATCTTCTCTCAAGTCTCAAAGAACAGTTAAGAGGAGATAAAACCTTCGAGCTTTCAGTGAGTTTCAGGTTGTTGCCCTCAGCCAGAGTCAGCTTCTTCATGAGGCACAGGGCACAATCTCCTCTACAGTGCATTGACTTGGGCCCACAATACTTTCAGGGGCCCTTGAAAACGTTTTAATTTGATTTATTTTAAAACCAGAAGAGGGGAATCCCCTGGTTTTCCAGTGGTTAGGACTTCGTGCTTTTACTGGAGGGCCCAGGTTCAATCCCTGCTCGGGGGAACTAAGATCCCACAAGCCCGCAAGCCACCTGGTGCAGCCAAAGATTAAAAAAAAAAATTTTTAGTAAATTAAAAAAAAAAAACAGAAGGAAAAAATGAATAGTTGGAAATGAATATATGATAATGAAGGCAGCCTAGGTTATGTTTGTTTTTATACCAATACATTTATTAAAAAAAAAAAATTGGCGGCTTCCCTGGTGGTGCAGTGGTTGAGAGTCTGCCTGCTGATGCAGGGGACACAGGTTCATGCCCCGGTCCGGGAAGATCCCACATGCCGCGGAGCGGCTGGGCCCGTGAGCCATGGCCGCTGAGCCTGCGTGTCCGGAGCCTGTGCTCTGCAATGGGAGAGGCCACAACAGTGAGAGGCCCGCGTACCGCAAAAAAAAAAAAAAAATTTAATGAATGGAGGAAAGGGCTCATGAAATCAAAAGTGCCCAGAGCCCATGAAAGTCACAGTGTGACTAGGCCCCTCAGGTGGCATCAGCCTCCCAGATGGAGGGGCAGAGTTGATGGAGGTAGATGTGAGTGAACCCCTCACTCTACCTTCCCCGTCTGCCCAGCCCACACTGTGTCTCAGGGAAACATCTGTGGAGAGAATTGTTGTGTAAAGTCTTTAGCATTTCTGTATGCATATAGGGCAGTCTAACTGTTTGAGCAAAGTCTCAGTGGGTCAGGAATTTGGGACGGTGGCATCCGTGGCATCGAGGGAAAACATCCAGGCTTTTTACATTTATTTGTACAGAAATGACTTCCATAAATGGTATTTTCCTGGAGCACAGAAGAGCAGGACTTCTCGGGAGGATGTTACAGAGCAGGTAACCCTTGGGCAGGGTCTTGGAAGATGAGTTTACCAAGTGGATGGGGATGGGATGATGGTGTCCAGCCAAAGAAATGGAATTTCACAAAGACCCATTTATGGGGGAAGAGCAGCAAATGGACAGGATCATGGCTGTTCTGGAAGGATGGTACATGGGACAGTTCTCTGAGAAAGAAATGGAAAATTTTATTGGAGCTAACCTGAGGATTATAACCCTGGAGACAGTCTTTCAGAAAACTCTGAGGACTGTTCCATCAGTTAGAGGTCAAAGCACAGTTATATAAGCTTTTGAGACAAAGGGTCTACATCAAATGATGTAGTATTGACAGTTGACACAATCCAGACCTACACGTGCACAGTGAGTAGTGGGTCATGGGTCATTGTGGCCCCCTACAAGATTAAGAAGGAAGGTTATTGCTTAAGAAGGTCTGGTTGATGCGGATGCACACTACACACTAAAGGGGAGAGAGGAGGCCCAAACAGGCAAAGAAAAATTTTGTTTAAATTTTTCTCGTCTTGCCATAGAATATGAATTTTACTTCATCAATGCCATAATTAGGGCTTCAATCCAGAGAAGAAGGAAGAGACTTCAGGGTATGGTAGGAGAGCCTCCCAGTTTGAGCCACCCACGGCCATCCTGTGGGGCCATCTAGCAGCCAGATACAAATCTGAAACCAAGAAATTGGTGGGAAAGGATTTCAGTTAGGGAATCACCCGCATAAACGTGGTGGTTGGTTGAAGCCATTGCAGTGGGTGATATCTCAGTGAGAGCCGGAAAAAAAAAAAAATGGGAGAAAGAATCCAGATATACAATGAAAAAGCAGAAGCGGTGGAAGGTGAGGAACCATTCAAGGTTCATGGCTGGAGATTGACCAGGGAGGCGACAACAGAGCCGATGGAGGCTAACAGTGGTTGTCCTCAGCTGGTGTAATCCTGTTTTTTTTCCCCCTTGTTATTTTCTGTATTTTTTTAACTCTTTTATCAGTAAGTATATATTGCCCTTTTTGGCTAAAATAGACATTTTGGAAAAATAAAAGGGGTAGTTCCCAATAGGTTAAGCGCTGCTGAGAGGCCGAGTGCACTGAAGGCTGAGCAGACTTAGAGACATTGCCCACCTTCTTCCCGCAAAACCGCTCCCCTGCCCCAAACCTCCAACCCCCAGGGGAACCAGTGCAACTCCTGGCAGCCGTGTTTTCCTCCCAGGGACCTGTTCTTGGCCACAGATGATTGGACAAGGGTGTTCATGTGATACCAGCTAAGCCAATCAGAGCCCTCCCCAGGAGATTGCCTGGAGAGGGCGGCGTGAGCTTAGAGCCGGGGCGATCTCCAACAGGCAGGCCGACCTTGAGACCCAGGTTAAGGGCGTAGCAGCCAGAGGGGAGAGCCTGTAGAAACAAAAGGCCCGAGGGGGTAAAGCCTGGGTATTTAAGGAACTAAGTGGAGGCCAGGGTAGGGTCACCGGAAAGAATGGTGGAGTAGGTTGGAGAAAGCCAGGACTAGACCACCAAGGGCCTCAGAAACCCCGCTGAGTTGGGGGTTTTCTCATTACAAGGAGAAGCTGTTGGAGGGTTTTAAAAGAGGGAGTGGTCTGACCTGAATTACAATTTTAAAAGATTAGCAATGCTGGAAAATGTGCTGGTGGTGGTGGGGCAAGCGTAAGGAGCAGTTTGGAGGCTCCCGCGCTATGCAGACCCCTGAGGGTGGACCAGACGTCAGAGGCGGCGGGGAAGATGCAGGGAGCAGGGGTCCAGACAAGACCCAGTGGTTGGGGGGCTGGTGAGGGAAGGGTGGAATCGGGGCAGATGATAGGTGAGGGGGATGCTATTATTGAGATGGGAAAGAAGGGAAGACGTTAAGACCTCAGTTTGGACATGTTAAGTTTGAGATGTTGATGGCCCATCACAGGGGAGATGCTGAGAAGAAAGCAGTGGGGTACATCAGTCTGGAGTTGGGGGATGTCAGAGCTTGGATGCTGGAAATATGGGTGGCATCAGCATGCAGCTGGTGTTAAAGCCACCAGCCTAGATGAGACCACCTGGGAACTAGAGAGAAGGGGCCCAGCACAAAGGCCTGGGGTCCCCCAACATTCACAGGACTGGTAGAGGGGACGGAGCAAGGAAGGGAGGGGGGGAACCGAATGTGTTTTGACCCAGAAGCCCACATTGGAGACTCCCCTGGGTTACCCCCCTGCCAAGGCCAGAGAGGGCTTTTTAGATTTGATAAAGAAGTCACCCGACTTTGAACACTCTGGGTGGAGTGGTGGATCTGAAAGTTAAATTGGGGTGGGCCTCTTCCCTGAATGAAAGCTGGATTAAAAAGTAGCTATGGGGGGCTTCCCTGGTGGCGCGGTGGTTGGGAGTCCGCCTTGCGATGCAGGGGACGTGGGTTCGTGCCCCGGTCTGGGAGGATGCCACATGCCGCGGCCATGGCCGCTGGTCCTGCGCGTCCGGAGCCTGTGCTCTGCGGCGGGAGAGGCCACAGCAGTGAGAGGCCCGCGTACCGAAAAAAAGAAGAAAAAAAAAAAGTAGCTATGGGGCTTCCTTGGTGGCGCAGTGGTTGAGAGTCCGCCTGCCGATGCAGGGGGCGCGGGTTCGTGTCCCGGTCCGGGAAGATTCCACATGACGCGGAGCGGAGACCACAACAGTGAGAGGCCCGCGTACTGCAAAAAAAAAAAAAAGTATCTGTGGAGGACCTTTTGGGGGCAAATGAAATATGAAAATGGACTTTATATTAGATTATTGTATCAGCATTTAATTTCTTGGGTGTGATAATGGTCTGTGGTTATGAAACAGGGGGAAGGGGCTTCCCTGGCGATCCAGTGGTTAAGACTCCACACTTCCACTGCAGGGGGCGGGGTTTCATTCCCTGGTGGGGGAACTAAGATTCCACATGTCACGTGGTGCAGCCAAAAAAAAGAAACAGGAGGGAAGAGGGCAGGGCACAACCTTTAAAAGAATGACATAGCTGTTGAAGATACCACAAAAACTGGTTAGAACTGATTAGGCCCAAGATGGTGGAAGATTCCACTTCCAGTAGACCTTGAGTCTCATTATACGCTCATTGTAATACATTAGCATCTAAATGGCACACTCGCGGGCACCAGGATCGTTCTGAGGCTAACCACAAAAGGCTAAAAAGTGGGCAGTGGCCCAATTCTTGGAAACCCCTGCCCTCCCCCGCCAAATAGTTGGAATAATTCTCCCACTTTTATGGGCTGGGTAATTGCATAATTAGCCTATATAATTATCCATCCCATAAAACTAACCACCCCAGGGAATTCCCTGGCAGTCCAGTGGTTAGGACTCCACGCTTTCACTGCCTTGGCCTGGGTTCAATACCTGGTCGCGTAACTAAGATTCCGCAAGCCATGTGGCAAAAAAAAACAACAGCCTAAACTAACCACCCCATATTTTGGGGTCGCTCTTGCCTTTTGAGGCAGACTGCATTCTGTCTATGGAATGTGTATCTCTCTAAATAAATCCACTTCTTACCTATCACTTTGCCTCTTGCTGAATTACTTCTGCACTGAGACATAAAGAATCTGAGCTTCATTAAGTCCTGAGACCTGGTGTGTGATCTCAATTAAAAGACAGTGGGTTCGAGTCCCAGCCCATGGGTTCGAGTCCCATCTGATTTGTGCAGTTTCAGTTACGTGAGAGAGGTCTGGTTCTTAGGAGACACATGTTGTAGTATTGTAGTATTTAGGGGTGAGGGAGCAAGATGCCTGAAAGTTTTCCAGTGGTTCAACAATAACAAACTATACATATATATCTGTATATGTTACATATAATATATGTAATATTTATATAAATTGTATTTATGTTATATATAGGTATATACATAGGTATATACATAGTTTATATATAGGTATTAGATTTATATATAGTTTATATGTATCTATTAGAGAGATATAGCATATGTGGCAAAATGCTAATTGGAAAATCTAGGTTGGGGGCTGTTTTAACACTTTTTCAACTTTCCTGTAGGCTTAAATTTTTCCTAGGGACTTCCCTGGCAGTCGGATGGTTAAGACTCCACACTTCCACTGCAGAAGCCCTGGTGGCGCAGTGGTTAAGAATCTGCCTGCCAGTGCGGGGGACACGGGTTCAAGCCCCGCTCCGGGAAGATCCAGCATGCTGCGGAGCAACTAAGCCTGTGCGCCACAACTACTGATCCTGCGCTCTAGAGCCCACGAGTCGCAACTACTGAAGCCCGCGTGCCTAGAGCCTGTGCTCTGCAACAAGAGAAGACACCGCAATGAGAAAGCCAGTCACCGCAACGAACATCGCCACAACTAGAGAAAGCCCGCGTGCAGCAGCAAAGATCCAAGGCAGCCAAAAATAAAATAAATAAATAAATTTTAAAAGTAAAAAAAAAAGGAAAAAAAATTAGAAAGAGTGAACTGGCAGGACTGTGCTCCCACCCTGTTTGTTGTTTGGCTTGAGGCGTCCCAGCACCGGAGCCTGCAGGTTGTTGGGTGGTGCGGGGGTGGCGGCCTCCAAGAGAGCTCACGCAGATGACTGGTCCCCAGTGCCTCTGCCACCAGTGTCCTTGCCCCCACAATGAACCACAGCTGCCCCCCACACCCCCTGCTTCCCCCGAGACCCTCCATGACCAGTTTTTGAAGAGCCGGAAGATCCAGGCAACAGGTCGTTATTCTCTGAAATTATCTCTCCGATTTCGGATGTGAAGTTCAGCCACAGTGGGAGGTATATCATGACCAGAGACTATCTGACCATCAAAGTTTGGGATCTCAACATGGAAAACCGCCCCACTGAGACTTACCTGGTTCACAGCTACCTCTGCAGCAGGCTGTGCTCCCTCTACAAAAATGACTGCATTTTTGATAACTTTGAGTGTGTGTGGAATGGGTCAGACAGTGTCATTATAACAGGCTCCTACAACAACTTCTTCAGGATGTTTGACCGAAACAGCAAGTGTGATGTTACTCTTGAGGCCTTGAGGGAAAACAGCAAACCCCAAGCTATCCTAAAACTGAGCAGTGTGCGTGAGGGGCAAGCAGAGAAAAGGCGAGATCAGTGTCGACAGTCTGGACTTTAGCAAAAAGATCTTGCATACAGCTTGGCATTTTTCAAAAGATATTGTAGCAGTGATAGCTACAAATAACCTATATATATTCCAGGACAAAGTAACTAGGAGGACACGTTATTAATAATCTCACATACTGAGTTTTAGTCAAACACTTGTTAAAAATATTTTTATTTTATTTTTTTTGGCCGCACGGCATGTGGGATCTTAGTTCCCCGACCAGGGATCACACCCATGTATGCTGCAGTGGAATCACGGAGTCTTAACCACTGAACTGCCAGGGAAGTCCCTCAAACACGTTTTTTAAATGTTTCTTTGGGTGTTCATTTGATGCATTGACCTTAATTTCCCTCTTTGTAATAGAATTCAGTTGGAGTCCAACTTTCCCAAATCCCAAGTTCTAAGAAACTTTTGTCAAACCCGATAGGTTCTGGGACACTTCTGTTTAGAATTGAGAGCTGCCAGCTAACAGTAGGTCTTCCATAGTTGATTTGAATTTCTGATGCTTTTATTGCCCTGTTTTCTCTGGTGGGTCCAGTGTTTTGTTTCTAGGTGTCTGCTGAGGTAAAATGAAATTGTAGTATTTAAAGAGAAAAGAGAGAAGTTTTTTTAAATTAAGCAATTTCATTTGATTGAAAAAATTCAACAAAAAATAAACACCGTTTACTCTAGAAAACAAAGAAAAAAAGAAGTTAATGGCAGCTGTAGAGGAAGTGGAAACAGC